CCACACATCCACACACCCACACCGACCCTCACACCGACACCCACACATCCACACATATCCACACCACCCCAAAAACGACCCCTACACATCCACACCGCCCCCCCATACATCCACACATATCCACACCGACTCCCCCACACACACCGACCCCCACATATCCACACCGACCCCCACACATCCACACCCACCATGCTGATGTTTATCACCACTTCCTGTCCTGGCAGTGACGACTCCACTCAAAGATTATTTTCTGTACACAAAGGTGACAGGTAAATAATTAAATGCACTGTAATTAACGTGCACACCTAGTACCGTGGTATCGCTTTTGTTAGTTCTCAGGTTGCCGGCTAGGAGTGTCACAGTTACATTGTCTTTGTTGAGTATGGACACGCCAACTCGGTCATATCTTGATCTTAACCCTAGCCTAACTCTGGCGATATTCTTATCTCAACCCTAACCTAACTCTGGCGATATTATTATCTCAACCCTAGCCTAACTCTGGCGATATTATTATCTCAACCCTAGCCTAACTCTGGCGATATTCTTATCTCAACCCTAGCCTAACTCTGGCGATATTATTATCTCAACCCTAGCCTAACTCTGGCCATATCCTAATCTTAACCCTAGCCTAACTCTGGCCATATCCTAATCTTAACCCTAGCCTAACTCTGGCCATATCCTAATCTTAACCCTAGCCTAACTCTCGCCATATCCTAATCTTAACCCTAGCCTAACTCTGGGCATATCTTAATCTTAACCCTAGCCTAACTCTAGCCATATCTTAATCTTAACCCTAGCCTAACTCTGGCCATATCCTAATTTTAACACTAGCCTAACTCTGGCCATATTCTTATATCAACCCTAGCCTAACTCTGGCTATATCCTAATCTAGCCTTAACCCTCACCTTAAACCTAATTCTACTCTTATTTCTGTCACTAATCCTAGCCCTAATCACCACGCCAACATATGAACAAAATCTCGATTTGACGTTCTATTGTCCTGATATTAGAGATATAAAGCCGTTTGTCGTAATACACATTCCAATGTATTTCAAGTGTATCTTTACATTTTCTTAAAGCCAGGCTTCGCACAAACAAACCCAGAGATTACAAACACCATCACGCGAACAAAATACACGCTCGCTACTAAACACTATTACAGCAAAAAAAAAAAAACGTAACTTTATAAAAGCAGTATGTAAACAGATAAACAGAGGCGTAACCCAATCTATAGCCACCACCAAGTCCTCAGTGAAAACAAATTAACATTGATCCAAGCAGGGGGATAACTTTTTGGTTACATCCCTTGAATTCTATTCTCCCGTCGTAGTTTTTTTGTATTCTCGCTTCTAAAAATATGACAGTTTTCATTACTGTAGGATATCTTTTGTTTTAAACACCGTACCGCCAGCCTAGTTCTTAATGCAGGCGATGTATTTGATTATGTCGGCTCCGATTTTTTGAATGTATCGCTATGACGTACTTGTATTCCGTGAACTTGGCTTTGAATCGGGGGATTGCTTAGTATTGAACTAAAATGCGCTGTAATGCAAGAATCGATTTTGTGTGTGTGTAATTATAGCTACAGCAACCTGTTTGAGAATCAGTCTAAATATAGCCAGGCCACCATGATAGGAGTTTCACGAAACCTTTTTTCACTGGTGGCGCCGTGACGTGTGCCCTACCTTGTTTTTAAATCCTGTTCCTGTTTGCCTATACATGTTCCTGTTTCCCTGTACATGTTCCCGTTTTCCTATACATGTTCCTGTTTTCCTATACATGTTCCTGTTTCCCTGTACATGTTCCCGTTTTCCTGTACATGTTCCCGTTTTCCTGTACATGTTCCCGTTTTCCTGTACATGTTACCGTTTTCCTGTACATGTTCCCGTTTTCCTGTACATGTTCCCGTTTTCCTGTACATGTTCCCGTTTTCCTGTACATGTTACCGTTTTCCTGTACATGTTTCCGTTTTCCTGTACATGTTCCCGTTTTCCTGTACATGTTCCCGTTTCCCTGTACATGTTCCCGTTTTCCTGTTAATGTTCCCGTTTTCCTGTACATGTTCCCGTTTTCCTGTACATGTTCCCGTTTTCCTGTACATGTTCCAGTTTTCCTGTACATGTTCCCGTTTTCCTGTACATGTTCCCGTTTTCCTGTACATGTTCCCGTTTCCCTGTACATGTTCCCGCTTCCCTGTACATGTTCCCGTTTTCCTGTACATGTTCCCGTTTCCCTGTACATGTTTCCATTTTCTTATACATGTTATCGTTTTCCTATACATGTTGAGTTTTCCTATACATATTCCCGTTTTCCTGTACATGTTCCCGTTTTCCTATACATGTTACCGTTTTCCTATACATGTTTCCATTTTCTTATACATGTTATCGTTTTCCTATACATGTTGAGTTTTCCTATACATATTCCCGTTTTCCTGTACATGTTCCCGTTTTCCTATACATGTTACCGTTTTCCTATACATGTTTCCATTTTCCTATACATGTTTTTATACACGATCCTGTACAGTCATGTTTCTATATGTGTTTGCGAACATCCTTATTCATATACTGAAATGGGTTGTCTAAAAAATAAAAAATAATGTGATGATTTAAAAAAAAAAAGAATCTACGTCTGAAAAAAAGGAAACGGCTGTTTTTCTAAACATTTTTGTTGCTGGTCAACAAACAAAACCCGGTTTTTGTTTTTTAAAGTAATTATCCGGTGTTATAGTACACATGAAAGTGATGTCTCATTATACAAGCAACCAACACGCCATCTAGCCAGCGGGTGTTGAGGATATATCACAAGAACCGGCTCACAAAAATTGTGATATATCACAAGAACCGGCTCACAAAAACGTTTGAGCGGCCGTGCTATAAACTCCCCGAAGTTGTTCAAACAAAGATTTTATTTATTGTCCCTCTGTGAACCTCACCCCGACATAAATCAAACACAAAGTAGGGTCTGTGGGGTCAAGTGTTTCAGGTCAGGGGGGTCTGGTGGAACCCCTCAATATCTAGAGGTTATAGCTTGGTTTTCTTTCTCAAACTTAGCGATATGTTCAAACTTGTAAAGAGATGTGAACTACGACTGAAGTAGTGATTTGGGTTGGAAAAACAAATTAAAATCTCATTTTAGCTGCAGTTTTGCATTATAAATATAAAAAATGTATCGGTGGGGGGGGGGGGGGGTGCAAATTGAAAGTTTGAGGGGGGGGGGGGTGGAAATTGAAAGTTTGAGGTGGGAGGGGGGTGCACATTGAAACTTGAAAGGTTGTTCCCGAGGGGGGCGCCAAATTGAAAGTTTATCCCCGTGCGCCGGATGGTTCGCTACGCCTCTGCTTGTCTATAAGAGGATTTATCGGGTATTCTGTGGTATGTTTTTCCAGCCCCGTAGTTTTAAAAATAAACGGCAAAGCGATATGATGAGTTGGGGGGAGGGTTGAGGGTCAGCTAGTGGACAAAGGAATACAGGATAACCAGACCCCTACTGAAATATTTGGGGTTTATTGATCTTTAGATTTAGTGAATGATGTTAAATAGATGGTAGCCCGTATTTTAACACAACTGTGCCGGCATTCATTTCACCACTGCAGCCCATCCCCTCTCTAGCACCCATCAGCTGTGTGGAGGGTGATCCTTGTAAACCTGCAGTCCAGGCCTGGATTTGTAAAAAATAATTCATATCAGTTGAACTATGTTGCTGAAGCTTGTTAGTTTATGCATATGTCATGGGTTTTTTTTTTTGGTGTCCTTTTAAAAACCTACCTGGCTATATTTACTAGTGCAAATACTTGAACCGTTGGCCGTTAGAGATATCATGCTTAAGGGTTGGGATTGGGGGTGGGGGGGGGGTGTTCTAACTTGTGACTGATTTACGTCATGTTTTGAAACGTGACGTAGTGTACATTTTGTGTTGCTTTGTAATTAAAATGTTAATTTCTTTAGATATACGGCTCACGAGCAGGTTGGGAGGAGGGGGGGGGGGGGTGTCTTCTAACTTGTGACTGATTTACGTCATGTTTTGAAACGTGACGTAGTGTACATTTTGTGTTGCTTTGTGATTAAAATGTTAATTTCTTTAGATATACGACTCACGAGCAGGTGTCTGTGTGGTTGCTGTGGCAAGTGATTTTATTTTGGGAAGGTTGGTGCCATTCAGGTGAAAGGGAAAAATCTGCCATAATAGCATGACGTCATTAATTGACGAGTCTTAACCAGGAACCACCGCACCAATACTAAACCAACTGTATTTCGTAATTCTGGCAAACCGTCTTTTTTTTTTAAATTATTCGCAAAAAACTAATCTAAAAACTTCGGTCTAGATTACCAATTGATGTCATCGGGACATCGATCTCTGACGGTAATGAATAACTCGGGGGAATGGGTGATCGATTTTTGTTTAATCAGTATCGAAGTTTCAATGGTATTGATGGTATTGGCCAATGCCTGGACTTTGAGTAGGGCTGCTATTAGGTTCAGCTAACTACATGGTGTTGGTGTTGTCTAGGGTTACCTTGTATACAAACCTTGCTTCATGACGTACGCCGTGCTTTATATACATACAGGATATATATATATATATATATATATATATATATATATATATATATATATATATATATATATATATATATATATATATATATATATATATATATATATAATGACCTACATGTATGTCTATTTATAATATATTGCCACATAGTTGTCCCAATTGACACACAGCCATTGATATGGACCATATATCAATTGATGTGGGCCACATATCATGTGCGTATAAATTCACTTCTTTAGCCCACAAAGCTACAGAAGGTTCAGTCGACCCCCTTCTATACTTTTGGTTTATCTCTCCGTGTGAGAAAGAAAAGAAAACGAAGGTGGTTATTAATTCTCTCCCTTTGACCGTCTTGACTTGATAAGGTCCCTTGGACTCCTCTTCCCGTCGTCTGCTGTGGAAGTCTGCCTGCTGCATTGGCTGACGTATTGATTGGCTTTCTTTTATCGGCAGTTCAATACATTTACTACGATCTCCACCAACGGTTTCTGCTGTCGTTTTCAGTGTAGACCATGGGCCGGTGGTGTTGGACTTGTGTTACGTAATTCTGGTCAGCGGGAACGTTTTGTTGTGTTTACGCGGGTGATGCGCGTGTCGTGTGTGCAGAATTCACGAGCTGGCGAGTAACCTAGATTTGTATTTTCATCGATTGTGTCCTCGCTTTGCTGGTTACACGGCCTGTGTCGTGAAGTACTCACCTTCAACACGTTGGTGTGTCTTCACTAAATGTGTCGCAGGGGTAGTTTGTTTAGTAAATACAAGTACCGTGTTAGGGTAATGTGTTAATCTGCACCACCTAATTGATACTGTGTCAGTCTAGGGGCGGTAACTTGCGCTGGCTAGTGCTCGTTAAACTTCGCCATCATGACCTGACATGGCGCCCGTGTCAAGAGCGTGTTGTCTGCAGTGGTAAGTGACCGCTGGTCAGCTGGGTGCTCGTTAAACTTCGCCATCATGACCTGACATGGCGCCCGTGTCAAGAGCATGTTGTCTGCAGTGGTAAGTGACCGCTGGTCAGCTGGGTGCTCGTTAAACTTCGCCATCATGACCTGACATGGCGCCCGTGTCAAGAGCGTGTTGTCTTCAGTGGTCAGTGACCGCTGGTCAGCTGGGTGCTCGTTAAACTTCGCCATCATGACCTGACATGGCGCCCGTGTCAAGAGCGTGTTGTCTTCAGTGGTCAGTGACCGCTGGTCAGCTGGGTGCTCGTTAAACTTCGCCATCATGACCTGACATGGCGCCCGTGTCAAGAGCGTGTTGTCTGCAGTGGTCAGTGACCGCTGGTCAGCTGGGTGCTCGTTAAACTACGCCATCATGACCCGACATGGCGCCCGTGTCATGAGCGTGTTGTCTGCAGTGGTCAGTGACCGCTGGTCAGCTGGATGCTCGTCTTGTGAAGTCCCATGAACTCCAGGTTTTAATTCACTGTCTGGAGGTACTAGCACGGCTACATTGGTGCCAACGTGTTGAAGAAAAGTTTGTTAAAATAAATCGCGTCTAGATCTAAAGTTAATACCTCTTAGAGCTACGCTTTAGTGCAAATTTCTGTTCTTGACAGGAGATAATCTTTTTTTTTTTTTAAATTTTCTCTAAGATCAGCAATGTTTGCGTTAAGGTCAAACATAAAGCTGTTACCTAGGGTTTAATTTTTCTCAACAAAAGGAAAATCCGAGCGTCTATTTTTGTCGTGTTTACAACGTGGTGTTGTGGGTTTAGGTGGGGTCGTGTGACTTTACTTGATTCAATAATGTATGAATTTGTTATACACATACCGCTGAATATTGGGGGTGTGGGTGGGGGGATTGAGCAGGCCTTTTAAAAATTGATTTACCGTGTGTTAAATATTAATGATGGGGGGGGGGGGGAGAGATAATTGAACAGGCCTTTTAAAAATTGATTTACCTTGTGTTAAATATTAATGATGGGGGGGGGGGATTGAACAGGCCATTTTAAAAATTGATTTACCTTATGTTTAAAAAAATGCGTTGGGGGGGGGGGTCGTTTAGGCCTATTATTTCACTTTTCACTAGATTACATTGACAACGTTTAGTTTTTTTTAATAAAGTTAAGTTAGTAAACGTGCGTAAATGTGTGTGATTTTTTAGTTTAAAGTGTTAAGCTTAGTCTGTTGGATATTGATGTTAAAAGATCAGATCACTTAATTAAAAGAACTGAAGTAGTTGAAATGGTTAAGTTTAGTTTAGTGAGAATTATGGTTTGATAGAGTTTAATTTTGAGAAGCTTTGACTTTAAGTTTAGGGCTAAAACTCCAAAATTCCTGCTCCTTAATTCCAAAAATCTTATGTTAAAATTTCGAAGTTTTAATTTGTGAACATTTAAATCTCTAGGCATTTTAAACATTGTTTAAAATCGCGATATTTTGGTGTGTTCTTGTCATTGGCCATTTCATGTTAGAGTAGTTTGAGGGCTCCACGATCTGATAAGTAGACCCAAGTTCTGTTAGTCCGCTGCTATGCTACCCGATCATTCATCATTAACCTTTTAACAGCTGGCTTTGACTAACGTAGTCCTGCCGCATATAGGATATAGTGGGACATTCTGTTGTGAGAGTTGCCTAGCTCTTCATGTGATAGTGGGACATTCTGTTGTGAGAGTTGCATAGCTCCCGATGTGATAGTGGGACATTCTGTTGTGAGAGTTGCATAGCTCCCGATGTGATAGTGGGACATTCTGTTGTAAGAGTTTCAACACGCTCCTTGTGATTTTTTAAACAGTGGTTTGTGACGTGGTGTGTTGATAGTTTCACAAGCACACTAATAAGGCGAGGCTTGCTGTGTTTTTCTTAGTCTGTGCTTTATTTTATTTTACCTTTTATTGTGCTAATCTGTGTACTTGAGTTGTTGAGGGTTATATTTTTTACAACAGTGAATTGATACCGGATCATCGCGAGTGTTGTGGCTTTAATATCTGAGGCGGTGTAAACAAAACTAACTTAACAGTGTCGGGTCTGTGGTTACTACTGTTAATTAGTGAGCAGGATACGGTTAATTAGTGACTTTGCCGCGGCTAATTAGTGACCTGGCAAGAGTTAATTAGTGTCCAACAAAGACTGATGATGTCGGACGTGGAGGAACAACAAGAGTTCACGCGGCCTGGTTCTGGGAATAAGGTCAAACCCATGGACGCTCACTTAAACAATGCCAAAGGTCGGTTACCATAGCAACCCCGTGGTCATTGCATATACTCATTCGTTTCTTTTTTTAGGAGAATACGTTTTCAAGATTCGCATTTTGACATTATTTTTTTATCTATAGTTTTTTTTTTCAAGTTTATCTATCTGTAATTTATTTTAAACTATGCATTTTTAAAATTCAGATATTGTCAGTTAAAAAAAAAACAACACATTTTGCCAATTTTCTAAACTATACGTGAGTTCACTTCCCTTTCATCCTTTTCTTATTTGAAAAGGTATTTTTTTAATTTTTTCTGCCTTACCATTTGTTTCACTGATTCTTTATTTTTACTTGATACATTGAATACTTTCAAGACAGCCATTGCTTATATGACTTGATCCTGGCCGTTAGATTATTCTAGCACTAACACGAACCAGATGAAAAGGTACTCCGTGTTCAGCTACTGATCTGATCAACTTGAGTAGCATTTGTGTCACCCAGCAACAGTTTAACATTAAATTTCGAAGCTAAACCCTAATAATCAAACTTAAACATGTAACTCGCCTTCCAGTATTATTCACTATTTAAAGTTTAACTATTCCCTAAAGGTTAACCTAAAGCTGCACTCACCACTTAAAACACATTTACCAAAGTCTAACCCACTGAACCATGTTAAACCATCAACCAAAGTCTAACCCACTGAACCATGTTAAACCATCAACCAAAGTCTAACCCACTGAACCATGTTAAACCATCAACCAAAGTCTAACCCACTGAACCGTGTTAAACCATCAACCAAAGTCTAACCCACTGACCCATGTTAAACCATCAACCAAAGTCTAACCCACTGAACCATGTTAAACCATCAACCAAAGTCTAAACCACTGAACCGTGTTAAACCATCAACCAAAGTCTAACCCACTGAACCGTGTTAAACCATCAACCAAAGTCTAACCCACTGAACCATGTTAAACCATCAACCAAAGTCTAACCCACTGAACCATGTTAAACCATCAACTAAAGTCTAACCCACTGAACCGTGTTAAACCATCAACCATAGTCTAACCCACTAAACCGTGTTGAACCATCCACCATAGTCTAACTATTGACCAAAGTTTAACCACTGACCACTGATTTAAGTTTAACTATTGACCAAAGTTTAACCACTGACCACTGATTTAAGTTTAACTATTGACCAAAGTTTAACCACTGACCACTGATTTAAGTTTAACTATTGACCAAAGTTTAACCACTGACCTCTGATTTAAGTTTAACTATTGACCAAAGTTTAACCACTGACCTCTGATTTAAGTTTAACTATTGACCAAAGTTTAACCACTGACCACTGATTTAAGTTTAACTATTGACCAAAGTCTAACACTGAACTGACCAGCCTACCTTATCTTCCACAGACAATGACAATGAAGTGTCCAATACAGGCATTGGCTGCTGTGGCTACATCCTTTGGGCCCTGTCCTTGCTGATGATCATTTGTACCTTCCCATTCTCTCTGTGCCTGTGTATCAAGGTAAGGTGATCATTTGTACCTTCCCATTCTCTCTGTGCCTGTGTATCAAGGTAAGCTGATCATTTGTACCTTCCCATTCTCTCTGTGCCTGTGTATCAAGGTAAGCTGACCATTTGTACCTTCCCATTCTCTCTGTGCCTGTGTATCAAGGTAAGCTGACCATTTGTACCTTCCCATTCTCTCTGTGCCTGTGTATCAAGGTAAGCCGACCATTTAGACCTTCTCTTGTCAAACTTTTAAATTCATTTGACTTATTTTTATACTTTTAGTTCAAGTTGATGGAGGCAATATTTTATTTTTTCATTTTAAAAAAGGGAACCATAGCACTTTGCCCGATTTTAGGGTTCGTCCAAGGTTTCAAGATTTGTTTTGGTATTATTGTTTACAAAAGAAGACAATTTTCTTTGAATGGTTTAGCAGGAGAGTTTCTGGGACATATTTCATATTTGTTTTTACTGTTTCCCCCAAGCTATTTTAGAACTGAGTGATCTGTTAACAGCAGTCATTTAGATACTTTAATTTTAAACAAGCAACCAGCCCACACTTTATGCTACTGTAGAACTTAATGCATTTACCATATGGCCTGCCTGGGTGGGAGGCTAAAACATTAGATCTAAGGGTACACACAACCATTCCAGAGTCTGTTGGATATAGACTCTCTCTCTCTCTTTCTCTCTCTCTCTCTGGGGCACTTTTTAAAGAAAATCAAATCATACCTGTCTTACAATTATTTCTTAATACTTAAGTTCAAGTTTTTGTTTCCATCATTTACCTCCCCCCCCCCCCCTATCATTACAGGTTGTGCAGGAGTATGAGCGTGCAGTTATTTTTAGACTGGGTCGTCTTGTCTCTGGTGGTGCTAAGGGCCCAGGTAAGTTTTAAACATTCCTGGTAGTTAAGTCGTTGGCAGGTGGGAAAAGGAGGTAGAATTTGAGAGGAAAATGGGGCTAATGAGGCCAGATGGAGAGGTTGATTTAATAACAAGATGATTCACCACACCTGGTGGTCTTAGGGGATAACCTGGAGTCTAGGAATGTGGCATTGTGTTATCTCCCTTTAGCTCCTCCAGTGTCTGGTGTTGTCTCCCTTTAGCTCCTCCAGTGTCTGGTGTTATCTCCCTTTAGCTCCTCCAGTGTCTGGTGTTATCTCCCTTTAGCTCCTCCAGTGTCTGGTGTTATCTCCCTTTAGCTCCTCCAGTGTCTGGTGTTGTCTCCCTTTAGCTCCTCCAGTGTCTGGTGTTGTCTCCCTTTAGCTCCTCCAGTGTCTGGTGTTATCTCCCTTTAGCTCCTCCAGTGTCTGGTGTTGTCTCCCTTTAGCTCCTCCAGTGTCTGGTGTTGTCTCCCTTTAGCTCCTCCAGTGTCTGGTGTTGTCTCCCTTTAGCTCCTCCAGTGTCTGGTGTTGTCTCCCTTTAGCTCCTCCAGTGTCTGGTGTTATCTCCCTTTAGCTCCTCCAGTGTCTGGTGTTATCTCCCTTTAGCTCCTCCAGTGTCTGGTGTTGTCTCCCTTTAGCTCCTCCAGTGTCTGGTGTTGTCTCCCTTTAGCTCCTCCAGTGTCTGGTGTTGTCTCCCTTTAGCTCCTCCAGTGTCTGGTGTTGTCTCCCTTTAGCTCCTCCAGTGTCTGGTATTGTCTCCCTTTAGCTCCTCCAGTGTCTGGTGTTGTCTCCCTTTAGCTCCTCCAGTATCTGGTGTTGTCTCCCTTTAGCTCCTCCAGTGTCTGGTTTTGTCTCCCTTTAGCTCCTACATTGTCTGGTTTCCATGATCACCAGAGGGGAAGTTGTGATGTCATGGGATTTAATAAAACAAGGCCCAGCGATTATTTTAACTACACCCAGTGTTTCTTCCAGACTTTTATCTTCCGTGGGGGGGGGGGGGGGGCACTACTTGATATTTTTTTTTGGGGGGGGGGGGGCGCGGTCAACATTCTCTGGGGGGACACACAACATTGGTAAAAGTATGTTTACTATATAAATTTCATTTCGTTCAGGGAGGGGGGGGGGTGGACTTTCTTCTGCTGAATAGATGCCTTTACTTCAGGGCTAGACAGAGCGCAAAGTTTGTGCTATAGACAATACATGTGAGATATTTACAATGGGGCATCTTGATATAACTGGTTGTTCTGGAACTTGTACCAGTAATTGGTTGTTCTGGAACTTGTACCAGTAATTGGTTGTTCTGGAACTTGCACCAGTAATTGGTTGTTCTGGAACTTGTACCAGTAATTGGTTGTTCTGGAACTTGCACCAGTAATTGGTTGTTCTGGAACTAGTATCACTAATTGGTTGTTCTGGAACTTGTACCAGTAATTGGTCGTTCTCAAACTTGTACCAGTAATTGGTTGTTCTGGAACTTGTATCACTAATTGGTTGTTCTGGAACTAGTATCACTAATTGGTTGTTCTGGAACTTGTACCAGTAATTGGTTGTTCTGGAACTTGTACCAGTAATTGGGTGTTGAGCAACATAAAAATGTAACTTGTTTAGGAAAACCCCATACTCCACACACCCAATCAGTGGAATGTTTATTGGGCTTTTAACCTTTTACTCCAGTCTCCAATTAGTAAGGGGAGACAATGAGTGCAGCTTAGTGACAGAGAATAACAGAAAAACATTAGGTAATGCTTTATGTGTACAGGGAGGGATAACTCTGATAAAAGGGGGATAATTACATAGAAACAGATGCTAGGGCCTAAGCAATTAATTGATTTTTTGTTTGTGTGCTAATGTGTATGAAGTATTGTGATCTGATTTAGCCTGTAAATACTTTACCAGTTTTAGCTTAACCTTTAACTAGTTTAACCTTTTGTAAATACACTGTGGTTAACTCTCAAGGAAAAAATTACTGACTCTGCTAACTCTATTGGGTGATCTAAATCAATCATGAAACGTTATTTTAGTTTTTTGAGTTAGCAGACTTTAACTAACTTTAATTATGACACTGATAGTGAAACATTCACATTATGTAACTATGAGGCTGATAAAACAACCAATCACATTATGTAACTATGAGACTGATAGTGAAACAATCACATTATGTAGATATGAGACTGATAAAACAACCAATCACATTATGTAACTATGAGACTGATGTAACAGTGAAACAATCACTGAATATTCTTGTGCCTAGGTCTGTTTTTCATCATTCCCTGCATGGACTCCTACACTAAAGTTGACCTCAGGACTGTGTCCTTTGATGTCCCACCACAGGAGGTGAGAACTTTTTTAACTTTCTCAAATCACTCTAGTAGGATGATGTGGTCTATCACTAAAACCTATGGGGGGTCTGCGTGATCGAGTCGGTAAAGCTCATGGTTGCTAGACAGAAAAGTCTCGAGTTCGAACCCTTGGGCAGATGAGGCTCGTTAGCTGAGGACAGCCACTCTTCTAGGAGAGACAACTCCAAAATCAAACAACTGCTGCCTTGTAGTTTGTTTTTGGTTGGACATAGGCTATGAAAGCAAATCCAAAAAGAAAAGCAGGCTGAAATCGGAGTCAATCGCCTCAATGGCACATAACCAGTTGACACATAATCCTTAATTGTGATGGAAGCATGGTTGAGTCGGCAAAGCTCATGGTTGATAAATAAAAAAAATGTCTTGAGTTCAAACCCTCTGGCAGATAAGGTTCGATCCCTCCCAACACTAAAAATTAAGAACGAAGAAGAAGAAGAAGACTAAAACCTACACTTGCTAACCCACTAATCACTAGTTCAGTACCCTGGCTTAAATAGAAAATTTTGTTTTTTACTTAAAGTAATAATTGTGAAAAATTTGAATACTGTTTTTACCTTGAATCTCAGGATAAAATTTGTCTTGTGTTTAAAGTTGTAGGTGTTGAAGATAAAATTTGTGTTTACTGTTGTAGGTGTTGAAGATAAAATTTGTGTTTACTGTTGTAGGTGTTGAAGATAAAATTTGTGTTTACTGTTGTAGGTGTTGACCAGAGACTCAGTGACCGTTGCCGTGGACGCTGTTGTGTACTACCGCGTCAAAAACGCCACCATGTCCATCACCAACGTGGAAGACGCCAACAGATCCACGCGTCTGCTGGCCGCCACCACCCTGAGGAACGTTCTGGGCACCAAGAACCTGAGTGAGATCCTGTCAGACCGAGAGAACATCAGCCACCTTATGCAGGTGTGTGTCTGTCTGTCTGTCTGTCAGCAGTTGGTGTAGGCTTGGCTGTGTCATGACAGGTGTCTGGCTGTCAGTTTAGTCCTTTAGTGTTTGTCTCAGTGTGGACCTGAGGACTAGAGCACTGCTTACCACTCTCTCACACCCCTTAACATCACTCATGTATTGTTCAAGCAAATACCAGGAGCTCCCATTCATTTGACTGCAAATTGAAACCATCTATTTGTTTAATCAGATCAAAAAATTTTAAACTAAATTAGGGAAAATTTTAGTTCAAGCTAGTTTATTGAAAACATTCTGATTTTATTGAATATAAAAAACTGATGTCATATCCTCAATGTTTTAATGTTCTCTACAGAACATATATTCATATTTACCTACACATTTTTAGATAAAAAATCATAAGATATTATATAGCTACCCAAAAGCCATTTCATCTTTATTGCACAGTTTATGTTTTTGAAAATTAATTTATTAAGATTTTAATTGGTTATATCACATACTTCTATGCCCTAGTGAGTGAAGTACCATGCATAAGCCATGAAAATAAAAAAGTTGGTTTCTATTTGTGGTGAAGAGAATTGGATGGTAATTTCTGTTGTTTTCAACATTTTAGTTTGTTTTGCATTTTGTGTCAACCTCTGACAAATTTTTTCAGCTTTTAGATTCTTTTTCAAATCTCTTAAATGACAAATTTCACTGCAAAACCCACACTTAAAATTTTCATTCTTTTTTTTCTTATTTTCTTTGCATTAAAGATCAAATTCTAAATTTCACTTTCAGATACTACAAAACAAAATATATTTTATTTGCTAAATATTTCTAAAATGGATGCTTTTCTGACAATATTCACAAAAGTTATCCTTTTGTTCTTTTTACTATCAGTCACTAAACCACTGTCAAATTTGAATAACCTCTGGCTGCTAGAGGAGATGAAATGTTTTTAAAAAGTAAATTTCCAGTTAATTTGAGTATTTGAATTTGTATGGTAGGCTAGACTACCATATTCCATAAAACTGTGTTTTTGAATTTGTATGGCAGGCTAAACTACCATATTCTATAAAACTGTGTTTTTGAATTTGTATGGCAGACTAGACTACCATATTCTATAAAACTGTGTATTTGAATTTGTATGGCACGCTAGATTGCCATATTCCATAAAACTGTGGTTTTCTTATCTCTCACCTTTGGTCTATCTTTTCCTGTCACTCGATTTCCCTCAGACGAATTTGGACGAGTGCACTGAGCCGTGGGGGATCCACGTGGAGAGGGTTGAGATGTAAGCCTGGCTTGACCTTTGAACCTGGTGTTGTCTCAGGCAACTCAGTTTCCTGTTAGTTGATGCATTGTGGGAATGTGTAGCATCTATTGTGTAGAGTGTAGGCTACATTCAATTTAGTCATATTTATGTTATTGTTATAAGAAACTAAAAGTAGATATGAAGCCAAACAATTTCCTGAAAAGTTTGAAAAAATAAATTAATTTTCTTGATCAGCAGATCTTGAAATATTAGTTCATAAAATAAAAAGATCTAGTACCCATTTATTATTTTAAAATAGTAGGCCTAATAGAAAGTAATATAATTGTTAAAATATATTTTTAAAATTCAGTTAATAAGAATTAACTAAAAGCATTTAAATTAACTTTTTGAGTATAAGGAATATTAATTTTTATTTTATTTTACATGTAATAAAAAAATCCTACTTGTTCCATTATAAAATGTGAAATTTATAAAGTATAAAGCAAGCACTCAAGTGAATTATCCATTAGTTTTTTTGCCTGCTGCAAGAATTTATGGCCTGTTGTAAATCGTGCATACTTTTTTTTACTCTTATATTATTGCATGATTTTTTTGTTTTGTTTTTTAATAACAAAAGAAGGTGCATCATTCTTTTAACCAAAAGGGGAATCTAGTTTAGTAAAATAAACTTTACAATTTTTATATGGAATAATCTAGACTTAACTCTTCTTAAAACAATGTCTATTTTTACAATTTTACATGTGATCAGGTCAGATACGTTTGATTGGTTGTCTATAAATAACTGAGATTATAACAGCATTTAGAACATAGGCTATATTCTTTTGAATAAAATTATAGTCATTTGATTGGTTCTCTATAAATAACTGAGATAATAACAACATTTAGAACATTGGCTATAATTTTTTGAATAAAATTGTTATTTGATTGATCCTAATTAGAACAGATTTTAGAAATCTTAGAGCTTATTTTCTTTGTAACAAAAGGAAATTTATCTCATTTATGCTGGCTTAGTTAAACATGTATCCAATTTTTTATCAATAAGATTGTGTGATAGAATTTTTAAGTAAAAATTATAACAAAAGTCTTCAAAGTTACAGAACTACAAAATTAATTTTTTAGACCTTAGAAATATTAACAAAAATAATTTGTGGTATTTTTTTTTTATATATATTAATAGCGTCTGTTTTATATAACAAACTGCCTCTTGATTTGGGAAAAAATCCCATATTGATATCATGCTTCCATGGAAAGCTTACTTTAAATCTTTTAATTTTGTTTTATTTTACATCTCTTAAGCTCTTGAATATTGAAAAAGTTTTGTTTTATTGTACATCTCTTCAGCTCTTAATTATTCAAAAATTTTTGTTGTCTATGCCAAGTAGATATTATATATAACCACTAGCAAGCTAGCACCCCTATTAAAACCTCATTGATGACAATGCCTGCCTGTCTCTTCCCTATGTTCAGACATCATTGGACGAGGCCACTGATCCGTGGGGTGTGAAGGTTGAACGTGTGGAAGTGTAAGTATGCATTGTGCTCCTAGTACTCTGGGTCGTGTTTCCTAACAAGAACTATTTGTACTGCCATTGTTCAACTCTGCTCCACCACACCTCAATGCATTGTGATTGGTTAGCAGCAAATGTGTTTAGAAGTCCTACCCCAATCAAGTACTGAATCTTTAACTAGCATAAATTATAACTTCAACCCTTGATTTGTGATTTGATTTTAATGATATATAGATTGCTAAGTGGGATGGGGGGGGGTGACATTACTCAAACAAGCACTATGATAGTATCCCTAATAGCATCCTTATGTTTATTGTTGTTTACGTTATGGTAAAAGGTAGATATCTTTATGCACCCATCTCACCTCCATGTAACTTCCCCCCCCTCCCCCATTGTAGTTTAATGTAAGCATGGTTGGTGCATGGGCAATATTTACATGATGCATGCCAGGTTTTTATTTTTTTTTTTTACGTTAGTCGTGCATGCCAAATTGTCTTGTTAGTAAACTAATGTCAGTGAATGTTTTTTTTTAAAATAACTGACCCAGCAATCTGGTACTACTTAATGTAGGACTGGTCTAATGTCATGTAATGGAGTAGTGTCATGACCCAGATAGTCATGGTTGGTGTAGAGCCTGTGGGCTTGTTCAAGGTACTTTGTGGGCTTGTACAGGCACCCTGTGGGCTTGTACAGGCACCCTGTGGGCTTGTACAGGCACCCTGTGGGCTTGTACAGGCACCCTGTGGGCTTGTACAGGCACCCTGTGGGCTTGTATGGGCACACTGTGGGCTTGTACAGGCACCCTGTGGGCTTGTACAGGCACCCTGTGGGCTTGTATGGGCACCCTGTGGGCTTGTACAGGCACCCTGTGGGCTTGTATGGGCACAGTGTGGGCTTGTACAGGCACCCTGTGGGCTTGTACAGGCACCCTGTGGGCTTGTACAGGCACCCTGTGGGCTTGTACAGGCACCCTGTGGGCTTGTTCAAGGTACTTTGTGGGCTTGTACAGGCACCCTGTGGGCTTGTACAGGCACCCTGTGGGCTTGTACAGGCACCCTGTGGGCTTGTATGGGCACAGTGTGGGCTTGTACAGGCACCCTGTGGGCTTGTACAGGCACCCTGTGGGCTTGTACAGGCACCCTGTGGGCTTGTACAGGGTACTTTGTGGGCTTGTACAGGCACCCTGTGGGCTTGTTCAGGGTACTTATTGGGCTTGTACAGGGACCCTGTGGGCTTGTACTGGTACACTGTGGGCTTGTATGGGCACCCTGTGGGCTTGTACAGGCACCCTGTGGGCTTGTATGGGCACAGTGTGGGCTTGTACAGGCACCCTGTGGGCTTGTACAGGCACCCTGTGGGCTTGTACAGGCACCCTGTGGGCTTGTACAGGCACCCTGTGGGCTTGTTCAAGGTACTTTGTGGGCTTGTACAGGCACCCTGTGGGCTTGTACAGGCACCCTGTGGGCTTGTACAGGCACCCTGTGGGCTTGTATGGGCACAGTGTGGGCTTGTACAGGCACCCTGTGGGCTTGTACAGGCACCCTGTGGGCTTGTACAGGCACCCTGTGGGCTTGTACAGGGTACTTTGTGGGCTTGTACAGGCACCCTGTGGGCTTGTTCAGGGTACTTATTGGGCTTGTACAGGGACCCTGTGGGCTTGTACTGGTACACTGTGGGCTTGTACTGGTACACTGGGCTTGTACAGGGACCCTGTGGGCTTGTACTGGTACAATGTGGGCTTGTACTGGTACACTGTGGGCTTGTACAGGCACCCTGTGGGCTTGTACTGGTACAATGTGGGCTTGTACTGGTACACTGTGGGCTTGTACAGGCACCCTGTGGGCTTGTACAGGCACCCTGTGGGGTTGTACGGCCACACTGTGGGCTTGTACAGGCACCCTGTGGGCTTGTAAAAGCACCCTGTGGGGTTGTACGGGCACCCTATGGTTTTGTACGGGCGCCATGTGGGCTTGTACGGGCACCCTGTGGGCTTGTTCAAGGTACTTTGTGGGCTTGTATGGGCACAGTGTGGGCTTGTAGCACACAGAGGCACTCTGCAGGTTTAAACAAACACCCTAAGGCACACTTCCACCAACCTCCACCCACAATTCCACCCACACCTCAGCACTACTGTCCTCCTTCCACATTTGCCTCCACCCCCTCTAATTCAATTCTGACCATTTCCATAATCTCTCTCCTACCATAAGTCCCAGCTCTGATGAAAAAAAAAAGTCCAGTGAGAGCTGTTAAATTGTCCCAAATTGTCCTGGGATGCTAATCTTCTAGTGGACATTAGGTCTGTGGGGTGGGGTAGGGTGGGGTGGGGGAGGTATAGAGATTTCTAGCATCAAGTCCTAGTCTAAATAACCTTGGCTGTCTAGAATTTGTTAGACTCAGCATATTTTATTATATCATTTGCTTGGGTGTTTTAATAAGTTTAAATATTGTTAATCACTTTTGAAGAAATTAATACATGATTGCCTAATTTAAAAAAGGACATTAATATTTTGTTTTCCTGATGCTGTAACGCAGTTAGTTTACTGTACATAATGATAATGTCCTAAATAGAAACTGCTCCCAGTAACTATTGTCTTACTAAGAAACTTTTGTCAATAACTCTTGTCTTACTGTCTCTCCCCTACAGTAAAGATGTCCGCCTCCCAGTCCAGCTACAGAGGGCCATGGCTGCTGAAGCTGAAGCTTCCAGAGAAGCCAGAGCTAAGGTATGTGTTGGACGAATGTATTGTATTATGTAGATAAGCCAGAGCTAAGGTATGTGTTGGATGAAATTATTAAGTACGTGTTGAAATTATTATGTACCAGAGTTGATTGCTATCTATTCTTCTTTGTTCTAAATTGTAATATTGAAATGGATTTCCTCCAACGCAGTTAGGTATAAAACCTAATACCGTATTACATGTCAACATGTTGTGGTTTTAGAAAATGTTAAAAAGGAATTCAAAACTCCCCCCCCCCCCATCCCCCACTTTTAAAATTGGTTCTGAGACTGGTGTATTTTCCAGCTTACTTTACTTTCTCTAGCTCAAGCTTTTATAACAATTTAAACTGGGTGGACTTCAATTAGGAGGGGGAGTGGATATATAAATCATAAACCTATCTGGGGAAAAGTGGGGGGGAGGAGGGGGGGGAGGGACAGAGGAACCAAGAGAGAGGAATGGCTTTGGGATACAGGAGAATTAAGCTGAGTACCTAAGTGAGACTTTGTATGCTTTAACTCAACTGCACCGCCTCTCAGCTGAACTTAAGGAACAATATATGTTGTTGACTTGAAACTTGAGAATAAATGTGTTATGTTGACTTGACACTTGAGAATAAATGTTTTGTTGACTTGACACTTAAGAATAAATGTGTTGTGTTGACTTGACACTTGAGAATAAATGTGTTATGTTGACTTGACACTTGAGAATAAATGTTTTGTTGACTTGACACTTAAGAATAAATGTGTTGTGTTGACACTAACCTCTAACGATGTCTCCAGGTGATTGCAGCAGAGGGTGAGCAGAAGGCCTCCCGCTCCCTGAAGGAAGCCGCAGACATCATGATCCAGTCACCAGCCGCCCTGCAGCTCCGCTACCTCCAGACTCTCAACACCATCTCCGCAGAGAAGAACTCCACCATCATCTTCCCCCTGCCCATTGACATGCTGTCTGTTTTCATGAAAAAGTAGTGGGGGCAGCCAGGTGTGTCTGTTATCACTAAGATGATTTTTTACAACTCTCAGTTATAATAGGGTACAACATCAGCTATTTAGAGGGTAAACAGTCAAATGGATAGACTGATACACATGTGATCAAAATTTACTTTGGGTCATTTAAAATTTAAATGGTTCAGTTTTTTTAAAAAAATAAAAAATTCTATTACTTTAATTTTTTATTTCAACATCAATGATCGGGTTTTAATATTTTAAAAAAAAGTGTTTTTTTTTTACATTTTAAATGAAGACCAAATACTCCAGTAGTTTTTTTTATTCTAATTGTTTTCTTTATGTTATTTATAGACATAGACTAGACTTTTTAAAAAACAACTCACCACACTCCTAACATCAAAACAGAAGAGTCTGTTTTTAAACAACTTGTTAACGAACTTAAATTTTAAAATTTTCATACACCAGTGCAACTTAATGTCATTTTTAATTTAATTTTCAACTACAAATTTCTGTTGCTTTAAATATACTTTAAAGGTGTACTTTTTTTTTTACATACCTTTTGGAAAACTTATACAACTTACTGTAGGCTACTTGATATTTTTTTTTAAAGATAAAATACAGGTACAAATTTTCATAATTTTTTGAATACTTTAAAGAAAAGAATTTTTAAAACAATTATACTTTACATGTGATTGAAAAAACAGCACCAAAAGGGGAAACTTAGGTGAATGTTTGTGTCATGTGATGTGTTAACTCTTCTGTGTTTGGAAACACAAATGGAATCTTTCAGCTGCCTTGTTGAATGTTTGATATCACTTGAAGAGATTCCGCCTTTTTTTTACGGCACATTAATCAGTAGTTTGTTTTAATTGTAGCTAAACTCATTGTTTTTAGGTTCATAATTATCTAATGCTTTTAAGTTTAATTGTTAACTTATCATTTTTTAAATGTCTATGCCGTAAGGCCTGAATTATTTTTCTATTAAAAATTATTATATTTACATTTGATGTATATTGTATACAATGTGTAATAATAGATATTTAGTACATATTTTCCATTTATACCAAAATGAATTGTTTGGTAACGTCATATAAGCTAAAATATTAGCTAAAATAAAACAGCAAAAAGGATTTATCCTCATTTCATAATCAGACAAATTATGTGAAAGTTGGTAAATGAAAATGTGTCAATTTTTTTCCCAGAAAGCTTTATATGAGGTCAGTCAAAGAACTAAAATCAAGCTTAAATTTTTTAAATGTACTTTATCCATCCAAGTACTATCATATAATTAAGTAAGGCCATCATATGAATTATATGAGGGGTTTATAACTATTATGTGAATATGTTTTTCTATTTTCCTGTCCATTTTGACTGTCCCAACTTTGCCTTTTCTATTGAACATAATGAGCCCATAGTCTGTGATTTGCCAGTTTGTACATAGCACCTGTAGATTAATATCTAACAGGCTTGTCTTTTTGGTTAAATTGTTCAAAGTCTTGATTCAACTGATTTTAAAATTATATTTTGGTTAAAAAAACATAATAAAACAACTTAAATTGTTTACAACTACAGAATTTAAAAACAATTAGTCCTGATTTTAATTTGATTAATTTGTCTTGGAATTTAAAAAAAAATAATAACTGATTCATTGTAGTCAAATTTTCATTACTTTCTACCTAAAGCCATAAATGGACAAACCAATTTCAGTGATACAGTTGGATTAATCCAGAAGGAAAACAAGTGTTTCATTTCTTTATAAATTATGCAGTCTTGTATTTCATATCTTCAGACTAGCGTTCATTCAATTCATCATATGCACATATGCCAGATGTGTGACACATTTTCTTTTGTTGTTTTATAAATTACTTTTTTTTTTTTATTTAAAAAAAAAAGCTAAATAGATTTGCTCAATTGTTTTAAAACTTTGTTCAGTTGACCTAGAATTGCTCCATTTTTTAACCCAAAAACATAAATGGACCCATGAAACTAAACCAATGTTTGAATATTTGTCCACAAGGACCATAATACAATGTACATAAAAAATTGTTTTTCTAAGCTGTTCTGTGTCTCTCTGAATTGTATCACTGCATGTTATTTTCTACCCTATTGCTGGCAAACATTGTTCATCTTTTTCAAATTTCAATCTTCATTTGTTGAATGGAGCCATTTTACCTGTTACATTTATACATAAATATATATTACTATATACATTAAACTATAATGTATGCATTGTTTAAAATATTAAAACTATTCCTTTTTTTATTATGAACATTTTAAAGTAATTTAAACATAATTATTGTAAACGCATTTGAATTGTAACATCTTGAATTAACTAACATCATTTTTCAAAAAATTCAAATCAACTTTAAAGGAAAGAAGAAAGTCATTTTTTATTGTAATAATTCTGTTTTCATGAATATAGTTGGTTGTCCATTTCAACATAAGTAAAAGTATTCTACTTAACTAGTCTTGTTTGGTTCCTAGTGTTTGAATATGGTGATTGTCTAAGATATGCCTGAGATTTTAGTTGCTAGATTGGGAAAAATCTGGCATGTCTGTTTCTGTTTATCTGTAGTTTTTAAATGAGCGAGGTCATTTTTGACATTTTAAGTTCAAATGATATGTGGATTCTGATATACATATACGTAACAACAACATGAGGGGAAAAAAAAACATTTTACCACACATCAACACACATCAAATTTAAAAACTTTATACCCATTTTTTATTGGAATGGATTTTTTAAACTTCAAGAAAAAAAAAAACAACTATCAAATCTAAGATAGATCACAATTTTGTTTGACCCAAGAGCTTGGGTACCTAGACCGTACACATACACATACAGCCAGACCATCATTGATTGTTACAATCAAAAATACATGAAAATACTTTCGTCAAGAAAAACAGTTTGATAAGAAGGAATTAAAGGTGAAACAGGCTGTTTAATTCAATAAAAACCTTTATGGTAAGTAACAATGAAGGATGTGAATTGTGTTTGATCATACTTTAAGTACTAGTTGGAACAAAAAGATGTACACTATGACAGGGTAAGATTGTGTCATATGTTAAAACAATTGATTTTTAATTCACAAATCTGTGCAATCAATGATAGAAGAAAACATTTGTAACATTGAAGAAAAATTAATTTTAAAAGCCTCACCAACATTTAAATTAAAAAAAAAAAAACCATCTTTCGAACAATTTTACTTCTCTAAATAATTGTATTGCTCAATATTGCTAAAAATTATTGCCTCTACTTAAACACATCAACAACTATATTTTCATATGCTAAATATAATTTAAATGATCACCTTATAATTTTTGGTCTTTGTATATATTTATCTATTAATTATCATTATTATATTAAAAGTTTGAAAATTAAAATCACATAAGATAAAGTAGCCTATATGGAGGTCAATATGGATTATTTTATACAGGTACATATTATGTCTTGAGTGGACATACGTAAGGGGTGATCACACAGCATACAATTGTCCAAGGATGACAAAAATTTGTGGATAACCAGCACAAACCATTAGGGGAAATCACAATGACTAGCAGCCACCAAAGGAGAGGAAAATTTTCAAACATTATTTTAAGCTTTGACAGAATCATCATAAGCTTAGACATCAAGCTCTGTTACCCCATCTTGACACTTCAGTGAAACAAAAATAAAAACGTGGGAATGTAGAAAAAGAAAATCTTTGAATTTCCAGTTTCAAAAGAATTTTTTTGGTCTTGTTCTTAACAACACCAGGATATTACAAGGTCAAGGGGCATAGGAAGAAATCCTGGCAGCCTGATAAGCCTAAAAAATTATGTGCAAAGCAAACACAAATAGTTTTAAATATTACCACAATTCAATTTCTAAATCATATGCAACAACATTAAAAAATAAATTAAAATTGAAGGTCATCTAAAATACCCTTTCTATTTATTAAAGGTGTCTAATAGACTATTGTACTCTGCGGGACTTTAAAATAAATGAGTATCTAAATCTCTTTCACCTGACCAGTCAAAAATCTGATGATAGTTTTTCAACCATTTTTTATCACTACAAATAAATAGCTAAAAAATGGAATATCTTGAAAAGGGTGCGGGAAAAAATGTTTTCAAGGATTACACAATGAGTATTTATATCTCTTTTCAAATATATACAAGCTTCCTGTACACCAAATTTATAACAAAATGTTATAAAAATACACATCCATACATTTCAAGATTTCACACATCACAGCTTATAGAAAAACATGTCTGAGATATCCAAGGGCACCAGACCCTTCAACCCGTGACCCATTACAGCTAATCTCATGGCACCAGAGACCTTCAACCCGTGACCCATTACAGCACATCACTAAGACATCCCAGGGCACCAGACCCTTCAACCCGTGACCCATTACAGCACATCCCAGGACACCAGACCCTTCAACCCGTGACCCATTACAGCACATCACTAAGACATCTCAGGGCACTAAACCCCAACCTTTTACAGCACATCTACAATACAACCTCATATCTAAGTGTAAAGCACCTCTAATTCCAAAAGTTTTTTTTTATTTATGCTGCATATTTTTCTATTTTATTTACATAACCAGACATATTTATAAAAAAATATTTGAATTATTTAATTGATTAAAACTACTAAAATATTTTCTGTGACATGTTATTTAAGATATGGTATAACCAAACACGACAGGCATCATAAGTCATAAAATCACCAGACTAAATGCCAATGGCTTAAATTTAGTCCAAAACTTTGAGGTATCATAAAAAAAAAGAAAAAAAACAACTTTAATTACCCATGCTTGAATTACAGTCAGAGTTTGAGCATGAATTGAAACTTTGTAGCCTATGAGAACCAGATGAACACATTGTTTGAATTTAAATTAAAACAATCTTTAATATTAAATAGTCAAACACTAAAAGTAAAATAGGAAAAGGTTTTAAAAATAGCAAGGTTGTCGTGACTTTATTGTGCCTAGTTTGATACAACATGCTGCTGTCCATAATACACCTAGAAAATCATTTGCATAAATAATTAGTGGCTAATAGTTAACAATGTAGGGATCTGTTTGATTAAACAGTTAACATGCAACGTATAAATTCAACATAATGATTAAAATATTACCAGTCTATTTCATTGCAACTACAAGCTTTACGAATGGTTGTTTTGTTTTCAAATCAGAGCAAGTGATTTCATTACTCTACCTTTATACTAACATCTTTGGCACTGTGGAATGTCTTTTTTTTTTTCACAAAGTTAAAAATACAACAAAATTTGTGAATGTTTAAGTAAGATTAAAGGGAAACTATTCCCCATTGACTCTAGTAAAATTGAAGGGAGGCTAATGCCAGTGAGTCTAGTGAAAGTAAATCACAATGAGTCTAATAAAGTAAGAGCGGCTAGTTCTTACAAGTCTAGTGCAGAAGTTTAAGAGTAATTTAAATTTGGAATAAAATTTTGTATAGCAATTGCAAAATGTGATACATCAGTGTTAAATGAGATCCCTTTATGATTTTTATAATTGATGTGATTTGCAATTTATTAAACCATGCAGCATTAGGGGAAAAAAACAGAATTAGGTTCTTAGTACACAAATTTACAATTATCACCTTGCAATTCTAGTTGTCTCTATGGCAACAAAGTTTTAAAAAATGTTTAGATTTACAGGAATATTAGATTATGCACAGTAAAGTGTTCTTGTATCAAAAGCTAAAACAAACGTGTCTAAAAATGTTTTGAAAATAGGTGCAACAACAACATATATGGTTTGTTTACAGTTATTTTACCTTACTATTTTACTTCCTAATATATTGAATTTCTTATTATTATACATGTACTTTAAAACGAGATTTGTTTTTAATTGAAAACATTTTTACACACAAATTTACATTATGAACAACTTCTAATAAAGAGAACATTATGACCTAAGTAAATTATTGATAGCACTCCAAAAAAACAGTATTTTTTTTCATTTTTATATAGGTAACAGAAACATAAAGTCAAGAAAACAAATAATGTTTGGTGTAGGACATCACATTAGGAGAAATGTTAAAACTTTAAATGATTGAAATCTCAAATGATAGATATAAGCTGGTTGTGAGATTCCTCCAGGAAATACTTCATGGCTACTCAGGAGGGAGAGACAAAAGGACAACACACGCACACAACAACACATACACCAACACTTATTGCAAGACAAAAGGAGAACACACACACACAACAACACATACACCAACACTTATTGCAAGACAAAAGTAGAACACACACACAACAACACATACACCAACACTTATCTTTTAAGGAGGGTGAAACAGAGTAGACCAATAGCAGAGAGATAGCCCTATCAAATCAACCCGATCCCTTCAATTATATAAAGATATTAAAACTGTTACCATTGTTCAAAATACATTGATAAATTAACACATTTTAATTCATTTAATTATACAAAACTCGTCTAATACTTCACTAATATTATCTAACAGGCAATTTTTAAAAACAATGTATTTTAATTAACGAAAGTGATTTAAACATGTGTTTACCTAAGGATAAAGACAGAACCCTGAATATCCACTGGATGATGTGAGAGACTGAATGGACAATTAAAACATGAAATAACTATGGGATATCATTTTCACCACAAATCATTTAATAACTATTCAGAACTTAAATGTAAACAAAAATTGACATTGAGTTATACAATAAGAATGTTAGGCTATGTCAAAGATTGTTTTCTAAAATGATGTAAAAAAAACGTTTAATCAATGCCTTGTAAAATATAAAAAAAATAGTGAGTTGTTCAATGCTGACTAAGTGTGTGATGCAACCTGGCATTACACACAAAATTCACTCTCTGCAGACTAAGTATATGGCCAGTGGGACTAACAATCTGCTGGTTAAACATAAGTAGATTTTTCTTATTTTCAACTAAAAGGAAGTTTGGATGAAATTTATTAACAGTAGGAGATAAATAAAAAACGAATAAATAAAATTGGGTATAAACGTGTTCAATAACAAACAAAAATAAAATCATAGATAACAAATTTTTAAAATTATTGTGCTTATAACATTTGGCTTCATCCCCTAACCTGCGCAGCATTCTGTTAAATGCAGAGAACAACAATACTGTGTCTACGTGAGAGGTGAACGTATGACGGACTTTAAAATTTTTAACACACGAGGTGAACGTACGATGGACTTTAAAATTGTCAATACAAGGAGACCAGCTACACACCCACACAACTTATAAATTAATACTGCGGATAAAAAAGGCTGGTTTGTTATGACGGAACAAAACTTAAGTTTTACTGTACAATATTTGGCTTGGCTAGGGGCTGCACTAATGCAGCCATTGGTTAACACATTTAATTGCCTCAGTTTTGTGTGATACTTCAAAGTACATATACAAATTTAATTTGTACAAAATATATATCTGATCAATCAATATATTCCACAATATATCTCATTTCATCAAGGAATTTCACAATATATATTTGACCAATCAGTTTATTACACAATATATATTTTACCAATCAACATTTTCAACTATAAATATCTATCAATGTATTCCACATTATATATTAGACCAATCAAGGAATTCCACAATATATCTGACCAATGAATGCCATCCACAATAAAAATCTGGCCAACCACGCATGCTGTGAGATCTAGGTTGAGTACTCCATTGTTTTGATGAACTCAACAGCAGACGTCAGCTGCAGCCACCAGTACTGCTCCTCCCCGTGGAGCCGACTCTCGTAGAAGCTGTTGACGTACTGTATGGTGGACAGGAGGCCGAAGGGGTTGGCTTTGATGAGGACAAAGATGAGGACAGGCATGAAGTCATCGGCTGCAGGGACTGACTTCTCGTTGGCCATGCTCAGCAGGTTCATGATGGTCTGGGAGCAGCGCAGGACACACTGGATTTTGTCTTTGGGGGTCTGGAAATGTCAAATGTTTCAAGTTAATGGTGGTCTGGAAATGTTTGCAGTTAATGGGGGTCTGGAAATGTCAAATGTTTCAAGTTAATGGGGGTCTGGGAATGTTTCAAGTTAATGGGGGTCTGGAAATGTTTGAAGTTAATGGGGGTCTGGAAATGTTTGAAGTTAATGGGGGTCTGGAAATGTTAGAAGTTAATGGGGGTCTGGAAATGTTTCAAGTTAATGGGGGTCTGGAAATGTTTCAAGTTAATGGGGGTCTGGAAATGTCAATTGTTTGAAGTTAATGGGGGTCTGGAAATGTCAATTGTTTGAAGTTAATGGGGGTCTGGAAATGTTTCAAGTTAATGGGGGTCTGGAAATGTCAAATGTTTGAAGTTAATGGGGGTCTGGAAATGTCAAATGTTTGAAGTTAATGGGGGTCTGGAAATGTTAGAAGTTAATGGGGGTCTGGAAATGTTTGAAGTTAATGGGGGTCTGCAAATGTTTCCAGTTAATGGGGGTCTGGAAATGTTTGAAGTTAATGGGGGTCTGCAAATGTTACAAGTTAATGGGGGTCTGGGAATGTTTGAAGTTAATGGGGGTCTGGGAATGTTTGAAGTTAATGGGGGTCTGGAAATGTTACAAGTTAATGGGGGTCTGGGAATGTTTGAAGTTAATGGGGGTCTGCAAATGTTTGAAGTTAATGGGGGTCTGGAAATGTTTTAAGATAATGGGGATCTAGAGAATATAAAATATTTTTAACTGAAACTTAAACTATAAACATTAATTTTGTACTAATTCAGTACCTACGACAGTAACGAAGTTCAAAGAAGGTATTTATCAATTAAAGTAATTTAGGTTTTATAAAGTTACACACTGTGTTTATAGCAGAGTTTTATACTTATAAAAATATCACGGTTGCTATTTGTCATGTTAAGGTTTTTTTTTTTAAAATATCAATCCTAATATATCGCTTTTTAGAATTTAAGAGAAAAAAAATTGTGCTTTAATCCATAGCAGTTAGTCTTAAGCAAAAAGGGAACTTTACTAATTAGTCTTAATCCATAAATCTAACATTTAAATGTTTTAGGTTAGTTAATTAGTCTTAGTCCATAGAGGTAAGTCATAAATCAAAATATTCAATCAATAAGAACAACCTTATCGTAGTGAGTCACAATCAAAGTTATTTAATAAATTGAAGAATAAAACGACCAATCAAAGAACGTGGGCTAATCTGTGCACGCTGATGATAGACCAATTATCTGACTCACCCTGTATGCATTGATCATGTAAATTTCCTTCTGAGCCGCGGGCCAGGGACACTCCAGATGGTACATGCGAGGTATGCGCAGATCTTTGTGGGTGGGGGTGATGATTTTACTCAGTTTACGCAGGTGCTCCTGAAGCAGCCTGTTCAAAAATAATGTCAGTAAATATTTGACTGACTAGCACTAACCTCTTAGGAAAAAATATTACTTTCAAAAGGCAAATTCTTACTTTTCTAATTTCCAAAGAAAAAAAAAAAAAAAAAAAAAAAAATAATGGCTTCAACTTTTCTAATTCACATAAACTGAGAAAAAGTGTTATGCTATATGAACAAAACAAATTAAGGTTTTAAAATCATTACGATCTCCATAACAATCCCCTACAACATGCCTAAACTATCACACCCCAACACTACAAGACTGTGACCCCCCCTCCCCAAAACACCTTAACTATGACCCCTAAGACACCCTAATATTATGACCCCCAAGACACCTTAACTATGACCCCTAAGACACCCTAATATTATGACCCCCAAGACACCTAAAATATGACCCCCAAGACACCTTAACTATGACCCCTAAGACACCTTAATATTATGACCCCCAGGACACCTAAACTATGACCCCAAGACACCTAAACTATGACCCCAAGACACCTAAACTATGACCCCAAGACACCTAAACTATGACCCCAAGACACCTAAACTATGACCCCCAAGACACCTAAACTATGACCCCCAAGACACCTAAACTATGACCCCAAGACACCTAAACTATGACCCCAAGACACCTAAACTATGACCCCAAGACACCTAAACTATGACCCCCAAGACACCTAAACTATGACCCCCAAGACACCTAAACTATGACCCCAAGACACCTAAACTATGACCTCCCAAGATGCCAAAACTATCAAATCAAGAGAAAAACCCAATCTTACTGATCCCGTAGAATGTCCCCGTCCCCATTGGGGAACATGGCATGCGTGTAGATCCGACTCATGAGAAACCTTTCAATGGCTTGTTTACCATCCTCCAGCTGATTGTCTGTGGCAGCTGAAAGTCACAAGTTTTTTTTAGTAACTGGCCAGGAGAAATCTGCTATTGTCTAATTTTAATTAATTAATTTAGCATGAACTAATACACCAAGTTAATGGTTTTTATTAATGTCATTGACCAGGAGAAATCTGCTATTGTCTAATTTTAATTAATTAATTTAGCATGAACTAATATACAAATTGGATGGGTTTTTTAAATGTCATTGGCTGGAGAAATCTCATATGGTCTAATTTTAATTTAATACATAGACCTCAACTAATATAACAAGTGGATGGAATCAAATGAGAATGTGCTAGGCTACCTGCCCTAAGATACAAATACTACTTTTGGTTTACCTACCTTTCCACAAGGGGTCTGAGACCATTTCCTGGTACAGTTGTTGTAAAAACTGTTCCACAAGATCAATCTGCGAAACAAAATTTAAAATCAGGCTGAACTGGTTCTACAAGCAGCCCAATAAAATCAGATATTCTGACTTGGGCTACACATATAATAAAACTAACTGTCTCAATATTGATACAGGAGATTGTATAGTCTACTACTATTTTTCATTTTTCAAACTGTCTTTACAAAGTTATAAATATCAGTCTCATTAATTAGTTATTTTAACATAGATATAGGAAGTGGTGAAGAGTTGGCTACAACTGCTGCCAATTAGATTTTGCCTATGGAAACACTAAGTCAAACCAAAGCTAATCTGCCAGCATCTAATTTTATCAACCCACTGACCATGCAGAAATGGCAGCAATCAATGTATTAGAGTAAAATGGTATTAGGATTTTAAAAAACATACATAACCAATTTGAAATTTGTTCAAAATTACTTAATACTCTCATTTACAAAATATCTTTTCTAACAAATATCAACCTACAAAGAAATTAACTAAAAATATATAAGTTGTTTATTTTGTTCAGTATGTAAATTATTCATACTGCAGAGAAATATCTCAGTAAAATACAAACAATTAATATAGTTAATCAAAAACAAAATTTATGTCTTGAAACATTAAGTCCATATAGGCCTAACCATATAACCATTTTCTCAATAAAACCAACCAACCATATTTTGCTTAATATTTTCTCTCAATAAAACCAAGCAACCATATATAATAAAATAAATAATTACTTTTGCAGAACACTTCTCATTAGACATGAATAACTCAACCCAAAATACAAAGACCAACCTTATCATTTGACATGGATAATGCAATCAAAATACCAAAGACCAACCTTCTCATCCGACATGGATAACTTCTGGAACTCTGTGATAAACTTCCACAACCTTTTTTCTCTCTTTTCCAGGAAATTTCTGGCGCAGATGTTGGTCAGATGTTTGCTGCAGATTTCTTTCTCTCTGGTCAACACAAGTTTCATTCATTCATTTATTCAACTGGCATTTTAATTACTTGTCTTATAAAGATTAAAGATTTGTATTTAACACACAAATTAAACTAATGTCAAAAAATGTTTTTTATCTAATTATGACATAACAGTATTTTTTTTAAAAAGAATTATGGCAAGATTTAAACTAGAATTAAGATTCTAGTAACTTTATTCAGACTCTGATAAGAAAGAACAACAATATGAATAGGGCTAGTGAATGGAGTCAAATATTAGAGACCCACCTGCTGATTCGACTGAGTCAAATAATAGAGACCCACCTGCTGATTCGACTGAGTCAAATATTAGAGACCCACCTGCTGATTCGACTGAGTCAAATATTAGAGACCCACCTGCTGATTCGACTGAGTCAAATATTAGAGACCCACCTGCTGATTCGACTGAGTCAAATATTAGAGACCCACCTGCTGATTCGACTGAGTCAAATATTAGAGACCCACCTGCTGATTCGACTGAGCCAAATATTAGAGACCCACCTGCTGATTCGACTGAGTCAAATATTAGAGACCCACCTGCTGATTCGACTGAGCCAAATATTAGAGACCCACCTGCTGATTCGACTGAGTCAAATATTAGAGACCCACCTGCTGATTCGACTGAGCCAAATATTAGAGACCCACCTGCTGATTCGACTGAGTCAAATATTAGAGACCCACCTGCTGATTCGACTCAACAGTCGCTGCAACTGGTGCCTTGTGGCCAGGAGACCTTGTCGACACCTGACCAGGTAGGCAATGTATGCTGATCTGGTGCAGTAGTCCTCCCTCATAGACCTCAGCAGTTTCTTGCAACTGTCACACAACACAACAACCAACATTCACATTTTTGGCACTATGTTGAACTCTATTTAAACTAGATTTTTAACACAAGCAGTAATTGTGCTGACATTTAACTGTACAATTACATACAAAGATGTTAAGCCCGTAATGATATTTAGAATAAACATATTAATCAGATAAAACCATGAGCCAACAAACACACACAAAACCATGAGCCAACAAACACACATCACAAAACCCATGAACCAACAAATAGATCACAAAAAGCAATAAGCTAGCAAACAGATCACATTGAGGGACCAAACACAGCTGCACTCACCCATCCGAGTCGAACATCTTGATACACCTGAGGGCCTCATACAACTGAGCCACCAGGTCCTTGTTCTGGAGATTGATGGCCTCAGCCAGCTGGGCCGTCAAGATGTTGATCAACTCATTCCCTCGGTTTGTGCACCCTTCTCTGGGACTGCTGGACTGGATCTAAACAATTCAACAGGCAGAGTTAGATAGAACACAACCATTCCCTCGGTTTGTGCACCCTTCTCTAGGACTGCTGGACTGGATCTAAACAATTTAACAAGCAGATTAACTTCACAATTAGAGTTAGAACACAGATAAACTCCATAGATAGAATGCAAGCAATTAAATACCACAATAAAATGCGAACAGAATACAATCATGTTGACACAACAATAAAACTAAGACAAATCACAGCTGAACACCACAAAAAAGACAAGAACACAAACAGAAAAACATCCCCTGTCTTATACCTGGATAATGCATCTCTTACCTGGCCAATGCCAAAGTACACATCCCCCATCTCTTACCTGGCCAATACCAAAGTACACATCTCCCATATCTTACCTGACCAATACCAAAGTACACATCTCACATATCTTACCTGGCCAATACCAAAGTACACATCCCCCATCTCTTACCTGGCCAATACCAAATTACACATCCCCCATCTCACACCTGGCCAATACCAAAGTACACATCCCCCATATCTTACCTGGCCAATGCCAAAGTACACATCCCCCATCTCTTACCTGGCAAATACCAAAGTACACATCCCCCATATCTTACCTGGCCAATACCAAAGTACACATCCCCCATATCTTACCTGGCCAATACCAAAGTACACATCCACCATCTCTTACCTGTACAATACCAAAGTACACATCCCCCATATCTTACCTGGCCAATACCAAAGTACACATCCCCCATATCTTACCTGGCCAATACCAAAGTACACATCCCCCATATCTTACCTGGCCAATACCAAAGTACACATCCACCATCTCTTACCTGTACAATACCAAAGTACACATCCCCCATATCTTACCTGGCCAATACCAAAGTACACATCCCCCATATCTTACCTGGCCAATACCAAAGTACACATCCACCATCTCTTACCTGTACAATACCAAAGTACACATCCCCCATATCTTACCTGGCCAATGCCAAAGTACACATCCCCCATGCTCAGCACAAGTCTCAGTTTCCTCTTGGCATCCAAAAAAGCGGGGCAGGTCTCGAGATGGTCCAGGTCCAGGATCTGAACATGACTCTCCTCCAGGTTCTGACTGTCTGTACTGCAGGGCATGGTGGCTCTGCTGGGGATCACGCTGCTGCCTGATTGGACGTTGTCCGTGGAGTCTGCGCGGGGGCCAGTGGCTGATGAATTGCTGTTGTTGCTGTTGGCTCCAGGCTTGGCTGGTTGTTTCTTTGGTGTGCGGTACTTGGCTAAAATATCATCTGTTGTTTCTGGAATGAGATGCAAGGGTTAATGTGCTGAGAAAGTTTTGTTGATCAAGGGCATGGGATATAAGTCTACCATGAGCTATTGTCACAACTAGAACTGCTACTGCCAAAACTAGGACAATTGTTGTGATGACTAGGATAGCTATTGTAAAAACTAGGTCAGAGATATTGCCACATTTAAAACTATGCCTATGTAAAATATTCCAGTATGCCTATTGTCACAATTAAAACAGACATTGGTAATACTAGGACAAAATTGTTCTCACAACAAATTATATGCATACACTTTTTTATTCTCTTTCTAATTGATAATTAAAGAAAAGTAAGACAATGAAAACAAAAATATTTGTAGAAGAGGAAAAAGAACCAAACAAGTTAATTAAAAAAGTCTAGTGACATTTATGCGCAATTTCCTTATGTTATCTAAAAATAGCTCTGACGTATAATGATTGGGTGCGTTCAAGCTTGAAGAGCGATCGGTTTGTAGGTGTTTATGTAATTTTAAAATTTGTGACCGAACGAGAGGATATTTTTGAAAACTTTCTTCGGCAATACTGTTCTAAATTATGGCAGGAATCGATTGGTACATGTTTCAAGTCGCTAAGTGGTCTGGTTGCCGAGATATGGGCCAAAAACTGCATTTTTTCGAGGTTTTTTGGCTTTTACGGGAAATACATGAAAGAAACCCGGAATTTTTATGGCCTATGCTCATTCTCGTAACTTGCTTAACATAATTGCTTTTGGAACTAGTCATCGATATTGCTTCGTTGAGGAGGAGATACGACTTAAAGCCCGGACACACATTCATCCATCCATCCATCCATTCCCAGAAATGACGAGTTAATAAACGCAATTCTCCAGAATGGAAATTGCGCTAAAAAGAAATATACCCTGATTTGATGCAGCTGAGTCCTTTGATGCTGATGCGCCTTGTGTTTGCTTTGTTGTGTTGTCATTCTCTGGAGGATCTGAACAAAGTACATAAACATGTTTACACCAACATTGTAGTAGGCTACTAAAATACAAGACACATATAACACTAAAGGAACTTTAAGCAAGGATACTACACTGAATGCAAAATAAGACAAAATAGTGTCAGAGACAGAGACAAACAACAGATTCTACTACAACATTCCAGCGTTCAAATCACTTTATACTCCAGTCAAAGTACATAAATAAGCCAGTTACAAAATCTTTCATTACAGTGAACTCACACCACTCAAACATGATAATTACCTATGTCTTTATCAAATTTTGTGTTTTTTCTCTTTATTCCTGTTTGATAAAAACAAATAGTTCTTAGTTCCATCAAGAAATAACTTTATCTAGATGAGAAACAATTTGAAAAGAAAACCCTGAAGTCAGGAAAATAACGCTACACACCTCTATTGATTTTGTCTTTGACTGTTCGCAGAAAACCCACGCCCCCACTTTTTTTCTGCTTTTCTCCATCTGTGACATCCTGGATTTTTTACAAAATTCAAAATTAGCTGACATCAAATTTGTCGGTAACATTTTCAAAACTAAAATACAGAACATTTAAGATATCTCAATTTAAAAATTTCCTAATTCCAAATATGACGTCAAAATTTGACAAAATCAATATTCATGAAACATTAAACTTTGTCAATGTCAAAAGTTTTCACTTTTGGATATAATTTGTCAGCATTAAGATAAATCTTTCTCATTTTTAAAATGTTACCCTAGTTTTGGTGTGTCTTCACTTCTCTACTTTCTACAGACAGAAAATAATTTAAATCAACCCATTTAACAAAATTGGTTTGCTCAAAAAAACATTAAATTTACAGCTAAAAACTGTACTTTGTTAGATGGAAGCAATCAATTAAAAATGAAGTTGACATTCATAATTGATTAAATTTAGTGTCTATTCGCCCACTGGACAGATGCAGTAGAGTTAATGTTACAGGAGCAAATGTGTAAACAGCTGAATGCCAGGGCTTGTTAACTGTCCACAATTTGTATCAAGTACATAACACAGTTTACATAACAGAATGTACATAGAGAAATCAGAGACTCATACAACATTGACAAAATCTAGCCTACACCACTGCTTGTGTTTAAACTGGCCATACACACCTACATAATAGGGAGGCAAGTATAATCTCATTTTCTATAGCTTTGCCACACACCCATGTAATAAGAAATCTAGCGCTTAAGTAAAAACAACCAGACTCAACCAACCTTGTAAAAAAAACCACACTCAACCAACCTTGTCTGACACCAAAGAAACACTATCTGGAGAAGGTTCCTTCACTGTATCTGCAGCTGTGGTCATCTTTAACGAGGAACCAGAGATGTTGCTCCCAATGCTATCCCTTCTGTGCTGACCTAAAGATTCTGGCTCAGCACTTTTTCTGCCATCCGTGAGAGGCTCTGCTCCACCTAGTTTGAACACATCAGCGGACAGGACACTGGAGTCAATCACATCAGCAGAGGGGGTGTCGAAGTCCTCCCCAGGGACAGAGAAGGGGTCAAACCTCTCCACCAGGGCACAGGACAGTCTCCTCTCATTTAAGTTTGAGATCTGCTGCTCCCCCATGTTGGGGACGTCCCCCAGCTCCGCTTGGTCGTCCGGCTCACCCTCGTTTTTGATGATTGAAATCTTTTTGAATATGTCCGTGACCTCAATCTGAGGCGTGTTCCTGCGCAGCTTCCTGTTCTTGTACACATCCCCCTCAGCCGCGTGGATCAAGTTCTCCTCCACTACAGCCGAGTCCATGATCAACAGGGGCTCCTTGCTGACTGGGCTGCTGGGTTTTTTCTCATTCAAGTTTGTGAAGATGAAGTCGTTGTTGTTGCTGTTGTTTTTAGCGGGGCTGTCCGAGGGGGTGTTCATGTTGAACAAGGGGTTGTCCATCTCCAGAGGGGGTGTGTTGGTGTCCAGGGAGGTGTTGGGGGATATGTAGAGCGACTGGATGCCAGAGTCTGTGTTGGAGCTCATCCCGCCTATAGAGTGCAGGCGCTGGAGGTTCGAGTCCAGAGAGGACCGGCCAGGTAATGGCACCGGGTGGCTGTGTCTCAGACTGGAGTCTAACGATGACCTGGCGTTCATCAACGCAGCAGCTGCTGACCGGGACGAGCTGCCGGACATCTGGCCGTTTGTGTTGACCCATATATCAATTCCGGAATCTCTGGACGACGTCCGGCCACCTCGGCCTGCAGTTAACGACAGGTCTTGAGGAAGTGTCTGATGTGGCTCCATGTTGGAGGGCAAATTTGTACCCTGCTGGTCGTATGAGTTTTTACCACTTTTGCTCCAAGGCCATTTGTCTCTGCTTTTCCTGCGACCCCCCAGGCTAGTCACACTAGGTGCCAGAGGGTCAAACTCCAGCCCGTCGTCCCCACCCCCCTGACTGCCCCTACTCTCCCTGCTCTTCTTGTCTTGGACCTTGCTCCTGGCCCCAGTGGAGGACTGCACGGCAGACGTGGCGCCTGACGTGTTCCCTTCAAACGTGCTCAGCGCTGAGCTAACCTTTCCCTCCGCGTGTTTCAACGACTGAGAAGGGAGTCGGTGAATGGTGGGGAGCTGTAGGTTGGGGCCAGACTGGAAATGGTGGACGATGGAGGATATTTTCTTCCCATTACTGCTGCGGTCAGCGTCGTCACCCGGCTTGCCTGTGCTGTCTGGGTAGACGAAGGCAAACTGCTCGTTACTTTCTTGTGACAGCTGAGACATCAGGCCACCACCCACTGCACCCAGCTGATCTAGCTCAGAGTGGTCTTCTCCTGGTAATACAAGAATTTCAGTTTTTAATTCCATTATAATAATTAGTTACAGCGTTTTAAATTATTACTGCTCAACAGTACCTAGCATCAAACGTCTTCAGCTTCTTACTATTATTATACTGTTAGATGACATAGGAGAGCAATCCTAAAATAATTAGGCCACATTTCCTAATGTGACAACACCAGGTTTAGTACTCACCTTCTTCCTGTCCTATAGAGCCTTCACCTTCGTTAGCATCACCACTAATGAGATCCTGTAATAAACATATCATATCATGGTTATTTACACCCCTGCTCAAGGTCTACCCTTATCTACTCAGTCACCTGCACCACCTGCCTAAAGTCACATACAACCCACCTAAGGTCACCAATGGCCCACCTGCTCAAGGTCACCTATGACCCACCTGCTCAAGGTCACATATGACCTACCTAAATTCACATAAGACCCACCTGTTAAAGGTCAAATTCAACTATGACCCACCTGCTCAAGGTCACCTATGACCAACCTAAATTCTCATAAGACCCACCTGTTCAAGGTGACTTCAACTATGACCCACCTGCTCAAGGTCCTTTAGAAGTTCTGAATGTTTCTCATCTGTGTCACTAGCCAGTACATCAGTGCTCCAGGCATCACTGGCTGTTTCTGATATCTCAGAGAGAGGCTGGAACATTCAGTAAAGGGTTAATACAGGACCTATGGGGTTAAGTTAATGTTTCTGATATATCAGACAGAGGCTGGAACATTTTGTAAAGTAAAGGGTTAACTCAGGACCTATGGGGTTAAGTTGATGTTTCTGATATCTCAGACGGAGGCTGGAACATTTTGTAAAATAAAGGGTTAACTAGGATTTTATTCATTAAGTCAGCATAAATAATAGACCGAGAGTATAAATGCTATTGTTATTTTAAATCTACTAGTTAACAAGCAGGATGTGTTTGACACTTGACATAGTTTAACAACAGGACTTTCAACATTCTCTTACCCACCTCAGGTCATCCACATAGCTCTAATGTTGTTAATGCCACTCCCCTCTAACCTCAGCACCCCACTCACCCCTGAACCCAAGCAAGCCACTCACCTCTGACCCGAGCACTCCCCTATAACCCCAGCACACCTCTCCCCCCTGACCCCAGCACACCACTCCCCCCTGACCCCACTCACCTCTGACCCCAGCAACAGAGGCCTGGATATCTCCTCAGCCACCTCCTCCAGCCTGTCCACCTGGTTTTGTTCTGGTGGTTCCGAGTCACTGGCCAGGACGTCAGTGCTCCAGGTGTCACTGACAGTAGACTTGCATTCATCCCCTGGGTACAAACAACACAGTCATCACAACATTGAGTCAAGTCAACACAATGCCTAAAATATCATTTATCCACTCAATTCTTTAACAAACAGCAAGAAGGAGAATGATAAAAATAGACGTACTTTCCATAGCCAGCTCAGCTTTAATCTCAAACTTGCCAAACCTCTCTGTGACATCAACTCTGTTTTCTTTCCTCACAGTCTCGGGGACTGGAACTGGGAGCTGGGGCGCTAAAGGTGGGCAAAAAAAAAATACTCATTCAACATGTAATTTTATGCTGGGGGTGATATAATCAACACCTGTTAAATGTTATTTTTGCTACAGGCGAGAATAATCTACAGCTGTTAAACATAATTGAAACTAATAAACACCTGTTCAATGTAATGTAATCTACAGATGTGAAAACCAAAACAAAGAACCTAAACAAATAAAACCTGACCTGGTGGGTTTTCTTCTACACTGCCCGCCTGGGATAGGGGCGTGTCCCGTCCACTTATGGATGGCGAACCTCGGCCACTGACATTGGCTGACATCATGTCCGAAAAGTTATCCGTCTCCAGTTCATTCTCATCCTCAACAGAGTGGCTGGATGCTGCCTCAGATATTACCTCTTGGTAGTCACTAGCGTTGCCTGGAAACATTTTTATGCTTTACTAATTGTGTCAGCTATTGCTTAAAAGCTATATTTCTACAATTTTAACTCAAACAGTACAATGTAATTTTTTATCATAAAAATGTATTTAATGGGTGACACCATGGTTGAATGGTAGATAGAGCTTACAACTGCTAACCAGAAAGTCTCGAGTTTGAGTCCCAGGCTAGACTCTATAGGACATCCCTGATGGGTACAGGACAGACGTTAGGGTAATTAAGGCGGTTGCGCAAAGTGTTGACCATACAATCCCCCTGTATGCTAAGATCATTGAAACAGAAGAACTCTACTTCATCTGCCCAATGTGCCCCAATCATCCCTTCTGATTATAACTCTAAAAATATATTCAGACATCATCCATTTTACAGGTTGTAAAAGTTGTACACAGCTCTGATACTAAGTTAACAAAAACAATGTTTCACCTATAGACTCCTGGTCGTGCGAGAGTGAGAACCTAGTTCTCTTCTCCTGGATCTCTGGGTTGGGTGGGGCCTGTGGGGCTACTGTGGTCACTGTACTGCTGGGCTGGGAGGGGAGTGGGGAGTTTTTCTTGGTCTCTGTCTCAGACATGGAGGACAGCACCTGGAGGTTAAGACAGGCAAGATTATAGAGGACAGCACCTGAAGGTTAAGACAGGCAAGATTATAGAGGACAGCACCTGAAGGTTAAGACAGGCAAGATTATAGAGGACAGCACCTGAAGGTTAAGACAGGCAAGATTATAGAGGACAGCACCTGAAGGTTAAGACAGGCAAGATTATAGAGGACAGCACCTGAAGGTTAAGACAGGCAAGATTATAGAGGACAGCACCTGAAGGTTAAGACAGGCAAGATTATAGAGGACAGCACCTGAAGGTTAAGACAGGCAAGATTATAGAGGACAGCACCTGAAGGTTAAGACAGGCAAGATTATAGAGGACAGCACCTGAAGGTTAAGACAGGCAAGATTATAGAGGACAGCACCTGAAGGTTAAGACAGGCAAGATTATAGAGGACAGCACCTGAAGGTTAAGACAGGCAAGATTATAGAGGACAGCACCTGAAGGTTAAGACAGGCAAGATTATAGAGGACAGCACCTGAAGGTTAAGACAGGCAAGATTATGGAGGACAGCACCTGAAGGTTAAGACAGGCAAGATTGGAGAAAATGTTAACATTAACAGTTTAGTTTAAAAAATCTGTCCGTTGTCACTAGTTCACAGCTGTAAGTAAACAGGGCTGATCAATATTCAGTCATCTGGGTAGTAAAACATAACAGACAAACATACATTACAATAAATAACAAAGACATTGTCGTTGTGCAGCTGTACACAAATTTCATCTGATTTGATGGATTGTGTGGCCAGCTTTTTTACTTTCTCATATATAGAGTATAGAAAAAGCATTGTAATCATGCACACGATTTTGACAGTTTTCCCCAATTTTATTGTATGCGGAATATAAAGGATGCATTGTAATCTTACAAAAACACAAGCAAAACTAACAAAAAACAAACAGACCCAACACAAACAGAACTGACCCAACACAAACACGACACTAGAGCCAACACAAACAGAACTGACCCAATACAAACACGACACTAGAGCCAACACAAACAGAACTGACCCAACACAAACACGACACTAGAGCCAACACAAACAGAACTGACCCAATACAAACATGCCACTAGACCCAACACAAACAGAACTGACCCAATACAAACATGCCACTAGAGCCAACACAAACAGAACTGACCCAATACAAACATGCCACTAGAGCCAACACAAACAGAACTGACCCAACACAAACATGCCACTAGAGCCAACACAAACAGAACTGACCCAATACAAACATGCCACTAGACCCAACACAAACAGAACTGACCCAACACAAACATGCCACTAGAGCCAACACAAACAGAACTGACCCAATACAAACATGCCACTAGACCCAACACAAACAGAACTGACCCAATACAAACATGCCACTAGAGCCAACACAAACAGAACTGACCCAATACAAACATGCCACTAGAGCCAACACAAACAGAACTGACCCAATACAAACATGCCACTAGAGCCAACACAAACAGAACTGACCCAATACAAACATGCCACTAGAGCCAACACAAACAGAACTGACCCAATACAAACACGACACTAGACCCAACACAAACAGAACTGACCCAACACAAACAGAACTGACCCAATAAAAACACGACACTAGACCCAACACAAACAGAACTGACCCAATACAAACATGCCACTAGAGCCAACACAAACAGAACTGACCCAATACAAACACGACACTAGAGCCAACACAAACAGGTCAGCTCAAACATGACCAACCTTTTTCTCACTGAGCATGCCAGGACAGTCACCGGGTGGGTAGATGGAGATGACCAACACGTCCCCACCTGTGGCTGCCTCACTCTCCTGAGGGTCAGCCAACAAGGCATCGAGCGCAGGGGCGTTGGTCACTGACTTTTTCTTTTTAACTGCTGGAATTAAATTACCCAAGCTTCAATTACTGTGTTACGTATATTGTAAATTAATATAAAATCAATTTATTGAAACTTTGTATCTTATAATCTTGCTTCTTGTTTATGACACACAAAATAAAGTTTCTAGTATTAACGGCATCGTTACAGCCGACTAGAAAATATCTAGTATTAACGGCAGCGTTACAGCCGACTAGAAAATGTCTCGTATCAACGGCAGCGTTACAGCCGACTAGAAAATATCTAGTATTAACGGCAGCAGTCATCGCCGACCGGAAAAGACTTAGATCTAGTATCAACAGCCACAAAACTTGTGAACAGTGCTGCAGACATCATGGCCATAAATAATGAAGTTAAAAATACAGTGATATAGCTAGGAGAGAAGTTGAGAGAACTTGCTAGCTACAAAGTTGACTACATTAGCATATCAAGTAAGTTATCAAATTTTAGAGCTACAATATTAGCATCTCAGTCCTTGAGCACATCAGAAGCAAATCATTGCGTCGCCACTAACATGAAAGCTCTAGCTACTGTCCTACTTGCAGAAGACCTAGTCAACCAGACACGCCATCTAGGCAACAAGTCAACAGAGTGGAGAACTAGGTCAAGGGCAGCTGAGCAGAAGGTAACTTTAATCCAGAATCAAGTTAATAGTCGTTTCAAAGATACTAATGAGACTTTAATCATAGTTAAAGACTGTGATGTCAAGATAGCAGGATCGAAACAAAAATGTTTTGACTCCAGAGCCAGAGCTGAGCAGAAGAGCCAGAGCCAACGTCAGAGCCAGTGCCAGAGCCAGAGCCAAAGTCAGAGCCAGAGCCCGTGCCAGAGCCAGTGCCAGAGCCCGTGCCAGAGCCAAAACCAAAGCCAGAGCCGGAGCCAAAACCAGAGCCAGAGCCAAAAGCAGAGACAGAGCCGAAACCAGAGCCAGAGCCAAAACCAGAGCCAGAGCCAAAGAGAGATCCAGATCGACATCCAGAGCCAAAGACTGTACCAAAATTAGAGTGGTGTACGAACTTGTATTATCTGAACAGCTTCTAGTTTTCATTATGTCATCATTGACTAGGTTTATTTCAATATATCTCACTTCATAAAACGAAAGGAAAGTAACATTGTTCTGATGTCTTGTGATTCAATTCAAATGCTTTATTAATGACAAATGTTTTTAAAAACCTTGTTGACTTATAGACTAGACGTATACAGCTATAAGTAGTTAATTCATGCGTACGTCCAACATTTTATTGTAGAGATATAATTTTTTACCCGCCATCATTTATTTATAGGGAGATTTAAAGCATGTAAAAGGTCAGATAAATATTGTATTAACATTTTTACTGTACATGTTAAGTAGTTGTGCAGGATAGACCTTAGAAATGCTGTTTAATTTAAGGGAAAATAAGAAACCTCTTTTTTTTAGGGGGGAGGTGTGACGTGGCCTAGATGTTCATAACGAAAGCGTGTAGGCACGGAGAGATTGGGTGTGAGAGTCGCCTCCCCTGAGAAGTGTGCCAGCGAGAAAAAGAAGTGTGTAATCAGTGTGTGATATGGTCAGCAGAGCGTAACCTGAGTTTGTCTGAAGAAGGAGGAGTGTTTTGTAGTTGAAGGTGATCTGTGTTTTCTCGGTTGTACTTGAAAGATTATATTTTACTGTGATCAATGAACGTTGGACTCTGTTTTTAATTGTGTTATGGCTAGTTCCCAACATTAAATAGCCCACTGACCATAACAAAAGTGACTAAAATTTTACAACAAGAAATTCTTCCGAATAAGGTAAACTAGTAAACATGTATGTCATTTTTCCCTCCACTGTCAATTTTCTCATATTAAAACAAGCAAAATAATTTTGTTATTATATAAGAACATCTTTTCTTTCGTATCAGTGTCAACATTAGAGAAATGATTTTTTCAAACTTGTGTAAACTTTACGTAAGAAATGAAACTTTACTTCTTGATTTCAAGGATTTCCTGTCAGAGGTGGGTGTCCCAGGGGAGTCTGCGGACCCCGGTAACCCTGATGATGGTGTGATGACCCCTGAACCCCCAGGCATTGAGAGGTTGTCAGCAGCTGATGGGGGCATGTCAGCAGGGAGGGCAGACAACAGCTGCTCCAGCTGTTTCTTGTTGGGCGTCTTCTCATCCAGCTGGCAGGTGGAGTTTCTCAAAAAACCAATCTGGGGGACGAAACAAAACAAAAATCATTCAAACAAACAGGAAACACAGCATGCTCTATCTGTTGCTTTAACCATTATAGCAATAATTTTCTTTTTATTTCTAATAATACTACCAGTTTGGTGTATTTTTAAGTGATGTTTACAAGTGAGTTATACCCCCTATCAAAATTAAGAATGGCTTAAACAAAACAAACATTTAGAAATTAAAACTACCTAATTATATTACAGCACTCAAACAAAATAAATGAGATTTAATGAAATATTATTTTGATGGTGATATTTTGTTTTGAATTGAATAAGGGATACAACTAGTAATGAAAAAAGCAAAAAGGGAGAAAACTCACCATTTGCCTTACATCCCCTGACATCAACAAGACAGCAGATCTAGTGGCTCCTGTACCTTGTGACTGCTGCACTGCTGTCTGCTGCTCTGTTATGTCTTCCCAGGGTCCTTCTAGGAACAAATCTAACACAGACGACATACAGCCCTGAAAGTAAACAAACTTTTTATAGGAACAAATCTAACACAGATGACATACAGCCCTGGAAGTAAACACAAACTTTTTATAGGAACAAATCTAACACAGAAAATATATCCCTGAAAGTAAACACATTTTTTAGCTCTCGGTAATATTGTAAATAATCATTTTTACACAAAAATTCTTTGGGAAAATTTTAAATTTTATCAAACTAATTTATGAAGAATATTTGAACAAAGACTTTAATAATGATGTTTAAAAATAATAACACTAATTTAAAACAGTTTACATGATTAATAAAATTTGACTTATTTTACAAATGCTGTCATGAATATGTAACGCAACCCTTTAGGGCACCATATACTCATTTATATTCACCTGTAGCAATAGTTTCTCAGTACAGGTTGAGTACTAACCTTTTCAAATTTCCCATAGAGATCTTTGACTTTAGGATCTATCTCCTCCCACTGTGATATAGCTAAGACCTGAATGATCTGAGCCATCTGATGGTAGAACATGTTAGACTTTAGAATATACAACATATAGGTGTTTAGATAATATAACACTTTAGAATATACAACATATTGGTGTTTAGATAATATAACACTTTAGAATATACAACATATTGGTCTCAAGTTTAGATAATGTAACACTTTAGAATATACAACATATTGGTATAAAGTTTAGATAATATAACACTTTAGAATATACAACATATCGGTCTAAAGTTTAGATAATATAACACTTTAGAATATACAACATACTGGTCAAAGTTTAGATAACATAACACTGAGTTAAACTGAAAATATAATCCTTTCTAAGTATAAAAAATCTTGTTGAAGACTATATAGCGTATCACATAAAACTTATTTAGGTAAAACACACAGTTTAAAGAAACAGAGAAAATATGTTTACACTGTAGTAAATTAAAGACAAATTGCCTGAAAGTTGACCAAGTTAGTTCTTAGAAAGGACCAATCAGTTCGCTCTTAGAATGGACCAATCAGTATGTTTTAAAAATGGATCAATCAGTATGTTCTTAGAATGGACCAATCAGTACGTTCTTCGAATGGACCAAGAAAAATGGTCAAGAAATAGAGCGAATAGTTCAGAGCGTGGACCAAGGCAGTTTTAAAAATTCCAGGCTTAAAAACTTTGACCCTACCTGCATGAGGTTGTGTCTTGCGATGTGGCTGATGGGGACATCGGAGGTGATACCATGAGGCTCTGGATCACAGATGGCTGGACAGATGAACAGAGGGAAAACTAGATCTGCGCAGCTCGCTCGCACTTCCTGCATGCTCACCTGACCTCTCTCGGTCAGCACACGATACACCTGGTCAATAGAGCAGGGCACATTTCACTTACACTGTCTGCTGAAGTTTGTCTTTCAAATTGGCAAAATAAAATTCCTATTTATTGCCACACAACTCTCAACCAGGTACTTTTCAAAACAGCTATATGGCATAATTTTCCATTAGATTACAAAATATTTGTAGACAATTTATTATGTTCTTTTCTACAGTTCTATACTATTTGTGCTGCAAATTTACAAAAATAATAAATAAAGATAATAAATCCAAATAAACAACATATTTTTCTAGGATTAAAATAGATAACAAAACTAAATAAACCTACCTGTGATACTAGCCAGCCTAAACTAGGAGGAAAACAGTGAATATTTGCCTTGATACTGTTGATAAACCTCACAGCCAGAAACACCAACTTATCAACAATGTACGACCTGTACTGCGCCAGCTTCTGGGCGTGCTCTTCTGTACCCGGCTCACCAAAACGACGCAGCTTCTCCGCCGGGGGAAACCTCACCATAGCTTTGTCTGGGTCGATATCAAAAAACCACTCGTCTTCCATTAAAAGTCTCATGATAGGGTCATACAAAGCAGCAGTTAAAAACAACCGCGCAGAGAATAAACTTTCACAGTAGTGTTTGTATACTAAAGAAAAAGACATGTTCTGTCTGCGAATCAACCTCCTGGGGTTCTCACTGTTCGCTAACTGGCTGTCAAGCAAAGCTTTCAGCAGACGCAACACCGCCTGCTCATCCTCCTGGAAGATGCAGTTGCCGTAGATGGACGTGACCATCAGGCTGATCATCCTGGGCACGTTGAGGCGAGAGAGTTTCTCAGCCTCGCTGATGATGTAGGCCACGAGGTTGGGGTTTTCATACAAAAACTTCAACAGCTCACCGTACTTGGTGTCGTGGTAGCTGAAAACTTTGTACGAGTCAACAAAGTTGGTTGACTCTAGCTGGTTGTTGGTGGTGTATACCTGCAACATACACACGGACATGTTTACATCATATGTCAACTTGTATCAAAATAAAAGTTAGATTAAATCTAAAATAAAGTTTCCTCATTTTTTTTTTTTTTAAATCAACATATAAATGATGTGTTTACATAACAGTGGTCTCTGCATGCCACTCATAAGAAAATTTTAAAACAAATGTAGGCCTATATTTTAATCATTCTTATTCTAATATGGAATTATTAACACATTGAATAAAACAACATAGTGGATATACAGTAAAACTATATCAATATTTGTGTTGACATTGATAAATCACTGTGTAAAATAACATGTCAGAAGAAGAAAAAAATCAAAGCTTTCATCAAAAGGCCATCAGTAAGTAATCAAATTACTCTTGGTCACAGGTGTTATTGATTTGTGAGCATTGATGGAGATACACAGACAGATCACAATGTCACTTCATTATCAGGGGACAGCATTCTCCACAACAAAACAAAGCTACTACCCTCCCTTATTGTCCTACTGGAATAAACATTAACATTAGATGCACCAAACATCTAGTGGGTTGATTTTCACACATCTAGCAATAAGACTTTGCGCATTAAAAACAGCAAAATTAAAATGTGGGTCCTTTGTTGAATAAGAATGTCAGTATGAATATGAAATAGAAGATTTTTAACAGTTGTATAAATAGTAACAAATAAGACCATATAATGTTCATTTTACTACTGAATACAAAATGATAGAATCAAAAAGGTTTACAGTGTGTTTTAAAAAATTAGTGGATAGTTAAACAGTGTAAAAACAAACAGTATAGTACAAACTTCTATCATTCAAACTCACTTACGAGTTTTAATTAATTTAATATATCTACTAAACGTATTTGCACTAAGCACTGTCAATACCTTGTGCTTTTTTCTATTTATTAAACTACGATTTTCACTTAATATTTTATGAATACATTTTAAACAAAATTAAAGCTTACTTCAAAACTCTCTCCGGCATTTGTCCCCTGATCTATATATTGCTGCAGGTTAACTTTCTGCTGCCTGGCTATCCATGCGTTGTGGAAGAGTCTCTCAGACAGGAGTGTGACGCTCTGGTACAGGCGCTGCAGCTGCTCCCTCTCAGTGGACACAAACAGATGCTCATGCTGCAGATGTTGGCTCAGCTCCACCAGGTCTGATGTTAGACTCATCTTATCCTCACCCCCTCTGTACTGCAACAGACAAGATTTTTCCTGCTAATTTTAAAACAGTTGTGTATATTCTGCTTTAAGAATGTGTTGGATGCTAAAATATATAAATAAACATATTTACAGAGTGAGCACACTAGACATTGACAAGCACTTAAAAAACTTAGGGTTAATATAAATCTGTTGTTTATTTATTGCCTATGTATAAAACATTTTCAATTCAGAAAATCTACACCGTAATTCACCTTTTTAAAAAATACTCTAATATTCATGTTTTTTTTAAACATTTTTTTCACATTTGAAATCTTTAATTCTAGTCTCTGAGAAAGGTTATAATCTATTAATCATGCTAAAGCCCCAATTTGAAAATAATAATCTGTTTAATCTTCAACACTTTAATTGAGTTTTTCACTATAGCAGCAAAGGCAACTCAATGTAAACAACATCTACATACAAAAGAGAACACAAGAGAACAGTCAACAAAGTTTCAAGGATAATTTACCAACACAAAAACACCAAACAGGATACTAAGTTTTATTTGTACTATAAAACCTACACACAGAATTTTATAAGGAACCAAAACATTAGGATAAATTAAAGTAATTTAGTAAACATTTATTTACCATTCCATAATGGAATAAACAAATTTACTGAATAAATATGAAATACACACTGTACAGGCATAAAAATAAATAAGGTTGAAGAATCAGACTATGGTAGGTTTACACAGACAGAAATAACAAAACTGTGTTACACACAAAAAAACATTAAAAAACCATTGAACCATAACAAAGGTAGTGTCAGTTTAAGAAAAATGGAAGGGGGCCAGGAAAGTTTGTAATATCCAATCAACTAGTTTAGCCCCTGTATCTGACACATACCTGGCCTAGAATCAAAGCTATATCAATGACTACATACAGCCATGCATGCTAATCCTTGCCAAAAAGTCAGTCTATATTTATTTGAACACTAACATTATGTAAAACAGCAAGGCACATTTTAATGTTAACAGTAACAAACTGTGTCACAGTGGCTTTGTGTTATGAGACAATTTAAAAATAAACATGTTAGTCCATGCATTTCAGAGACAATAAAATGAAGAATAAAGAGAAACAGTTTTATTAGAGGGGGGGGGGGGCAGTGTAATCGACTGGGTGAGTGGTTAGCTGCTAGCCATAGGGTTTCAACTTGTTACTGTTGGACACCCCTGAGTCTTGCAACTTTGATGGGCATCTTTTACAGAGACGTTGCATTTTTTTTTCCTAATGAATCTCTATCACGTTTCAGTCATATCAACTTTGGAACACAATCTTCAACTGGTAAATTAATCAGAACAATTTTTTGTGCTAGAAGAAGCTTTTTATTCTGTTAAGATGCAAGACATTTGAATTATTTTTTGCTTTATCTAAAAATGCATCAGACTTTATGTGTTGTCATTTACACAATATTAAAAGTCGATATTTCACTGTGCAATGTGCATACAAAATATTATTGATAGCCTAATAAAACATTTATTTTGTTTTTACTATCATAACCGATGCCCCATTTAAGCACCCCCCCCCCTACATTCTTAAAATATACCATCAAAAGAGCCTCAGTGGTCAGCTGTCATTATCATTTTATCACTGTCAATGAACTTCTTAGTCAATAGTAGTATTTCTCAGTTAAGATGAGCATACATAAATTTCTCTCAAACCGATGGTGATAAAAACTCTACACTGATGTATGGGCAACTTTAGATTAGCTCTAGCAGCCCTTTGAAAATTGATTTAAAATGAATGATGTTAACCCTCCAGGTGGAAGGGGTGGTCAGACTTCTGTAATGTGTGATAAGGGGTGCAGTAAGTTTTGAAACTAAATCAGTTATTGTTCATTTTTTAAAGACACAATTTTAAGAGTAACTGATGAAGATATTTCTAATGTTGACAAAAAAAAATAACTCCGAGAGGTAACTGCAGTGAGCAGATTGCAGACTTCACAAGGTGACACCAATTGAGGGGGTGTCACTGATTAAATTGTGGAAAAATCTATTTTAGAGAGAAAAGAAAGCTTTCTGACTTTCTATGTTTAAACTGTTTAAATATAGCTGGAGAGGTGACACCTTAAGTTACCAAACTGGATGACACCTAGCCTAGAGACGCTACTGGCTATCATGATTGTCAGATCTCCAGATTCCTTCAGAGCCTTCACAGCTCCCGAATACAGCTACCGCTACTCCATAATCAAGTGTTTGGCCTGGCTAGGTGGGATCTTTGAAATGTTTTAGCACTCAATGATCTGGAGCTTCAAATGTATCTAATGTGCAAGTGGCTAAAAAAATTTTTTAAATGTTCTTTTAAAGTTAAGCCTAATCAAAATTATTCAGCTAATCTAAATAAGTGGATGATTGGGTATAACTGATGTCTGATAACAGACTCTTATGAAAATAAGTGTTAGGTTGTAATGTTATAAGTAGCATAGACTCGTCTAGTTTTATGGTTAGAAATTAGGGTTAGGTTTATGGTAGAACTAATATGGGGTTGATGCTGACATTCTAGAAGTAAGTAGGCCCTAATAAATAAATAGGCTAATTATTTTAATAGCACAAAACATGGCTTTTAATTATTGGAAAGTAAGATGCCCTGTAGCTTTCCCCAGTCTCACAGCCAACTTGACCAAGACGGTCCAAGAAATTTTGCTGATAAGGACTGCACATCTAGAATCTAGACCTAGACTCTACTCACTAAGTCTAAGTAAGTAGATTAGTAAAAATAACACAGAAAAGGGGGAGGGGTCTCAAGATAAAAAGTAGAAATAAGAAATCATTTTCCTACGATTATATACGTTTACGTTAGTAATAACTTAGCGTAATGCATGCAAATTATGTTAGCATCTAAAATATGATACATTATTATGTTTACCAAACTAATTTCTTTTTAAATACTGATTTTCAATGCACACAAATAAACTTGAAGAATACGGTTTATCCATCCACGCATAGGTCAGATTATCAACACAATTTACAAACATACAATGCGCATGCGTTTTGGGAGACATAAACATCCGGTATGAGTAAAATTTATTTAACTTGTCTTTGAACTATAAACGTACAACATATAATTTGTTGTTTTTAGTTTAAATTAGAGATATCTAAGAGTAGAAATCATAGGACATTTTTAATATGTGTTATTTGTATTTATATTTTATGTGTATACAATATTTTAATAACTACTCCCTTTTTAAAAAAGCGATCTGTAGGCTATTAGGACTATTATTGTACTTGTAACTCAGGATCTAGCCTACATAAACTGACTAGATTCTAGTTCTAGATTCTAGATCTAGTAGAAAAGTATCACAAGTATACCACTCACCTTGCTAAAATTTATTTTATAGTTAATAATAGATCTAGTTCGCTTACGCCCAAATAATTAGTTAAAGTCCTAGGCCTATACTATATATATATATATTATATACTATATAATGTATATAATATAGACACTACTTACTTAGTACTACTAAGGCTAACAACTAAGGTAATATGAACGTAGCATGTAATACTATTCTAGATAATAGATCCGTAGATTATGGGCGAGTTAATACGTTTTTATTGTTTAAAGGTGTGAAACACAGCAACCCAAAGTAACAGTCTTAGGCCTACTTGATTATGTTTCTTCTTAAAATAAAAACCCAACCTTTCCTGAATCGTGCATTACCAGAAGATCCTGTGCGCCATACACCATGACTCATTGTTTGTAACGTGTGTCCTTGTGAAGGTGTTTTGTTTTGTTCTAGCCTACTAGGGCCTAGTTTTGACTCATTGATGTATAGTACCCGTGTCTGTTTTAATGTACAATAAACCGGGAGTGATCTCCCCTAAACTTTCTCGAATATTCTTATATAAAACAACAGGGGATGGGAACTCGGGATATATTTATGTAGTGTTGTCAGCATTTTGCCCACCCGCCTTTACTCGATTGCGTGCGCTTCAGAGCTGTGTTGGTTGACTCCATGTGGATCAAATTAAAATGTGTTGACAGATAGGCTACATCAGACAGGTAGGTGACATAAGTACATGTAGACCACAACAGACAGGTATACCACATACCACATCAAACAGTTGGGCGACATGTGATTCCGCCGTGAATATTGTGCGCTATCGCCTGTATCAAGTTTATGTGAATCCAGAAGGAAACTAATTCACCCACAGCTAATGTATTTTAATCTGGAGATTATCACCTGGTCATGAGAACCAAATTACTTGATCAACCCCAACCACAAATGCATGTTACTACTTTGAGATCGCCAGTAGTTTACCAAAACGGCTTTTAACACACGCACACGCACACGCACACACAGACACACAGACAGACACAGGCATACCCGCGTTTACTTATGCTGGCATTACGAAATTTTAAAATGTGGATCCAAAATTGGATTTCCCTCAGTAAAGGACATCCAGGTGTTCTCAGAGAATAACGCACAGAGGGTCCCTGATTTTAACTAGTCTGTCGTGTGTTTCGGTGGGTCTTTTAATTTTATGGCGAACCCGCTGAAACTGTTATTGATTGACTTGTGCTATTTGCACACCTTTCAAACATTGCATTAGACACTGTTTACCAAAACCGGGCCTGTAAAACATTATCCTAATGAGTTAACTACGTCATTGGCATACCGATGTTAACAAAATTAACACCCGAAAAGAATTGGACCTAGTGCCGCTCATTTGGTCACCGTTTGTTGAATAGGTAGCGAGTATGTAGGTTTATAATTTTCAAGGTATTATTAATATATAAAAATATAAAAAATCGCCTAAAATAATTTTATCCCCGTGGATCAAATTTTATTATTTCAACTTGGACTGAGTGTTCTCACAACGTTCTACGATGAATGATTCGCTGTGCATCAATTTCACTCTCCGTCGCCATGACGAGGAACTAATCAACCCTGATCACCCCGTACTGGATTTTCTCAAGACCATATCTGCTTTGATAACGTCTTTCATTGTAACAGCGAATACCGTTGTCATCACGGCTATGCTACGGTCAAAAAGCGAAGGTTCGAAACCCGTGGACGCCAACTGCCGATTGACCAGGCTTCTGATGACGTCATTGGCGTTTTCTGATCTTCTGATCGGCGTTTTCGTGATGCCGCTGGAAACTGTAGAACTATTTTACAACGGCAAGTGGAAAATGGGCAGCATTTTATGCGCACTCAAGATACCCGTTCACAACTACTTGTGCATTGTTTGCCTGCTGCATATCTGCTGTCTGTCAGTCGACAGGTTTCTGGCCGTTTGTAGGCCGCTCGTGTACAGACAACTCTCTCTAACAACTGGACATGTCATGATAGCGTTTTCCTGGGGAGTTCCCGTCCTTTTTGTTCTGCTGCCTGAGATTATTTCAGCGAAGAATCACTTCCTCGTAGACACCGAGGAATGCACCCTGTATCATCTAAACTGCCACCCGAACAAAGTCTTGATCCTCATATTTTTTATTTGTTTTTACGTTCCTTTTGTCGTGACTTTCGCTCTGTACTTCGTCATACTCCGTGAGGTGCATCTATTTTTTAAACGCAAAGCCGAATTTTTGAAACAATCTGGACACTCGCGTACACGTCTCCCTGGTTCTACGGCAACTGGAAATTTTCTTCGTGGTTTAGCCGTTGACGCAAAGTTTCGCAAAGATTTTTCTATTTGTTCCAGCCGCCTGAACGTAGAACATGTAGAACATCTTGCAACTTTTCAAGATCTGTCAACAAATTCTTGCGATAGGGCTTCCAACTTGCAAGGAAACCCTGATTGTTCCATGCCAACGCCTGCAAACGGGAATGAAAGAGTTTTTCCGAAGCCCCGGAACCTGAAAGCTTACAAAACTATCGGCAGCATTCTGGTTTGTTTCACGATGTGTTACATGCCTACATGGGTGACGATGGCGGTGCTTGTGGCGACCGGTAACCGTATGCCTCTGTGGCTGTACTGGTTCCTGGGTCTGGTGGCGTTCCTCAGCTCGGCACTCAACCCTCTGCTCTACTGCTTGACCAGATCCATCCGACGTGCTGTGCTTTCTCTGGTCTGGTCAAAGTTTGTTTAGCACTAGTATAGCGTTATGACTTGTGGCCAGATCAATTGGAGTTGCTGTGTACAAAATCGTTTTAACAGAAGTAACGTTAGGATTTGCGACCAGATCAATTTAACGCGCTGTGTTTTCTTTGTTCTGTCCAAAATCGTTTTAACAGAAGTAATGTTAGGAATTGTGGCCAGATCAATTGGAGGTGCTGTAGTTTCTTTGGTCTGCCAAAAAATTTTAACACAAGAATAGCTTTAGGAATTGTGGCCAGATTAATTTAAGGTGCCGTGCTTTCTTTGGTCGGGCCAAAATCGTTTTAACAGTAGTAACGTTAGGAGTTGTGGCCAGATCAATTTAACGCGCTATGGTTTTCTTTGATCTCCCCGGAAATCCGGAAATCTTTTTAATGACATAACTTGCAGCAAGCCCCCCTCCCCCCCCCCCCCCCGGCCCCAGCGCGCGGTGCTTTCTTTGGCCTGCTGAAAATCTTTTCAACAGAAGTAACGTTAGGACTCACAGACCTGGAGGCCGAGTCTTCTTGAAGAACTGAAGCCATTAGGGATGTCTTGGGCGATGGCAAAATTAATAGCCGGGGATCGGAAGAAATGGAAGGAAATGGTGGAGGCCCTATGTTCCATAAGGGGCAAAGAGGATTAAGTCAAGTCAAGTCAACGTTAGGACTCGTGGATAGATCAATTTGAGTTGCCGTGGTTTCTTTGGCCTGCTGAAAATCTTTTCAACAGAAGTAACGTTAGGACTTGTGGCCAGATCAATTTGAGTTGCCGTAGTTTCTTTGGCCTGCTGAAAATCTTTTCAACAGAAATAACGTTAGGACTTTTGGCCAGATCAATTTGAGTTGCCGTGGTTTCTTTGGCCTGCTGAAAATCTTTTCAACAGAAATAACGTTAGAACTTGTGGCCAGATCTATTTGAGTTGCCGTGGTTTCTTTGGCCTGCTGAAAATCTTTTCAACAGAAGTAACGTTAGGACTTGTGGCCAGATCAATTTGAGTTGCCGCGGTTTCTTTGGCCTGCTGAAAATCTTTTCAACAGAAATAACGTTAGGACTTGTGGCCAGATCAATTTGAGTTGCCGTGGTTTCTTTGGCCTGCTGAAAATCTTTTCAACAAAAGTAACGTTAGGACTCGTGGCCAGGAAATACAGGCCTATTGGATCAGCCGAAAATATTCTAAATAAAAATGTTTAGAACTAGTGGTCGGATAAATCCGACATAAATGTATTTACATTCATAACGTTACAACTCTTGATGATAAATAAAAGTTTGTCGTCTGTGTGGAATAAAATAAAACTGTATCACACGCTCTGAGGATTGGTTTGTGGTGATTTTCTTTTGTTTACGAAAACAAAGAATATACATGGTTTTTCAATTACGAAAACATTATTATTCTGACAAAAATGTTACGACTTTATTCACCATATTCAAAGACAAGGTAATTATTTTATCAGGACAGGAAAATAAAAAATAAAAAAACTCACTTCAGGAAAAGAAAAATAGCTAAAATATACATCAACCAAAGCTTTGTAATAAAACAAGACGTTGATGGAAAATACAACTAAACAACATTGACATTGAAGTCTTCTATTTAAAAACAAATAAATAATGTATTTATGGGTTCAATACGTTTTTCGAATCGTGATGCAGTGACACTGTTTTTTTTTTGTAATCCGTTGTTACTCATATATGACACGGGTAACTAGATTACTACAGTTGTTGCCCATATACGACACGGAGGTTGGTTCACTGGTTTCTCACATATCACACAAGCTGCCCACTGCCAACACTTTGTCAAAACTTTTGTTAGCAGAAACACATTTCAACTTAGTATAGTTGGCTGGCCTAATTGGTTAATTTAAACGAAATCAACAACACCCCCACCCCTCCCCCCTCACACACACACGAAAGCATGTTTGCAATTGGCAATACCAACATAAAAAGCAGACATTATAACAATGGATTAGTTACTTTAACTTTTGCTTAGGTTAAAGAAAATTTGATTAGACCTAAATTAGGTTAGTTTTAGGATTTCGCCAAAGTTATGTAGTTTTTCATTATGGATGTGTTATTTTAGCAGGATTGTTTTGGGCTAGTTTTGTTTCGTAAATGTATCAGTTAAATTAAAACTAAGGCTATTTTTAAACATCTGATTTGATAAAATTATAAATTACCACATTTGACCACTACGTAAGTTTGTCTTTTTTTTTTTAGAAACACCGCACTTTTAAAGTTGACATTAAATTATAATGCATATTCAGAAAACAAACACATTTTTTACAAGCTTTTATTTAACTCACTTCCTCTGTCGACAGTCTGTCGACATTCTGTCGACAGTCTGTCTGTCTAGATGGAAACGCAGGAGTGAAAATTCGGAAACTTCTACTTGACCGATACGATTCACACTTGGCACGTGGGTCAAGACATGAAGACAATGCAATCTGAAACTAAATTTGACTTAATTGGATGCCTAATTAATTTTTTATGAATTAATTAAAATTTGGACCGAATTAGTAGGCATGTCTAGCCAACCACACCACACGCGTCATCACCTTCAATAGCTGCGCCATCACGTAATGGCTGCGTTCAAAAACCATTGCGCGCCTACTGAACGTGATGTTCAGTAGGCGCGCAATGGTTTTTAGTCATGTAACTCTATTGTAAATAAAACATGTAAAGTACTGAAAAACAAATTCATAAAAAACGTTTTAATAACAAGCTTTTATGTAATGATGCACTAAAAAGTAGAAAATAAATTATAGACTACTATTTAAATAACTATAAAGAAAAGCGTGGGTGTCTTCCTTAACATTAGTAAAGGTATCCAATAGATACTAAAGTGACCCACGCTTTTCTTTATAGTTATTTAAATAGTAGTCTATAATTTATTTTCTACTTTTTAGTGCATCATTACATAAAAGCTTGTTATTAAAACGTTTTTTATGAATTTGTTTTTTCCACTTTTAAACCTGACGGTCATTGTATAGTAAACAAAAAAAAAATATTCCCTCCACTTTTATTTTAAACTTGGCGTTCATGATGAAATAGACAAGAAAACATTCCCTCCACTGCAGATTTAAACCTGACGTTCATTGTGTAGTAAACAAAAAAATTCACGGAGCTGTGGATTGCCTCGAGGGTGAAGACACCTGACCATATGACGTAATCCAGGTGTGAGTAAACACCTGTGATGCTGTACCTGGGCGAGAAGACCAGCTCCATCGCGAAATTGACGCAGCTGGGCAGCCCGCAGACGATGAGCACCAGGGACATGGACACAACCATTTTGACTATTTTTAGATCACGTGAGGTCAGGGCCTCCTTCTGACCTGCAACAGCGCCCTGCGTCAGCCTCCTGCGCCGCACCGATTGCGCTTTTAGCTGGTACACGGTTAGCGCCGTACACAGCACGTTAGTAAGGAACGCTGCGAACTGCCAAGTCACGTTCAACAGGTACCCCACTCTGTCTATCATGTAACTTTTTTCATTAAAAGTCCGGGCATAAATTGTCCGGTTTTTGCTGGGGGAGAATCGAGGTCCGAATGGGGCGCTGGCTAAAAGCAGCGAGACACACCCACAGGAGACGAGGGTGACGACCAACAGAGCGACGCACGTGCGACGTGGCGTGATGATGACCTTGACCCTGAGGGGCTGGGTGACGCAGAGACATCTCTCGATGGCGATGACGCAGGTGGTCCACCAGGCTACACGGATACAGATCCCGTGGGGGAGGGCTGGGGAGAGGTGAGGGCGATACATGAACTATTTATCTTGTATATTTGATAATGTAAGAACAATAATAATTAGTACGAGCCGACCCGCGGCATATCATATGCCGCTATTTAGATTCTAGTTGTTGTTTTTTTCTACTTTTCAGTAATTCATAATTTGTGAATTCGACGGTACCAATGCTGCCACTGAAAATATTTCTTTAAAACACTATAAGTAGCTCGATAAGCCCCCCCCTCCTCCCCCCCCTTCTCCGTTAAAGTAAACTCCACTTAGTTACTCCCCCCCCCTGCCCCCTACGTTTAAAATAGTTTCAAACTAAATTATCTGCCCCTAATAGTCGTCACTAAACCCGGCTCTGCTTGTAAACATTTAGCGTGAACCACAGCTCACCAGACCATGTAGGGGTGGCGGTGGTAGGGAGCGCGCTTACAGCTTGTTTTCTAGCGTCTCCCAGAGTAGAATTATATATATATATAGATTCCTTTCAGACGTTTTAGTCCGGGTGGGGGGCACTTAATATTTTCCGGGGGTGGGGAGTGACACAAGTAAAAGTATATATTTTCTATATCAATTCCATTTCATTGTTGTTGTTTTTTTTTAAAACGACGTAAAAGAATGGGTGGGGTTGTGACGAACATTGGAATGGGGATTAGGACACGTAGCATATCGATTTTTAACAACATAAAACTTTAAACTGTATGTTACAGCTAAAAAAGAACTATAAGGTATAGGTTTAAAATATTATACACATAGTTAAAAGAACGCTTAAATTATGGTAAAGAACTCTAAACACTATACGAACATCGAACTCTAGACAACCTCAATTGCAGTCACATTCTGGGCAACTTCAGCTGTAGTCAAATTCTAGACAACCTCACCTGTAGTCAAATTCTAGACAACCTCACCTGTAGTCAAATTCTAGACAACATCACCTGTAGTCAAATTCAGGACAATCTCACCTGCAGTTAGATAGTGGACATCCAGCACATCATACGGGAGATCTGTGGCCACCAGCAGAGGATTCAAACACACGGCCTCCCAGATCATGAAGAGAAGACTTCCAAGATCAGACATGGCGAGGACCAGAAGACAGATGGTCACACTGTCCTTCAAACCCTGTGGTCAATTGTGGATATAATCAGGATAATAATGGAAATAATCATGTGAAATATGGACATAATCAGGATAAATATGGACATAATTGGGAGAAATATTGAATCATGTGAAATATGGACATAATCATGAGAAATGTGGACATAATCAGGATAAATTGGAGATAATCAGGACCAATATGGACATAATTGGGAGAAATATTGACAGAATCATGTGAAATATGAACATAATCGTGAGAAATATTGACTGAATCAAGAGAAATGTGGACTCTTCATTTTTTACTTTCTCGTATATACGAAGTATAGAAAAAGTCTTGTAATCGTGCACAAAAATCACATTAAATTTGTACAGTTTTCACCGTTTTACTCCTCAGTCCTTCATCACATCCGGAGAGGACTTATTTTAATCGGGCAAAAATTATAAATCCAGATATATCACAATTTCTGGCGTTTTATGCGTAATGGTGTCGGAAAAACTGGATTATCCAATTCTGTCCGTATGTCTCTCTCTGTGTGTGTGTGTGTGTAAACACGATAACTTGTTGATGAAATTTCATATATAAGTATTATATCAAAATCGTAGATCCGTATCAACTTTTAAGCGATTTCCGAAAACCGGAAGTACTTTGAATTTGTCAAAAGCCTATAACTTGAGTACTATTTCAGATGGATAAATGAAATATCACATGTAAGTAAAAGATCTAATTCTCTGCCTTCTATCACATTTTGAGTAACTTCCGTTGACAGGAAGTAATAATCTTCGCTATTTACGATTTCTAAAAACAACGCATGTGAATTTATAAAGTACTAATAATATTCCGCACTATTTTGCACATTTTATATGACGTTCACTTGGTGTGCAATTCTTACCTGTTTAGTGAAGGCAATGATACTGATCACGTTCCCCACTGAGCCAATGACAGCGATCGTTGGATTGATGGACGCGTTCAGTACAATCTTGACAGTTTCCCTTACATCAGAGCTGACAAACGTCGAATTCTCCATCTTTGAAAATTACCTAAACACACAAACACAATAACAACAGTTTTTTATTCAACACCAAGCACTAAAATAAAATAGCTACACTCTTACGTTGCACCAACGTTTTCACCAGTTAGGCATCAATAAGTTTTAACTTGTATTGCCTGATCACGTAGCTCCGCTCCCAATCAGCAGAATAAATTTGACTAAAAACAAAAACTCAAGCGAATTCAAATTTCCGATAATACGCAAACATTTTAGCTTTAATTTCCTATCGGATTATAAACACAAAAGAGGCCACTTTTTTATCGCACGTTAAAACATGACAATCCAGATATACTGTTTTAAAACAGTGTTTCTTCCAGACTTTTTTCTCCGGGGGGGGGGGGGGCACTTGATATTTTCGGGGGGGGGGGGCGGTCAACATTCTCCGGGGTTGACGGACACTAGTAAAAGTATATTTTTATTATATAAATTCCGTCTCGTTCAGGGGGGGGGGGGGCGGTAGACTTTCTTCGGAGGAGCTCTGCCCCCCCCTCCCCCCCCCCCCCCCCCGAAGAGATGCCTGGAAGAAACTCTGTTTTAAAAATAAGCGTTTTGTTATAGGTACTTACTAGTAAAAATGTTTGACTTTTTAGAAAGTTCAATTTAAATAGGGAGGTTGAGTAATCATTGCACCATTAGATGGATTTGTCTTTAAAAATTCTATATTTTATTAAAATCTTGCTGCCAAAGTTAACAGTTTGTATTTATATATGTAAATGCATATATATATATATATATATATATATATATATATATATATATATATATATATATATATATATATATATATATTGTCATAGCTAATAGATCAGAGATTCTGCAATATGTGTAGAGTTTTAAATTAAATTAAATTGCGTAAATATGTAGAAAAAATGATTATGTTTTATATGAAGTTATTAGAAAAAATTTTTGAAGACGTTATTAAAATTAATGCCACATTCAGATGTAAAAAAAATTTTTTATTGAATAAGCTTATTTTATTATACAGCCCCAGATTTATTTCTGTGATTTTCAAAACACGGCGAATTAAAAGTTTAGATCTAGAATATCGTTGTTTTTTCTGTCGACTGTTGCTTAAATGATATGTCAGTTTGTTATCTATGTTAGGTCCGAAAAACTAGAAATAAGCTATCGGAAAAAGGTTGATTTTGGCCAAATCAAAATATATTTGTTAAAATCAAATCAAATATAACTCACAATGGATAATATATTTTTTTTACTGAACTGTTTCAGACCTTCAATATTTCCTATGAATCTTTGTTTCATAGCAATGTAAAATGTTTTATTAGGATTTAATTAAGTTTAAAACAATATTTGGTATAAATTTACTTTACGGTTAATGGAGGCCAATATGTCAAACTGCAGGTTCGATTCCCATTCAGTCATAATTATTTTTTTTGTCTTCCCACATAGATGAGTCACAGTGGGGAATCCCAAAATGGATGGTATTCATTGTTATTATTTTGAAGTTAACTTTACTAATTTATTATTCCCATTACTATTAGGGTCCAACAAAATATCAGATTTTTGCAGTTTGAGAATATGAAGAAATTAATGTTTGTATTCATTATAAAATTTACTGAATTTACTGATGAGGGCATATACCGCCGACTTTTTTGTTTTGAAAAAATAAATAAATAAATAAAAGAAAGCGATAGAGAAAGATAAACAGAGAAAGCGAGGGAAAATTAGTTTAAAATTATCAGTATGTTTCTTCAAGACTTTTTTCTCCGGGGGGGGGGGGGGGGGGGGTGGCACTTGAAATTTTCGGGGGGGGGGGGGGGGGCGGACACCCTCAAAATTATATATTTTCTATATAAATTCCCCGAAGAGATGCCTTGAAGAAACTCTGGAAAATGTACTAATACACAATCGGGTTCATGGGGCAATTATTTAAGGCAATAAATCAGTTTGGTTATTTAATAAATAAATTTGTTGATTAATATGTACGTTTTTTGTAATAGTATGCGAATGTTATATTTGATGTGAGGAAGTTACCACTAAAAGAATCACCCCCCCCCCCTCCTCCCCGCGAACGTCCGAAATATCGACTTATGACCTTATGACCCCCCCCCCCCCCCCCGCCCTTTTCTTTTCTCTCTTGAACGTCATAAATACATGTCACAACAGGACTGGGTGGGAGTGTGGGTCTAGGAAGAAAAAAATTCATTTGGTGTTTAAATTTAAAGGCTTTATAAAAGGTGGAGTATGGATGGTGGGTTATTGGTTTGTGTTGTGAGGTAAAGCCTACCTATCGTCTAGTGCTTTTCTAAAGTAATAATATATTCAGCTTATTTAAATCCAATCTAAATATTTAGGATCAGTCCGCATTTTTAAATATTAATTGCAAACATTCACACGAAAGTTGTTTATAAAGGACCAGCCGTGTTAAAATTAAACAGCTCTGGACACCACCTGATTTATACGAACAATACCACGTCGTAACGCGATCAGAAAATCTTCTGCCAAAAATGTCCCATTACTGTCGACGACTGAAGATCGACTCTGCATAATAAATTACTGTATGAGTATGTCCAAGTTTGATCAAAATCCCCCCCCCCCCCCCCCCATCATTATTGTTGACTTGGACTTAAAAAAAACATGTTTTGCCAATTTTGTTAAAACGGTCGTAAAAAGAATAAAAATGTAAAGCTGAAAAAAAAATCATAAATCATTAAATGTGATATTTTAAAAATCAATGTTTTACAACTATTTTCACAGGCAGAGAGCTTGAAAATACGTGTTTGCATTTAAGACCATATTTCTATTTATTTACATAAACGCGACATTTTAGTCTGAAGTTTAATTTTAGTTAGAAACACATTGATTTTCTGATATTTGCATTTACATAGTGCAGAATAATTACCAAGGCGAATGTTATTATATAAATTTACATCCTGAAACGGCGATGAATGTAAGTATGATAAAATATAATGACTTGATAACTCAATAACTCTCTTTAAAATCCGTGTAACTGCTCAAATGTTTTCGACAATATAATTAACTGAAATAAGATATGCTACACATTACCTAAATGACTTAAGTTTCGATTATTTTAAGCTTTAAAAACGACAGAAACATCTAATTAACTCGTTATAAACTATTTATACTGTACTTGTGCAATTTTTTCCATTTATGTTTGTTTAAACGTACTTGACGTGGAAGGAAATTGTAAGTAGCGAGCTATAGACAGACTGATGACAGCTAATTAATTTAATTATTTTAATTCATAGTCAATCTAATGGTTCTCGTGGCAGGTTTGAAGGTTTGTACCGTTGTTAGTTTAAGATGTAGATGTTCACCTACAGTACACACGTTTCCACATTGATTAAATTAACGTTATGCCAGATAAACTGCTAAATGAAAACTAAAGCAAAAATAATCGATCTCATATTCATGCGATGATGCCATGTGAATTGATTTTGAATGTATTTTTAAAGCTCTACGGACCATCTTTTCCTGATGGTTGCTTACACCGTGTGCTGGCAGCCGTCATGAATACCCCACCAATTAAGTTTGTTGACCACACACCTGTGTGGCGCGCCGTGTTCATCTGATGCGTGTGATCTTTTAACTTGGCCACCGAAGAGCCTGGTACGTCGGACTCCCAAGGCCCCTACATGATGGCGAGCCAGGAGATTTGTCCGCACTAGACGGGCGAATCTCCGTCGCTTGCTCTAAATAGCGTGGGGGAGGAGAGGTGCAAGACTGCCGGGAACCAAGAAGGGTTTTGCTCTCGACCCTAACCAGATGTCTTGACTTTAAGCTGCGGCCTTCACGTGGCTTCGGATGTGTGCCACTAGTCGGACCAAGCTCATGACCCCCCTAGTGGGTGCGGGATGGCTAGTGGTAGCCAACAGCAGCTAGAGGTTTTTGATCTGGCCGAGTAGAACTGCTGTATGCGTTCGGCTCTTCCGAAGAGCCTGGTACGTCGGACTCCCAAGTCCCCCACATAATAGCGTGGGGGAGGAGAGGTGCAAGACTGCCGGGAACCAAAAGAGTCAGATATTTTGACTTTAAGCTGCGGCCTTAACGGGGCTTCGGAATAATGCCAGTGGTCCGACCAAACTCATGTCCCCCCTAGTGGGTGCGGAATGGCCGGTAGCAGATAACAGCAGCTAGAGGGTTTTGATCTGGCAGAATGCCCCCCACGATCAAGCTGGGTACCAGGCGGTAGGACGACGTCCCGCGTCTGGTGGGTGGGGAAGGAAAGCCCGGTGAGAGCCCACGGAAGTAGCGACCGAGGTGTGGGGAACTCCAGTGGTCGGGGTTTGCTACACTGAGGCCTGCCTGGCTAATGGAAGTCAACCTTCTGAGCCGGTTTCCGTATAAGAAGAAGAAGAAGAACTTGGCCACCAACCCGCTCTTGCTTGTTAGTTCGTTCCTTTCAGCTTAGTTTTAAAATTATTACTTCACGTACATACAAGTTAAAATACTCATATCAGCTATATCTAGTACTGTGATGTTGTTGTCGTTACAATTAATTATTTATTTTAATTTTTATGTGCAAAAATATTTTATATACTAGATGCATGACCCGTTCAGGGAGAAATACAACGGGCGCTAGGTTATAGTGTTCTCTTTTTCTCTAAATCGAAACCAAAACCAAAATCCCCCACCTCAACCTAAAATTTAACCGAAAACGAAAATGACATTGAAAACGAGTTTTTATCCAAAACCGGCTTTTTAACGGAATCCGGAAATTTTACCGGATACGGAAATTCAGGCAAAAAACGAAAGAAATTTAACCGGAAACAAAATTTCACAGAAAAGAGATTTTTTTATATCCAGAATGGGTATTTTAATCGAATCCGAACATTTTATAGGTTGGATACGGAAATTTAGGCAAAAACGGAAATTTAACAGGATACGACATTTTATTTAAAAAGGAATTTTATCCGAATCGGCACTTTATTGGATCCGTAAATTTAGCCGGATACGGATATTTATAACTTTAAGAGGTGCGAAATTTAAACAAAAGGGGACTTTATTCGTAACTGGCATTTTAACTTAATCTGGACATTTAACTGGAAGTAAAACTTTAGCTGGAAATATATAAAACTTAAAACGAAATTTAAAAAAAAAAACGGAGACGTACATTGATCTAGAAACGGACGTTTTAAATAGGTAACGAAATTTAACTGATAACGGAACTTATCCGGAAAAGGAATTTGACTCACCGGAAAATGAAACATGCATTGAAATTTAACTTAAATAGGAACATTAATTGGTATGAAATTTAACTGTAAACTGAACATTATTCGGAACTGGCATTTTAACCGGAACCGGAAATTTAACCTGAAATGAAACCCCTTATAACCCAACCCATTTCTTAACCTCAGACACTTACATTTTTTTTTGGTTTGTCCCTATTAGTATTATCAATGAAGTCATTGTTATTGTGTATCGTTATCGGCATTACATTTTAATTCTATTTTTTAATTTAAAAATCAATGACGCACCCAATTTTGTGTTTAGACTCTAAATCTAGACATTGCCACAATACTCGATCCTCTCAGGAGGAGGGGGAGGGGGGTGGGGAGGTTGACTAAATCTTCCGGTGGGGCAGACAATATTAAAAGTATATATTTTCTATATAAATTATATTTCCTTCCATATCTCTCCCTACTGTACATTTAACTTCTGTATTACACCCCCACCCAACCCCCTCCAAAATACACACACACACACACACACAGACAGATAGACATTGCAAAAACCCACTTCACAGTATTTACAATGCAGACTATAATTACAGTTGAGGCTTTCATATACACACAACACAACACGCTTTTGTTAGTAATATTTGAAATGTTAACCCCGTATAAATGTTTTGTAATCAACTAAAACTTTGAAACTAAATACTGCTATTCACTTAAACGCATTTGTATCTCTAGCCGTATTCGTTTAAGTATATGTAAGTAATAGAGGTTTTAATGAGAAAAGATGAATAAATTTATCTTCGTTAAATCAAAACTACTAAATTCTCAAGAGCTGAAAGATAAAACAAAATTTATACCAATAAAATGATACTGGTACTTTCAAATAATTTAGTGTAAAAAAAACCAACAACAATTCCTCTGCTTTCATCTACATTTTAATTGAACTTTTTAAAAAGTGATTACAATAATTATTCCCCATAAGCAACTTTGAGCAACAAAGAATATACGTGGGTAAATATGTCTGCTCCCCAGTCTGTACAATCGTTTTCTAATCCTTTTGTCCAGCATGTTGTGGCATTTTCGCTGTACAGAAATAATAATTAAGCTATAAAATGTAAGCATATAATGTGCAATTAACACAGAGGCGTAGCGACCCTTCCCGGCGCCCGGGGACAAACATTCAATTTGGCGCCCCCCTCGGGAGAAAATTTTCGATTTGCACCCCCACCCCCTCAACTTTTTGATTTGCACCCCCCACCCCCTCAAACTGCAAAAATTCAGCTAAATTGACATTTTAATTTGTTTTTACAACCCATTTTGGCGCCCCCTGAGGTCGGCGCCCGGGGACATATGTCCCCCCCTGCGCCCCCCCCCCCCCCATCGCAAAGCCTCTGAATTAACATAGCTGTAAAAATAACGGTTGTAAATGATGCAAAAGATATACTATGATCGAGTTCATCATTTTACAAGAATGTAAACTTTACTGTTGGTTAATTTAAAGCCACACTTTTTTTTGTAGAAGTGTAGGAGGGTTTCACTACCAAAACATTACATTCAACTTGATTTGTGTTCCAGTAGTATACTAATATTTATCTTGTGTATATATTTTCAAGTGTGATTAAAGTAATAGTTTTATAGAAAAGTGTAACAGCGACATAAACCTACTATAACGAATTTCGGTTGTTTCTTAAACACAAGTTTTATAATTCCAAAAATACTGCACTACGGCTGAAAGTGTTATTAATATATCTTTACTCGAGTGTACAGAGATAAGCTTTAAAATATGCCTCTTTACATTTAAATCTAAAATGATTTCACCTCATTTCAGGAAAGTTTAATTTTTACAATTACATGACATTGTCTCAATTTTACCTGTACATTATGCAATTCTGTTTTACCTGTACACAACTGTAACTACGTTGACCAAACAGATTTTTTTGCGCTTTTTTCCTTTGCGCATTTTTTGTTCTGCGCTTTTTTTTTCTGTTGTGTTTTTCTCTCGTTGCGCATCTTCCTGGAAACCGTAACTACATGTACCTGTACATGATGCTTCTGTGTTTCACATGTGCATGAGAAGTAAGTATTTAACAGTACCCGTACAATGATGTTGATCTTACTCGAGTAAACGTGCCAGCTGTGATTCCTCGGTATAACTAGGAACACAGGTTTTAACTGCGTCCTTCACTTTTTGTTTCTTTATCTCATTGTCCAGACATTTGGAGGCCTCCAGTTGGTCAATGGCTACACAAAGGAAATACGGTAAGGCTAATTCAATTTTATTAACAGAGCAAAAATGCTCTAGTAAGATTATATATATATATATATATATATATATATATATATATATATATATATATATATATATATATATATATATATATATATATATATATATATATATATATATATATATATATATATATATATATGGTGACAGGACAAATGATCTCAGGACAAATGATCTCAAGGACAAATGATCTCACGGACAAAAGATATCAGGACAAAATATATCAGGACACATGATACCATGGACAATTGATCTCAGACAATTGATCTCAGACAAAATATCTCAAAGTAAACTTTTAATAATGTATAGGATGATTTTAGCGATCTGAACATTTTTTTTATTGACTGTCATATGGTTTTGTTTATTATGTTTAATATTGTTTATAGGCCTATATAATAATTGTAAGAAATAATTGCCGTATACATTTGTCATATTGCACTAAACATTTTAAAATTTAGATTACTAATATAGTATGCGAAGATTAAAGAATTGTTTTTGATAGCGTAGGTGAGCTTGCCAAACATGAGACAGTTCTACCATGTCAGGTGGACGAAACTGGATCAAAGGGGATGAAACAATAAAGACACACCTTCGTGTCAAGGTAGCCGCCCGCTTTGATGGCAGAGACATGCCTTAAGGGAAAGACATCCGTCCTCCATGGACAATACAACTATCATCTAAAGTCAATAGTTATGCGTCGGTCACCACCTTAGTAATCAGGTGAAAAAATGTTTTTTTAAACGACAGCAGTTGTCGCGGAGCTAAGTTTGTCTTACTGTGCATGCAAACAAAGAGTATTTGTGGTGATTACTCAGCTATGGCCTCCTTCGTTACCTCTAGCTTTTAGGACTTTAGTTTCTGGTCAATTTCTGTTTATAAAAGCCATAACTGGAGCAGCTGGCAAAGAGGTTTGGAAATGTGAAGTTAGAACATGTCGAGCAAGAGTTTACACAATACATGATCCCATAGTGTTGGAGATGTGTGATCATAATGATATACCCGCCAGCAGAGAAACGTAAACGTTATGATTGTGTTGACGATGCAGGAAAAACAATAGTTTTACGTTACGAACCTGAAGACCCATTCATATTTTTGAAAAATATATCACGAGTTTTGAACATTAATGTTGTATAGCTACCGTTACTTTATTTGTTTTATACATTATCATTTTATTATACCTTTCAGGCTAAAAAAGTAAGTTTGTTTCAATTTTACTTTTTCAAATCAAATGCTTTTACAAAGATTAAATTTAATAAATCTTTTGATGCTTTGTTAAGTTTATCAATTAATTTTTTTTCACAATTATTATGCGTAAATAAACCGGGAGTGATCTCTTTAAAACTTTCTCGAATATACTTATATAACTTGGAATATAGACATGATTTTTAATTACTTACACTTTTAAAAATAGAATAGAATCTCATAGAAAAAAGAATTGCGCACCAAGCGAACGCCAAAACAAAATGTGCATAATAGTGCGCAAAATTATTAGTACTTTATAAATTTACATGCGTTTTTTGAAAAATCGGTAATAGCGAAAATTAGTACTTCCGGTCAACGGAAATTACTCAAAATTTGACAGAATGTAGAGAATTAGATCTTTTACCTACATGTGAAATTTCATTTATCTATCCTAAATAGTAATCAATTTATAGGCTTTTTAAACATTAAAAGTAGAAAAAGTACCACTTCCGGTTATTGGAAATTTTGATAAAATACTTATATATGAGATTTCATCAACCTAGCTGTAACGGTACTTAAGTTATCGTGTTTACACACAGATAGAAACACACACACACAGACATACAGACATACGGACACGATTGCAAAATTATGTTTTTCCGTATCATTTTTTCGTATATACGAGAAAGTAAAAAGTAAACAAAACCATATTGACAGACAATTAAAAAAAAGTTCAAATCAACTAAAATAATCGTACATACTATTAAAATTTTGCTGTGAGATATTTTGTCTGAGATATTTTGTCTGAGATCATTTGTCCATGATATCATTTGTCCTGATATATTTCGTTATGGTATCTTTTGTCCTTGAGATCATTTGTCCGTGAGATATTTTTTCTGAGATCATTTGTCCTGAGATCATTTGTCATGGAACCATATATATATATATTTCATATATATATATATATATATATATATATATATATATATATATATATATATATATATATATATGTATTTATATATATATATATATATATATATATATATATATATATATATATATATATACATATATATATGTATATATATATATATATATATATATATATATATATATATATATATATATATATATATATATATATATATATATATATGTGTGTGTGTGTGTGTGTGTGTGTGTGTATTTAAAGTTTTAAGACAGTTTTCCTATTTTATAGTCATTTTAAAACACTGCCTAGCAGGGATAACAGACCACTTTTTCCGTCATTACTGCAGATGTCGTCAGACAATGAGATCAATGTTTGACTGGCTTTCCGCTGCTTGTCTTTGTTCACACAGTTAACATCGATGCCTTCGACACAGTTTTGCAGCTCAGCCTGTTGCGACTTGCTGTCAGCAATTGCAAACGCAGCATTTAACATGTGGTTAATGTTACATTATTTTTATTTATTTGAATCACACGGAACTTTTAACTGGTGTTAAAACTAAACTAAAAAATATTATTTAATATTAATGACATCTTTAACTTATTACAAAATTTCTCATGCATCTATTATATTCTCATTCAATATCATTTATTTTTGTAAATATGTAATATTATTTCTTTTTCCCAAGTTTTTAAATTCTATGTTACTGCTATGTCTTTACTACTCAATGATTTTTTTTTTAAATTAAAAAGCTATTGTTAAGGTATTGTTTTTTTTTGTTTTTGTTTTTGAAAACAGCCAATGTGAAAAAGATGTCCGTGCCTACTGTTGATACCGTTATTGAATACATTCAATAGAATAAATTTAAAAATAGATTCACATAAGTTTTTTGAGAAATCGGAAATAGCGTAAAGTACACCTTCCGGCCAACAATGGAAAACAGCGAATTAGATCATTTACTTGTACGTGAAATTTCGTCTATCTAACAGAAACAGTACTCAAGTTATAGGATTTGGAAAAACCAAAAATGGAATAAGTTCCACTTCCGTTTACTAGAAATCGCAAAAAGATGAAACAGGATTAAACGCTTCATATTATAATTATATATCAAATTTCGTCTACCCTGCTGTGACGGTACTCAAGTTTTCTAGTTTTCAGGTAGACATGCATCCACACACACACGGACAAAATTGCAAAGTTCATTTTTTCCAACTCGATTGCGCGTAAAACGGCCGAGATTTTGATGAATTTAGATTTAGAATATTTTCCCGATTAAAATAAGTCCCCAATACTCCGTTTATTATTATGATGAAGTACTTAGATGTAAAGGGTGATTTTTATGCACGATTACAAAACTCTGTATACGAGAAAGAAAAATTATTGTATTTGGATAACATTTATGCTATTTAAAATTAGTTATAAATTCCACCATTCCTTATTAGAGGATTTTAAAAATTAATTAAACATTTGGAATTGATCTCAGCGCATCTCGTGTATGAGTCGTTAAGAGACGATTGGACACAGAAACTTTATTGTTAGAATCTAGAAATAATCTTAAACTTTTCAGTGCAATTTCAAAAGTAATAACTGCCCACCCCCGAAATTAGAAAAATAGCGTGAGAATATTAACAGGTACTTACGTGCAGATACGTGCATAATAGCTGCTGTTTAGGTCACTGTATGTTTGTAAATAGTAATTTGGAGCTTGCTTAGCAAACAAGCCAATTGCTTCATCACATTTCGCTGGTTTACTTGATCTGCTTTCTGTAATAATAACAATATAAATAAAATACAAAGGAGGACTCAAAATAAAAATTGTTTAACGGAGAAGAGAAAGTTATTTTAGACTTTGGACTAAACTTTTTAGTAGTAAAGTATCACAAACCTGCCGTATGGTAAAGTATCACTAGCCTGCCGTATGGTAATTTTATTTTATTCAATTTAATTTCAATTTATTCAATAACGGTAACAACAGTGGGCACGGATGCCTTTTTTTCACATTGGCCGTTAAAAAAAACCCCAACAACAACAGCGTAATAACAGCGTAATAACGTAATGAAATTTGGAATAAAGAAATAATATTACATTGTTATAATACAAAATGACATAGAATAAGAATATAATAGATGAATAATAGAATAATTGTTGTTTTAATTAAGTTTTGAATATATTATCAGCTCTAGATATTTTTTTTTATTATTGAGATTGTTCCTCAAATTAGACCCAGAGTAGGCGAAGCTATGTTTTTGGAAAAATGTGTACATCGGATGGGATGGGTAAACTAAGACCACGATATAATTTTGTGCTAAAAGAAAATAGGTCTGATAAGTAAGAGGGGGCTGTTTCGTGAAATATTTTATAAAAAAAATTGCTTTAGTATATATTATTTTTTATAAATGGAAGTATATTAGTTGTAATAAAAGAATCCAGACAACTAGACAAGCCAGTAACCAGTTTTATTGCCATTTTTTTGTAATGCCGCTCCACACTACAGATGCATAATCCAACCTAGACTGAGTAAAAGCTTCATAAAAAAAAACAGCCTATAGTCCACAATTTTTTTTTATCCTTGCTAGTTGAAAACTTGTCTTTCTGAATAGGGACATTTTTAGAAGATGGATATGATCGGACCAAGTGAGGTTGTGATCTATAATCAATCCTAGGCATTTGTAACTGTTAACCTGTTCAGTGTTTGTATTGTCTAGAGCAGGGGTCTCCAAACTTTTCAGTCCGAGGGCCGCATTAACTATCAAATTTTAGTTCGGGGGCCAGTTTCTTCCAGGCATGTCTTCGATTTTTCTGGGCAAAGTTCCTCAGCCATCACCAACAAACGATTTTTCCTTGGACAAAAAGATCTCCGCGGGCCGGATGAGAGGACTTCGCGGGCCGCATCCGGCCCGCGGGCCGTAGTTTGGAGACCCCTGGTCTAGAGTAATGCGTATTGAGGTGGATGGAAGACGAAGGCGTTTCTGATGAGTAGTAGTGAGTATTGACTTAGTTTTATCGGGGTTAAGTTTCATTTTGTTCGATTTTGTCCATGTAACAAGCTGATTGGCACATGTTTGAAGTTTGAACACCTTCTCACTGCCTGCGTCGATGTGCAATGCAAGATTATTAATGTATAAAGAAAAAAGCAAATGACCTAAGATTGAGCTCTGGGGAACACATATATTAACATATTTCTGTGAAGAGATGGTATTAAGGCGAAACATGCGTTGAGATCGGTTAGATAAAAAGGAGTGAAGTAACCTAACTGTAAAGTCGTGGATTTTGTAAGGAATTAGTTTTTTAAGAAGTAAGCTGTGATCAATAGAATCAAAGGCTTTTATGAAATCGACGAACAGCGTGCCACAAAGTAGTTTTTTGTTAATATTTTTAAGCTAGTTTTCATTCATTTTAATCAAAGCAGTGTGACAAGAGTGAAAATTTCTAGACCCGAATTGATTGATGTGAAAAAGCTTATGCTTTTCTTGGTAGTTTGACATGCATTTGTTTACATGCATTTCAAATGGGTTGGAGAGGGAAGAAACTATAGCAATAGGCCTTTAGTTATTAGCATCTTGGATGTTACCTTTTTGTGTAATGGTATAACGATAGCATGCTTAAAATGTTTCGGGTAATATTGTTTGGCAATACAAAGGTTATAGATATCGGTTAAAACTTATATATTTTATACTATTGGAGCTGAAATCTTCAATACTTTATTAGAGATGTCATCAAACGAAGTTGTTGTAGGCGGTTTCGGAGATCTTAGGCTAACATAAACTTCATGAACCTTGAGAAGCTGAATTATCAGCTCTGCCCACGGTGAGCAGAATTACAAAAATGTTTAAGCTCCTCACTGATTGTGTAATCAGCATCTGTGTTGAGCGTTACAGATGATATGAAATGATTGTTGAAGTCATCAGCAGATATCTGGCAATGTCCAGCTGTATTACATGTGCGTTTTTTTCTAATTATTTGATTATTGGCAGTCCAAATAGATTTGAAATTAGGTTTGCCTACAGCAACGTATTAAAATACTCCTTCTTCGACCTACGCATTAAGTATCACTAACTTGCCATTCGGTAAGTTATCATTAACTTACCATAAATATAATAAAATATCACAAACTTGTCATAATGGTAAAATATTACTAACCTGTCGTGTAGTATCACTAACCTGCCATATGATAAAGTATCACTAACCTGCCATATGGTAAAGTATCACTAACCAACCATATGATAAAGTATCACTAACCTACCATTTGGTAGCGTGCCATATGGTAAGGTATGACTAACCGTCGTAGTATCACTAATCTGCTATTTGGTAAAGTATCAATATCCTACCTTATGGTAAAGTATCACTAACCAACCATATGATAAAGTATCACTAACCTGCCATATGGTAAAGTATCACTAACTTGCCATCAATATGGTAAAGTATCACTAACCTGCAATGAAAACAAGAACGACTACCAGACAAACTTTCAACATGTTAGACATATTTGGTGAAGACACTTTGTCTACTTGCTTGGTGTACTGTTGACTAGACTGTTGGATCTACAACGTGGCAAGTTGGTCCTGAACTTTGAGATTTTATAATGTTTTACAATGCTACTGTAACAGATGTTTTAAATCAGGGGCGGAACTACAGTGTTTAAGATTTAGAAGTGGAGGGTGTAATCGGACATTCAGATCTAGTTAATTATATTTTTGAACCTAAGTGCATATTATAGACCTACTTTCGAATTGTAGAAGTTCTGAAGGTCATGAGTTCGAATTCTAGTCCGAACTCTGGACTGTAGGAACAGGCTGGAGCTCACCCATCCCAGATGAGCCCCTAAATTCCCTGATGAAGACAGAGAAGATTATTATTATTATTAATTATTATTATACCTTAATTATTATTAAGATTATAAGCCAACATACCCTCTCCCCTTCTGCCTAAGTCCCTAAAACTCGACTTTACTATGATCCTCCCTCCTCTTCCATCCCGCATGAATGACATAAATGACTACCCGCAATTGTGCGGGAGTACGGGTCTAAGAACAGCGATTCATTTTGGGATTAAACGACTATAAAAATTGGTTGGGATAGTGGTTTGTGTTGTGCAGTGCATCCAATAGACCGTTTCCGAACTGTAAACTGGGTCGTCTAGTTTCTACTATTTGTAACAAGTTAGTTACATTCTGTTTTAGAGTAAGTGGCGTCACAAGATAGGGCGTTACCATCCTCCAACAATTTAGCATGTTTCGTTTGCTTTTATTCCTATACTCTAATATTTTGTTATTTTGTACTAAACCCATTGTTTTGACAATTCATTTTACGATTTTTTTAGATAGGTATTACCCCCTACTTTGTGTTGTAATTAATCAGTTGGCTGGAATTTTATTTTCAATGTAGCTGAAATCGGCGTGAGTTATTTTGGTGATTTTAGTGCTAGTCATTTTAAAAGCTTTAAAAATTGAAACGAAATGTAAGACATTTTAAGTGACTAGTCGAACATTTAAACTTCTTTAGCGAGGGGTTTTAGAATTATTGTGCTGCTACGCCTTCAGCTAACAAAAATATCATGTGGGCGTATTGAAGCATAATGTAATGCTTAGCCCCTCAAAAGTTTCATATCTACGCCAATACTGTTCACATTTATACCTTCAAATGTATTTGAGCTAGTCTCTAATACATGCATTTCCAACGTAAATGTGAGGCATAGACTAATATATATTTTGTATATCACCGTATGTGACGGTAAAACCATTTCATGCAAACACCTCCCTAGGCAGGCGCTATTACCCCCCCCCCCCCCCCCGGGCCTGTGTCGGGACAATCCAACCCGGTTGGCTTAACTACTACGTGCAACATGAGTATTGTATTTGTAAACATGTATTGTTATATGTTATCATACATTTTGACGTTGCGCCCTTATGAATTATGAGGGTTTTATTTCGGTATTGTTTTACATCGTAAATCTGACACCGAATATACACTTATAAATATTTACTGATGGTCTATTCGTTTAATAGTGGGATGAAAAGATTATAGATTTGCTAGAAAATGAAAGAAATATTATATTAAGAATTAACTTCTATCTAATGCTAAAACCTTCTGCCTTAAAAAGGCTTAACCAAGAATCTACCTAGTGTTATTCCAACTACAGATGTTACAGTGCATTATAAATTTTATAAAACAAAACATAACTAACAGTGCAATTAATTATATTTTAGTTTGTCCACGTCAACAGCGCAACCAATGGGAGTATTTTCTGATTAGCTCCAGAGCGAGGGAAGCTAAGATATACGGAGGGGAGGGGTTAAAGAATGGGCGGGGTACTGATGAAGGCAAAGTATGTAAAATTTTTTTCATAAAAAACGTTTTAATAACAAGCTTTTATGTACTAATGCACAAAAAAGTAGGAAATAAATGATAGACTACTATTTAAATAACTATAAAGTGGGTCACTTTAGTATCTTTTGGATACCTACTTTTCTAATATTTAGGAAGAGACCCACGCTATAATTTAAATATAAACCGCATACGCGTACATGTATGCGCATAAGCAAACTTAATAGTATTATAATGTTTATCTGTAGTCAGTTAATAATGTTGTTGGATGTAGCGTTGTTTTCTCTATAGTTAGCACGTTTACGTCATAGTGGCACCCCCCCCCCCCCCTCTTGTAATAATTGCCGATTTGTACTTAAAAGAATATTTAACTTACTTAATCATTAATGGAACTGACAAAAAGCATTGTTCCTTCTGTACATTTTGGATTTTTTCGTCATGGTGTCACCCTCCTATATGGTTTCACCCGGTGCGGTGCGCAACCCCCGCCCGCCCTCGCTACGCCTATGTTCTATATTACACCATCTATTGTAACTGGATGCAAGCCACCAGTAAGTGTAGATAATGAATCGTTCTCTAGGGCCCCGAGAATTTGACACGTCGCAGCATGCGTCCAGACACAACAAATCCCTACGAATAGTTTCTGACAATCAATATATCCACGCCAAAGTGTCAGATTGTTGCACGTACTGAATCAGTGCACACAGTATTTTGTTGATGGTTTAAATTGCCACGTCGCAACATTTCATTAGAACGAGGCAAATATTCACTACGTGGACGATCTTCTTCTTCTTCGTTTTTAATTTTTTAGTGCTGGAAGGGATCGAACTGGAGACATTTTCGGTTTAGCAACATGAGCTTTACCGACTTGACCACGCCGACCTTTTTCCAACACAATTAAGTATACGTGTCAACTGGTTATGTGCCATTGAGGCCATTGGCTCCGATTTCAGCCTGCTTTTCTTTTTTGATTTGCTTTCATAGCCTTTGTACAACCAGCAGTTGTTTGATTTTGGAGTTGTCGCTCCGAGAAGAGTAGCTGTCCCCAGCTAACGAGCCTCATCTGCCTGAGGGTTCGAACTCGAGACTTTTCGGTTTAGCAACCACGAGCTTTACCGACACGACCACGCCGACCCCCTCGTGGACATTCGATGTGTATCACTACACGAGTTTACCATTACAAACAAATAGCTTCAACGCTAAGCCAAGTCTCTAATACCTACGCAATTGATGTTTAATTAGTTAATTATTGCCATCTTTTCCCAGTTGTGCCCAAGACACATGGGGCAGTAGAGTTAATCTGTTTCAAGGATCTCGGCATAAGAAGGGATAGTGTTGTGAAGACTATCCAGCCGCCTTTGATTTCCCTCACATGATTCAGGTACCCATCGGAGCTGGGTAGACTCAGGGACGTTCTACTGACTTGAACCCAGATTCGAACTCGAGACTTTCGGGTTAGCTGCCTAGCTCTCTATCGCTATCTCTCTAACAAGGTCAAGAAACATATGAACTCTACTTCCTCTGCCTAATTGGTAGCTAGTTCTATTAAGGAATCTTTACTTCATTTAAACTTAACTAAAAGATAAATCAAAATCGAGACGAAGAAACTGATACAATTGTTTTCAAATACGTTATCGACAAAATAAACGATCACTCTGATTTTATTAATAGTTATATTCTAAAACCAATTTCCCACAATGAATCATAAACACGTATTAATAGTTCAGCCCCTGGTTGAGTACAATCCGCTTGTATCGCCTTTCTCCAGCATTTCAATGCGTCCTCTCTGTCCACAAATAAAAGATTAAACCAAATAATGTACGAATATACTAATAAAATACTTAAAAAAAACTTTTAAAAAAAACACGTTTTTCTTGTGGACTAAAAAGTAGAAAATAAATTTTTCTTTTGTGCTTCCTCGAGCTGTGCAGATTCTTGTGATGACTGACAAAAAACGTGGGTACGTTCACCATCAAATTTCCCGACCCATCTGCCGACCCACGTTTTTTGTCAGTCATCACAAGAATCTGCACAGCTCGAGGAAGCACAAAAGAAAAATTTATTTTCTACTTTTTAGTCCACAAGAAAAACGTGGTTTTTTAAAAAGTTTTTGTTTAAGTATTTTATTTTCTCCTTTTTAGTCCGTTGCTACACATGAAAAACGTGGTTTTTAAAAAACTTTTTATATAGTTTATTTTCTACTTTATCCAATGACTTGATTAAGTATGACTTGACTAAGTGTTTATAAATACACGGACTAAAAATCTTGAGCGACCAGGATTCGAACCTGAGTTGTCGCGGCCACAACGCGAAGTACTAACCACTATACGATCACGGCCAGCGCGCTCACATCGATTGGGGCCGAAGTAATTGTGTCAATAGGCCTCCAGTCTTGTCGGTATCTTTAGAAATCATGTCCTCAATTTTATGGTCCTTGGGACGAAATTAAATTAAGCTAATTACGGTCTCTAATTGCTAGTTTTTATGATTGCATCTGAAATTGTAAGGCGAAAGTAGCTTACATGCCAAATTTCAGATCTCTAGAGCAATCAGAAGTGGGCTAATTTTCTATGTCAATTTTAACAACAAACAAACAAATCCACAAACGCGAAGCTGAGTTAAGAAAAACGTGTTAAAAATAAAAATAGCTAATAAAAGTAGAGGTTGAATATAATGCAGAATGTATACTCAAGGATTGATCTGTCTCAACGTTTTACAGCTGTATAAACTTCACTGAGAGATAATATACTCATTTTAATTGAGTAATCAGAGGCGTAGCTAGGGGAGGGCGGGTGGGGCGGCCGGCCCGGGCGCCGACCTTAAGGGGGCGCCAAAAGGGGTAGAGAAATTAATTTGAAAGCTCATTTTAAGCTGAAGTATAGAATTGTACACAGTCAAAGTTAGGAAAATAAACGAATACAAGGCTTTACACGCTGATTTATCTGTTTTCTATATAAGTTTTGTGGCTCCAAAAAAGAAAATGTTGCGGGATAGTGACTGGTATGAAGCGCCACAAACCTTTCAAACTTGGGGAGGGGGGCGCTTTTTCATAGAAAGGAATAACTATAAATAGAAATAGGAGGGAGGGACAGAAAATTGATAGTCCGCCCCGGGCACCGGAATAGGCCGCTACCCCCTGGTTGCAATACATCTTAACAATTTAGTGTGGAAGTGTGGGATACTTTTACTACCAAAACGTATGACATTAAACTTTGCCAACGAGTAGTTTTCTAATACTTGTCTTTGTGTAAGTATTTACAAGTGTGATTAAAACTGCTTAGTGTTATTTTAAAATTTCATCTGTGAAATAAGCATTCAGCAATAAAATCATGTAGTTTCTGAAACTCAACTTTAAAATCCAAAAACTACCGCACCAAATAAAACTTTACAACACGGCTGATTAAAATAGCATTAAGTTCGCTCTACTCGGTTGTCTAGAAAAACAAGTAATTAAAAAAAGTCTAGTGACAATTTTAGCGCAATTTCCTTATGTTATCTAAAAATAGCTCTGTCGTAGCGTAAATTAAGAGCAGGGTTAGTAAAACCATTGGTTAGTTATTAAAACGTTTTTTATTAATTTATTTTTCAGTATTTTACATGTTTTATTTACAATAGAGTAACATGACTAAAAACCATTGCGCGCCTAGCTACCGAACGTGATGTCGCAGCCATTGAACGTGATGGCGCAGCTATTAAACGTGATGACGCGTGTGGTGTGGTTGGAAAAACATGACTACTAATTCGGTCCAAATTTTAATTAATTCAAAAAATTTTTTGTGACCGAACGAAAGGATATTTTTGAAAACTTTCTTCGGCAATATTGTTCTAAATTATGTCAGGAATCGATTGGTACATGTTTCAAGTCGCTAAGTGGTCTGGTTTCCGAGATATGGGCCAAAAACTGCATTTTGTCGAGGTTTTTTGGCTTTTTCGGGAAATCCATGAAAGAAACCCGGAATTTTTATGGCCTATGTTCATCCTCGTAACTTGCTTAACATAATTGCTTTTGTAACTAGTCATCGATATTGCTTCGTTGAGGAGGAGATACGACTTAAAGCCCGGACACACATTCATACATTCATTCATTCATCCATCCATTCCCAGAAATGACGAGTTAATAAACGCAATTCTCCAGAATGGAAATTGCGCTAAAAATATTTAAAAATTTGCTTCTTTAGTTTTAAAAGTAAGAAAACTTTACGTCATTTCAGTTAATTTTAATGTATAAATTTAGTTGACATTTTCTGTGTGTTTTACCTGTACATGAAAGTACATTTACCTGTTGGTTTTACCTATATATGCCAGTGTAAGTATAATGATTTTATCTTACTTGCGTGACTGCTGTATTTCCATGAGTGAACCATTGCTACAGGGGGAAAATGCGGCACGCACTTTTTCTTGTTTCTTATTGCTAGCCAGACATTTGGAGGTTTCGAGTTTCTCAATGGCTACACAAAAGAAACACAGTACAGCTTATTCCATGTTATTCATAGAGCATTACGTTTATGTGGGATAGCGGGGTTTGAGGAGACGGAGAGGGAGAGTGGGGGTGGGGGATGGAGTGAGAGTGATGCAGGGGTGGGGGATGGAGAGTGAGAGTGAAACGGGGGTGGGGGATGGAGAGTGAGAGTGATGCGGAGGTGGGGGATGGAGGCAGGTTAGGGCGACCGACAACTATTTCGAAAGTCTCCATTTCAGATCCTGTATCTTGTCTGTACGAAATCCCTGAGCGACACCCCACCCCCCCCCCCCTATGATTGCATAAATTAAGTTAGGTAAATCCTAAGGTGACAGAGCGTAGAACTGATCACACTATACCCCCATATGCCAAGGTTAACTTATCACCCTATACCCCCATATGCCAAGGTTAACTTATCACCCTATACCCTCATATGCCAAGGTTAACATATCACCCTATACCCCCATATGCCAAGGTTAACTTATCACCCTATACCCCCATATGCCAAGGTTATAGAAACCGATAAATTATACATCATCTGCCCTATGGTCCGTTTTATTGTATATCTACCAGATTTAAAGCGTTATAAAAATAAAATAAAAATTATAAAATAATATTTAAATAAAATACACCAGACATGTAATTTACACCAACAGTTTGCATTGCCTGCTTTTTCTCTTTAGTAAAAAATATTCCCCATCGGCTTGTGACTATCAATTCAGATATAATAATTTAGACTTAATACAAAACGCCTAACTGATCTAGGAGAGACAACTCCAAAATCAAGCAACTGATACTAAGATAACATCATAAGGGATGTAACCTTATATAAGTAATGTCACCGGCCAGAATATAACAAAAGTTAAATTACATTAATTATTTCAGTTAATTACTACAATTTTATTAAAATAAATACTTTAATAGGCATTGAAATTATTACTCAAGCTAATATAAATATACATAGTCCAAATGACGTCTTTATTTGCGTTTTTTACTTTCTCGTATATACGAAGTATAGAGAAAGTCTTGTAATCGTGCAAAAAAAAAATCGAGATTTTTACAAATCTCAACGTTTTACGCCTCACTGATACGGAAAAATATAATTTTTCAATCTTGTTCGTATGTCTGTGTCTCTGTCGATGTGTGTGTGTGTGTCTGTCTGTGTGTAAACACGATAACTTGAGTACCGTTACAGCTAGGTTGATGAAATTTCATATATAAATATTTTTATCAAAACCGTAGATCCGTGTCAACTTTTGAGCGATTTCCGATAACCGGAAGTGGTACTTTTTCTACTTTGAATTTTTAAAAAGCCTATAACTTGAGTACTATTTCAGATAGATAAATGAAATTTCATTTGTAAGTAAAAGATCTAATTCTCTACCTTCTTTCAAATTTTGACTAATTTCCGTTGACCGGAAGTACTATTTTACACTACTTCCGATTTTTCAAAAAACGCATGTAAATTTATAAAGTACTAATAATATTGCTCACTATTATGCACATTTTGTTTTGGCGTTCGCTTGGTGCGTAATTCTTTTTTCTATGAGATTCTATTCTATTTTTAAAAGTTTAAGTAATTAAAAATCATGTCTATGTTCCAAGTTATATAAAAATATTCGAGTAAGTTTAGGGGAGATCACTCCCGGTTTATTTTCTTTACAAATAACAATTTTTATATAAGAAAATATAGGATCTGGTCAGATCCAACCAACTCCCGGGGCTTAACCGAACGCAAAACAGTATTTTTAATTACCTCAGGGTTAGACCAACGACCCCACAAACAAAGATTTTTGACGTGGGATTTTGTTTTCGCTATATATCTCATACAAGGTGCTAGCCAGTCACTGATCGCTTCAGCTCTAGACGATGGCGTAGAGTCTGACCGACACTTTCTCAATATGAACGAGTGAATTACCAACGTTCAACCAAAACGTTAGCCATATGTACATAGTATAAGTGCCTTTATAACGTTTTGAAAAGACACTTCGTTTTAACAAAAAATTACAACGTATATAAAAGGAAATACGTCTTGTTATATTCAGCCCTTAGCGAGAATTTAGAGGCTGTCTAACACTTTCTACATAATATGGCAGAGTTAATTACCAAGGTGCTTGCATACAAAATTAGCCAGATGTACAGAGCACAAATACCCTGAAAATTGTTTTGAAATTGTGCCTCTTTCCACCAAATTTACAATGTTTACATATGGAATTTGGACTGGTCAGTTGTAACGTTCTTGCGAGTTTTATTTTTTGTCATCCCTTGGGTCATTCTAAAACGTCATCAATTAACAAAGTGTTTTGGCTTGGGATTTTTTTTCTATATACAAGGAGTTTTTCACCGGCCTAGCATTGTATCAAGGAGCATGCTAAAAATTAGTCTGATGTGCGGAGCCTTAGGGGGCCATCCATAAATGACGTCACGCTTTTAAAATTATTTTTACCTACCCTTCTCCCCTCCGCCACACATCGTCACAAAAAGCAGACCCCCCCCCTCCCCTAAAATGACGGCACACCTCAGTCTACAAACCACCCTCAAAATTGCAGTTGATATTTTCTTGAAACATTGATATTTTTCCAAAATCTTGTCTGAACTCTTTCAAAACAGAGCATTTTAATCAATTACTATTACCATATATTTCAACAGTTTTTAAAACGTAAAAAAAAGGCTAAAACTCGTTTTCCACTTCTTTTTAAAAATGCAAAAGTCTGACGTCACACCATCTAAACCCCCTCTCCCCCTCATCACACGACGTCACAAAATTATGGACCCTTAGTCCGCCCCCCCCCCCCCCGAAAACTTCAAGTGCCCCCTCCTCCTCTCCCCCCCCCCACTGACTACGGGCACAGGCGAGTGCGTGCCCAAACCTGCTTTGCTTTTTATATATTTAGATTGAAAAAACTTTGCCCAGGCAGGAATAACTGACCGATTTTTCCGTCCTTGCCACAGATTCGATTAGACAATGAGAGAATCTTTGTAACCAACCACAGCTGATTGTATTTGTCTATACACTGTTCCTCATAGTTCTTGACGCAATTTCTTAGAGCAGTCCGCCGACTTGTACTGCCAACAGTTGTAAACAGATAAAAAAAAATTAACTGCTGCAGGCTAAATATTTTATTTGGATTTTATTTATGCCAATTAAACTTCGTTTCAACTTACAAAGTTTAGTATACAAACTAAATTCACAAAAATACAACAATTGCTTATTACAAGATTTATAAATTCAATTAGGAATGACACTCAGCAACTCTCGTGGATGTCATGTTGAGCACAGTCACCTCGGCACAGAGGCGTAGCGAGGGGAGGGGGTGGGGGGAAGACACATGGCCCTGGGCGCCGACATTAGGGGGGCGCCAAAATGGGTTGGAAAAATAAATTGAAAAGTTGAGGGGGGTTGCAAAATGAAAGCTTGAGGGGTGGGGGTGCAAATCGAAAGTATGTCCCCGGGAAGGGTCGCTACACCTCTGACTCGGCATAGAAACTTTGTTGTTTAGAGTCTTGGAAAAAAAATCTAAAATTATTCAGGGCAATTTAAAAAACTACCAAACTAACTAATGAGCAGACAAAGCAGCATAAAAATAATAACAGCGACTCACACGCAGACACGTGCATAATAGCTGCTGTTTAATTCAGTGAATGGATTTATATAGTATTCTTGAATCTCGTTACTTAAACAGCCAACTGTTGCATGACATTTTTCTTTCTTTTTTGACCAGCGTTCTGTTATAAATTATAAATATACAAAGAAGAAGACTAAAAATGAAAGTCACTTTACGTTATAGTGATGGTAAACTAGAACTAAAAATTCAATTGATAGAGTATCACTAACCTGCCATATACATATATATATATATATATATATATATATATATATATATATATATGTGGGCACTTTATTCTATGTAATAACTAGGCATACTGCCTGGCTTCGCTTAGGTTTTCAAAAACATTTGAGAATTTGAATACTTAATTATTTAGTGACGGCTGAGGTGTGGAGTGCTTAAATTTAAACAGTACTACTAATTTTAGAGAAAATGTTATTGTTGTTCTTTATTGTTTAAAGTCCATTTTCAAAGAAAATATTGGTAAATTCGCAATCTATGACTAAAAAGGAATTAGAACTACAGAGGTTCCATGAACAGTATATTTCATAATTTATATTACATTGACTTTAAAATTAATCAACTTATTTAATTAGGATACGTACCTTAATTAACAACTTAATTTTTTACTGAAACAAATGCTATACTTCGCCATTTTCTGTTTATATAATTATTTTTAAAAAGTTACCTCCCTTGAAAATTGAACGAATGAAGTATGTCTTTGTTTACTTTTTCACAAACAATTGTTTATATGAAAATACGTCATATGGACAAATCTAACGACCCTAAGGGTTTTTTTTCGACGGGAATAATGTTTTTTTTTATCCTCCGGGGTCGTTCTACGACCTCACAAAATATTAGGGAGATCGTCCGTCAATGTATTTATATATATCTTATATAATAAGAATTTCACTCGCGGTCACTGTTTAGCCCTCGTTGAGTGCTTTGAGTCTGACCAACAGTTTTCCCATACGTCCTAGTCATCTATAGAGGTGCATTCAAAAAATGGCCAGATAAATAGAGGTTGAGTATCCTAAAATTTATGTTGAAATGACCCTGTTTTTCCCATAAAATACAAAGATTATATAGGGAATTACGATTGGTCAGTTTTGACCTATTTGCAGATTTTTCCCGGATGTGGCGAGTTTTTTCTGACACCCTTAGGTTTTCTCCTACCACTTCACAAAATATCCAGGGGGGTCGTTCGGCAAGAAATGTTTTCGTTATATAGCTCAAAAAAGGAGATTTTCACTCGCGGTTATCTTTTAGCCCTCGCCGAGGGCTTTGAGTCAAACCGACAGATTTCACAAAAGATCAAGCCATTTACACAGGTGCATGCAAAAACTTAGCCAGACATACAAAAGGTAAGTGCCCTGAACACTTTGTTCAAATGACCCTCTGTTTTTCCCATAAAATACAAACATTATATAGGGAAATACAACTGGTCTGTTTTGACCCATTTCCAGATTTTTCCCGGACAATAAGAGTTTTTTCTGACACCCCCAGGCGATCTCCTACCACCTCACAAAATATCAAGGGGTGGTCGTTCTGCAAAAGTTTTTTACGTAATATAGCCCATATAAGTCGAGGTCAGTTTTGACCCCCCTCTCCGTAGACTTTTCGGTCAACCGTCACCGGCCCTCGAGTTCTATCGCCCCAAGGCATCATCGAGCCAAATTTGATGCGCCTGCGGCGCCGGGAAGTGCCCTATCCGGCACCTGACCACTTCGCTTTATATATATAGATATGTAAAATATTTGTAGAAATAAAGTTGCAATTGGATATGTATTTCCTTAATTAACTTTGTTTTTCTTTATAATAATTTAAATAGTAGTGTATTTTTAGTACATTATTACATAAAATCTTGTTATTAAAACGTTTTTTATGCATTTGTTTTCAGTACTTCAAAATTTATAATACAACAGAGTTTCATGACTAAAACCAATTGTGCACCAAATGAACATGATAATGCGCGTATACTGCGCCGGGAAAAAATAAATCACAAATATCACACATCATTTTATATGTTTACATCGTTTTAATGTTCAACATTTTAAACTTTCTGGTTTAATTATTATTGAGAAAATTTACCATGTAAGTCACCCATCAGTTTAACAAGCAGGTTTGTGCCGACATCACCACAATTCGCTGGTATCTTTCTTTTCAAACATTCATCAGCCTTATCACTGAGTACAAAAAAGATATTGAAATATATTGTAAAAATGTAAACGGCTTTGTACACATGATGAGTAAATAAAACGATGCTCTTACAATTTCATTTAGTTACAAATTAATGGCTTTTATGAGTTTTACTGTGCAAGCGATTGTAATGAACTGTAAGTGCTGTTATTAGTTTCGTCAAAAAGATAAGGAAAATGAAAACTAATCATCCGATGTGTAGGCTAATGATCTAATTAAAAAAAAAATCACAATAATATATTTTCCCCAATTTTTTATTTTCTCGTATATACGAAGTATAGAGAAAGTCTTGTAATCGTTTTACACCTCACTGATACGGAAAAACATAATTTTGCAATGTTGTCCGTATGTCTGTGTGTCTGTCTGTCTGTCTGTCTGTGTGTGTGTCCGTGTGTAAACACGATAACTTGAGTACCGTTACAGCTAGATTGATGAAATTTCATATGTAAGTATTTTATCAAAATCGTAGATCCGTATCAACTTTTGAGCGATTTCCGATAACCGGAAGTGGTACTTTTCCTACTTTGAATTTTTCAAAAGCCTATAACTTGAGTACTATTTCAGATAGATAAATGAAATTTCACATGTAAATAAACGATCTAATTCTCTACCTTCTGTTAAATTTTGAGTAATTTCCGTTGACCGGAAGTAGTAATTTACGCTACTTCTGATTTCTCAAAAAAACTAATGTAAATTTTTAAAGTACTAATAATATTGCGCACTATTATGCACTTTTTTATTTGGCGTTCACTTAGTGTGCAATTAATTTGTCTACGAGATTTTATTCTAATTTTAAAACTTTAAGTATTTAAAATGGATTAAAAATCATGTCTATAGCCCGAGTTCCCATCCCCAGTTATTTTATATAAGAATATTCGAGAAAGTTTAGGGGAGATCACTCCCGGTTTTTTACCTTTGTGTAAAGTAAGCTTCATACCTGTCTGAACAAAATGTGAGTTTTACCTGGGGACATCGGTGCTATTGTGGCAGGATAACGAAGCTTGCTTCACTTGTACGTATTTGTCCTGGTCAGTTACACACCCAGACTCCAAAAGCTTTTCAAAATCTGTTGACGTATACGTTTTTTTGTGCAATCAGATTCAGATGTAAATAGTCAAGGAAAGACACATCACTGTTAGGGCTTTTGATCATACCTTATAATTCAAAGCAGCCTAAAGAAAAAAATTTCGAAGTCGAACTTTTATAATTCTCATGCATGCACCGATGCATACTCACACACGAATACGCACGCACGCACATCTACTTCTGACAAACACACACAGCCTTACTTAAATACGACTATTCACACGATAATAATAACACACATAATTATGTGTTCACATGAACACACATACAAGCAAGGAAACCCATACATAGTCAGAAGAAGATTAGTGTTTTAGGGGGGGGGGGAATACATGTCTACTTTAACATAGTTAAAATCGTTTTAACTAATTATATTTATATATATATATATATATATATATATATATATATATATATATATATATATATATATATATATATATATATTTAACTATATATACACACACACACACACACACACACACATATATATATATATATATATATATATATATATATATATATATATATATATATATATATATATATATATATATATATAATATATATATATATATATATATATATATATATATATATATATATATATATATATATATATTTATATATATATATATATATATATATATATATATATATATGTGTGTGTGTGTATATACTTCAAAATATATCCTTACAAAAGCTGCAAAGAAGTCGAACTTTTATAGCTACTTATGCACACAAACTCATGCTTCCACGCATGGGATGCACATTCCCGGACGAATACACATGCACGCACACACACGTCCACATTCTGACACACACAGGCGTACTTAAAGACGACTATTCACACTATAGTGATTACACACATAATTTTGTGTTTACATGCGCACACATACAATCAAGCAAACTCTTACATAAGTATAACTATTAGCACTGTGTCAAAAAAAGGTAAGTATATATATAGGATATATATATATATATATATATATATATATATATATATATATATATATATATATATATATATATATATATACTTTAAAATATTTTCTTACAAAAGCTGCAAAGTAGTTTTCATTCTCAATATTAACATTGAAATAAAGAGCTATTGACCTTTTTTTCCTTTCTTGCTACAGATGGTTTGTATGAAAGACAAAATTTTCACACTCGTCTCCAAATAATCAAACTTAGAGTCACCACATTCTCCAGTGATGTTGGTTTTACAAGTTTTCCAACGAATTGTTTCGCTAAAGCAAACCAAATAGTGCAAATTGTTAATTCAGACGCTTTCATATTACTTAATCTTCTTACTTTATAACAATTACCTTGACTTAAAGATTTCTTGAATTACTTTATTTCATGTTCATTTAAAATAATGCGATGCAATAGAGTAATGGAGTGCCACCTACCCACAAACAAGTGGAAGCTTATCGTTGTTTAGCTCACTAAATTGTCGTATAAAATGAAGTACTTGAGAATTCCCATAGAAACAATAATATAATACTTGTAAACATGTGTCTTCTTTTGGAATGCCATCTGTTATTCAAGAAAACATAGATATGTATGTATAGATATACAATATTTAAACGAAGACATAAAGATAATTTAATTTTAGGTAACATTAATGCATGTATTAATAAAACAGCTTTGTCTTAAACAAGAATAAGAAATTAGAGGTAGGCCTGCTACATTTGCGTAGCGAGTGTAAGATAAGAAAATTTTAGTTTTCTAATTTTGAACACAATTTCATGTAATACAATATGGCGACAGATTTTTAAAAGATATTCTTAATTGGGTGGGGGGGGGCACTGCCTCCTCCCCGAATATCGTCCACCGAACACCCCGGACAAAATAGAAAACAATTATTTTAACAAGTGTGACCTACTTAGGTCGAGTCAGGTTCTATTTTTATTTTGACATTGTATAATACCTTATATGGAGTGATTGTGCAACAACCGGAAAATTTCCACTGACTTATTAAGGGGTCTAAGACATAGAAATTTTCCATTAAGATCTGATTGAATGATTCTAATCAGGTGACTATCCCAACCAATGGCTACATGAGTTGAGGATAATCTCCCCTGTTGCAGAAGTCTTTAATTGCCCCGCACACTCGCAACACGAGGCAGTCTACAGGGCGATTTTACCTTGATCAGGCAGCCGTCCATATTTTCCGGCTATAGACTCTGACCATTTGAACGTGAGAGAACTTAAGTCCTGTGTGTGCCTTGCTTTCTTAAGTTGATTTAGGCTTCTAGTATAATATTACTCGTCGCTGAGTTATTCTAGAAGCTATAGCAGTGTTGTGTGGCCTGTAGTTTTTTAGACAGTGTAGAAATCTGTGATAGTGTTTTTCCTACATTTTGTAAGTTGTGTTTTTGATATTTTATACATTAAATATTTTAACTAGTTCAACCTTGTGTTTTGCCACAACTGTGTTCGCTGATTAAAGTTGTATGTAGATTGGATGAGCGTTAATTACAATAGTATCACTAGTTTACCCTAGACATTGAATTCGAGCCCTATTGTGCCGTTGTGTTAGTGTTCATCCACTTAGGCCGTAAGGCATTTGCATATGACCCCGAAAAAAGAATCCGGGGACGTTCACCGTCTATTTGGCTGATAGATAGGGGACGTTACAAAGTGGGGTCTCGCCGAGATTTAGTCTGTCGTTCCAGTTGTTGGTCATATCAGTTAAATACTAAGGTTAGTTGGATTTAGTTGTTTTTATATCCAGTAGCGCAGTGTTCTGACAACGCGCGCAAGCATAGAGTTATCTAGGTCAACAGCCAGACGTGTCACAATAGGAGGTCAAGTACACGGCTCAACGCACCGTGTTAAGTTAGTGAACCTAGGCTTGTTGTGATTTGAAAGTTAGTGTTATGGAGTCTTTTTTGGCTAATCCTACTTTTGAAGAGGTCGAGAAGTTGAGTAGAAAAGTTTTGATTAGTGTTGTTAAGGAATTGAAATTGGATTATTCTGTTACGCAGAAGTCAGAGGTGTTGAGAGATAAAGTTGTTGTTCATTTTATTAATGAAGGGGTATTTGATGAAAGTTTGTTGGCTGGTGTGTTACTCCGCGAGGAGAAACCTCTAGAGAAGATAGAATTAGAAGCTAGAATTGCTTTAGAGAAGGCATTAAAAGAAAAGGAGTTAGAGGCTAAAATTGCTTTAGATAAGAGGAGGTTGGAATTAGAGTTTGGTCAAGTTAGTGATGTCACTTCTCCGGTAGATCCAAAAAAGTTGTCGGTAGGGCAAGTGATTGCCAAATTTGGGAAATTAGTTCCTAAGTTTGATGAAACAGATTTGGTCGTTTTCTTTAACTCATTTGAGAGTTTAGCGAAGACATGTGAATGGCCCGAAACTTCCATTACTGCTTTATTGAGCTCTGTCCTTACTGGGAAAGCTGCAAAAACCTACCAGGCACTCTCTCACGACGTTCAAAATAACTATAGTTTGGTCAAGACTGCCATTTTGAAGGCCTACGAACTGACGCCCGAGGCCTATCGGACAAAATTCCGAACACTCCGCAAGTCACCCACTCAATCATATGTGGAATTTCTCTTTGAAAAGGAGAAAATATTCTCAAGGTGGCTACACTCTGAGGAAGTTTCTGAGTTTGAGAAACTCAGGTCACTTATCCTAAGGGAAGAATTCCTATCGTCCCTGCCTGAAGAGATACGACTACACATACTGGATAACAAGATAACTGACATCCAGAAGGCTGCTGAGTCGGCTGACACATATATGTTGGTGCATAAGAAACCACCAGTGTCAGGAAACCGCCTCAACCCCGTGCTTCCCCTTTTTGGCAGCAATCCTCCTGTTGGCCAACACGTGAAGGCATTACAGTCCAGAGAGAAACCAAGATCAACTCTCAATCGTCGAGCAGTATGCCAGTTCTGCAAAAGACCTGGTCATCTTGTCAAGGACTGTTACAAACGTCGTCAATATAACAGAGAGGTGGTGCGTACTTCCGCGCACTATGCTCTATCCCCTCAAGCAGCCAGTTCAACTATGAACTCTAGAATTCTAAAGGACTCTAACCCTAAGTGTCCTCAAGAAGGTAGTCAAGTCTCCACACATTATGTGCAGTCACATTTTGACTGTTCTCGCCACCAGCCAGTTTCTGCCGAGTCTACCGATCTCGAGGGATCGAGAAAAGTTGACTTTTCATCTTTTATTGCCGAAGCCATCATTAGCAAACCAGGTGATCCGTTGTCTCAGCGGAATATCACCGTCCTTAGAGACACAGGAGCGTCACAATCACTCCTTTTGAAAAGTTCAATGGACATTACACCTGAGACGAACACCGGAAGGATTTCCATTATCCAGGGAGTGGGGACAAAATCTACTGTAGTCCCTCTACACAAGTTTGCTCTGAAACATCATCTCGTCGAAGGTGAAGTCATTTTAGGTGTGATAGATAGTATTCCAGTCCCAGGAGTACACCTACTTCTAGGGAATGACCTTGCGGGCAGCAAAGTATACCCCTGTACGGTTTCAGACCCTTTGTCAACAGTTCCAGATAATGATAATGAACTGTATCCTGCATGTGCGGTGACAAGAAGCCAGACCAAACAATTGGCTGACATAACGTCTGAACCACACCCGCCATCATCGTCAAGAAATTCGACTCCCAAACTGGAGTCTATGCTTCCAGAAAACACAAGTCTGGGCTTACCCCTGAGGATATCTCAGGAAGACATCATTAAAGCTCAACAAGTCGACGCGGAACTCAAAGCAACGATCGAAAAATCTCTATCATCTGACGATGGAGAATATTTCTCCGAGAACGGCCTTTTCTTTCGTCGCGCTATACCAGTGAATGCCTCACCAGCCGAACCATGGTTGGGTAAAAACCAGCTGTGGGTCCCTCCACCTTATCGGCATGAAATACTTAAGCTGGCACATGACCATCCAATGTCAGCGCACCCAGGAGTCACTAAAACGACGGCGAAGATCAAAGAACTGTTCTTTTGGCCCAAAATGAGAAAAGATGTGTCGCGTTACTGCAGAAGTTGCTCGAACTGTCAGTTGGCCGGAAAGCCAAACCAGACAATTCCTAAGGCCCCTTTGAGTCCGATTCCTGTATTAGAAGAACCTTTTTCTAAAATCGTCATGGACTGTGTAGGTCCCTTGCCTAAAACCAAGGCGGGCAACGAGTACCTACTTACCTTTATGTGTTCAAGTACCCGTTTTCCCGAGGCGATTCCCTTACGGAACATTAAGGCAAAGACTGTAGTCAGAGCCATGACCCGGTTCTTCACTACCTTTGGATTACCTAGAATCGTGCAAACAGATCAAGGCAGCAACTTCACCAGTCACCATTTTCAGGAAGCACTAGCCAAGCTAGGCGTTACCCACATCACCAGCTCAGCCTACCACCCTCAGTCTCAAGGCGTACTTGAGAGGTTCCACCAAACCCTCAAAACCATGTTAAGAACGTTCGCTAACAGTAACACCCAATGGGATGAGTCTGTTCCTTGGATTATTTTCGCCGCGAGGGACTGTGTCCAGGACTCTTTAGGCTACTCGCCTTTTCAACTTGTGTTTGGACATTCTGTCCGTGGTCCCCTGAAGCTGATCCACGAACGTTGGACAGGTACCAGTGATCATCCAGTGGAAAACTTTGATGATTTTCACGTTCGACTGAAAGCCGTGTGCGAAATGGCTCACAAGAACTTAAGAAAGGCCCAAGTGAGAATGAAAGGACTGTATGATAAGAGTTCTTGTAAACGAACATTCAATCCAGGCGACAAAGTTCTTGTGTTAGTGCCTAATCTGAACAATGCGTTATCCTTGAGATATTGTGGACCCTTTACTGTGCATTCAAAATTAAGTGATTTGAACTATGTTGTCAATACGCCCGACAGAAGAAAGAAACAGACAGTGTATCATGTTAACTCACTGAAAAAGTATTATGATAATTGTAACAATGTTCATTCCACAGCTAATATTACTTTACCTGTATGTTCAAATGTTTCTGATGATGTGATACATGATAAATTGAAACCCCCAAAATTGGTAAATTCTTCCTTTTTAGATAATTTGAATGTCCACCTTATGCACTTGTCCACAGAGAAAAACCAGAGATTGTCTCAGTTATTTGAGACATTTCCCTCTATTTTTGGGGATGTCCCCAAAGAAGCGAAGGTTCCACCTCATGATGTAGACGTAGGTGACGCAAAACCCATTAAACAACACCCCTATAGAGTTAACCCGGAAAAAGCTGCTTTGATAAAAGATGAAATTGACTATATGCTCAAGAATGATATCATTGAGCCCAGTTTCAGTGCTGGAGTTCCCCATGTCTCCTAGTCCCGAAAGACGGTGGATCTTTCAGGTTTGTGACCGACTTTAGGAAGGTAAATGCGCTCACCAAAGCTGATTCCTATCCATTACCTCGGATAGAGGACGTTATTGATAAAGTTGGTCAGGCTAAGATAATTTCCAAAATTGATTTACTTTCAGGATACTGGCAAATCCCCTTATCTGACCGTGCAAAAGAAATATCTGCTTTTGTAACCCCTAATGGTTTTTATAGATACAAACGTATGCCCTTTGGTATGCGAAATGCTGGTCAAACTTTCCAGAGAGTCATTAACTCTGTCATTGCTGACATAGACCAATGTGAGGCCTACATAGAGGATATAGTTGTATTTTCTAATACTTTTGAAGAACATATTGTTCAGTTGACTAACCTTTTTAGAAAATTGTCTGAAGTGAATTTTACTGTAAACTTACATAAAAGTGATTTCTGTAAAGCTTCAATTACCTATTTGGGTTACCAAGTGGGAACGAACCAAGTTCGGCCCATTGAAGCTAAAGTAGATGCTATTGTAAGGTTACCACCTCCCAAAAAATGTAAAGAAATCAAAAAGTTCCTTGGGATGGCTGGTTACTATAGACGGTTCTGTCAAAACTTTTCAGCTATTGCTGAACCTCTTACTGCATTATTGAAAAAGGGTGTTGAGTTTGAATGGTCAAATAAATGTCAAGAAGCTTTTTTAACCATTAAGTCATTTCTATCTAATGCTCCTGTTATGGCTGCACCAAATTTCAGCAAACCCTTTAAACTTGCCATTGATGCTAGCAACTTAGCCATTGGCTCAGTCCTATTTCAAGAAGACAACATGGGAATTGACCATCCCATTGCTTTTTTTTCCAGGAAGTTAAATGAAAACCAAAAGAATTATTCTACTATTGAAAAAGAGGCTTTAGCTTTGGTTTTGTCATTACAACATTTTGAAGTCTATGTCTCTTCTTCAACCAATCCAGTCAGAGTGTTTTCTGACCATGATCCCCTGAAATTTACCTCTAAGTTAGGACAGACAAATCAAAGAATATTGAGGTGGTGCTTATATTTCCAAAATTTTAATCTGGAAATTTCACACATTAAGGGTAGTGATAATGTTGTGGCTGATTGTTTGTCAAGGATGTAAAATCTTATTGCACACATTAATCATGTGACATGTTTTGTGGTTCATTAAGACCACACACAAGTGTTGTGTTTTAACATGGAATGAGTGGTATGATTTTTGATTTTTTCAAAATTCCATTCCTGTTGAATATTTTGTTTATTTTCAGGTGAACCTTAATTAAAGGTGGTTTTTGATTATATGTAATCTTTTATAATAATATGTCTCTTATGACTCAATTGATATTGTAGCTAGTCATTGAAATAAAGGTCTTACCCTGGCGGGTTTACCACTTTTAATATCCTCATGGAAATATTGTAATACCCTTTTTTTTGAGGGATTTTGATGTATAATTACTTTTTGAAGGGTTACTTCCCTTTTACCAATTGTAAAAGTTGGAGTTACTTCCCTTTTATGTTCAGGGATATTTTCATCTGGTATTATGATTTTGATTGCCTACATTTGTAAAACATTTTTTTTATTTCATTGCCAGATTGGTTCCTTATGTATGTTTTTGTGGAACCTATCTGTCACTTCCAAAAAGGGAGGGGATGTGACCTACTTAGGTCGAGTCAGGTTCTATTTTTATTTTGACATTGTATAATACCTTATATGGAGTGATTGTGCAACAACCGGAAAATTTCCACTGACTTATTAAGGGGTCTAAGACATAGAAATTTTCCATTAAGATCTGATTGAATGATTCTAATCAGGTGACTATCCCAACCAATGGCTACATGAGTTGAGGATAATCTCCCCTGTTGCAGAAGTCTTTAATTGCCCCGCACACTCGCAACACGAGGCAGTCTACAGGGCGATTTTACCTTGATCAGGCAGCCGTCCATATTTTCCGGCTATAGACTCTGACCATTTGAACGTGAGAGAACTTAAGTCCTGTGTGTGCCTTGCTTTCTTAAGTTGATTTAGGCTTCTAGTATAATATTACTCGTCGCTGAGTTATTCTAGAAGCTATAGCAGTGTTGTGTGGCCTGTAGTTTTTTAGACAGTGTAGAAATCTGTGATAGTGTTTTTCCTACATTTTGTAAGTTGTGTTTTTGATATTTTATACATTAAATATTTTAACTAGTTCAACCTTGTGTTTTGCCACAACTGTGTTCGCTGATTAAAGTTGTATGTAGATTGGATGAGCGTTAATTACAATAGTATCACTAGTTTACCCTAGACATTGAATTCGAGCCCTATTGTGCCGTTGTGTTAGTGTTCATCCACTTAGGCCGTAAGGCATTTGCATATGACCCCGAAAAAAGAATCCGGGGACGTTCACCGTCTATTTGGCTGATAGATAGGGGACGTTACAACAAGTGTCAGCATCCTCCTATCCTCCAGGGATAAAAATTTGGGAAGATACCCTAAGAATAACTATAAGTTAATTTATAATCAACACATGTGAATGTGAGATTTTTTAAGAAAGAAAATTAACGTGCCGAAAGCATATATAATGTAGTACGGACAGACACACGAAGTGTACATGGTCATGGAGACAAATGTTAGCGTTAAGTAGTGCAATCGTTGGGAGTGGACATCAATTTTTTTAAGTATCACTAACCTGCCATATGGTAAAGTATCACTAACCTGCCATATGGTAAAGTATAACTAACGTGCCATATGGTAAAGTATCGCTACCCTGCCATATTGTAAACTATCACTAACGTGCCCTATGGTAAATTATCACTAACCTGTCGTAACGTTTTACTAGCGTGCCATGTGGTAAAGTATAATTAACTTACCTTATATTAAATTATCACTAACTTGCCATAAATATGGTAAAGTATCACTAACCTGCCATATGGTAAAGTATCACTAACCTGCCATATGGTAAAGTATCACTAACCTGCCATATGGTAAAGTATCACTAACCTGCCATATGGTAAAGTATCACTAACCTGCCATGAAAACAAGAGCGAATACCAGACAAACTTTCATCATGTTAGACATATTTGGTGAAGACACTTTGTCTACTTGCTTGGTGTACTGTTGACTAGACTTGGATCTACAACGTGGCAAGTTGGTCCTGAAGTTTGAGATTTTATAATGTTTTACAATGCTACTGTAACAGATGTTTTAAATCAGGGGCGGAACTACAGTGAACACAATTTAGAGATAGGTGAGATATTTGCAATAATCCTGAGGCCCCAGTTCAATTAGAAGGAAGATATGTAAATTATGTAAAAGAATTCGTCTAACTTTACAGCAAAATCAGCCAATCAAAAGTCACAGTGGAGGGCATCCATGATAGAAGTAATGTAGTCCTCTCCGCCTTCAAAGTTCTGTGTCCTATGTGGAAAAATATTGCCATATCTACCACAACAAAACTTGATAATTCTTTATTCGAATGTTAGATGTCTTTTATGTATTATGAAGAGTTCCGTAAAAACAGAATACAGAACGTAGATTGAGATGGCAAGACGAAAAATCCAACACAGACCTATGCAAGAAAAAAAAATATCAGAGCAAAACTACAAGGCAGAAGTTCATCAGAGCAAATCAGAAGGAGGAGGAGTCTTTCGAAAAATGGTAAAAATTGAATGCGGCTTGTCCAACGCATAAAGTTGTGAGATAATTTTATTGCTACGCCTTCATTTACTTCAACTTATGTATGTAGTGGAATGCGGTGAGAATTTACTCAATTCTCACACTAACGCCTTCTATTTCAAAAACGGCTTAACCAAAAATGTCATTAGTGTTATTGCTTATTTCATCAGAGTGAGGAGAACAATGAATACATGAGTAAAAGACAATCAAATACTTAACATTTTTACTGCTGTTTAATTAGTTTTTAGAATTAGTAGACATAACATAGGTGATGTGATGTAGATTAACGAACAAGTTACCTTTTAGCCAGCTGCGGCATAAAAGCCACATCATCATCAATATCATCATCATTATCATCATTATCACCACTACCACCATCACTTTCACCATCATCACCATCGTCACCACCACCGCCATCACCATCACCATCACCACCACCACTAATCATCATCATCATCATCATCATCACCATCACCACCACCACCACCACCACTACCAACACCACCAACACCATCATCACCACCACCACCAATCTTCATCATCATTATCACCATCATCACCATCATCATCATAATCATCATCATCTTCAACATTATCATCATCATCATCATCATCATCACCATCTTCATCATTATCATCATCATCATCATCGTTATCATCATCACCACCTCCACAACCACCATCACCACTACCAACACAAACAACCACCACCAATCATCATCATCATCATATTGATCATCATCAAAATCATCATCATCAATCATCATAATGATCGTCATTATCATCATCATCGTCATCCTCATCAACATCAACACCATCCTCATCATCATCATCATCATCATCATCATTCCCGTGGATTCCTTGTGGAACCCTACTCGGTTCTGGACAATTACTTTAAGTTGGGTCCACGACATTCCGGCTGCCTCTGCTTTACTGACAGCTGATCTTTTCTATGTGTTTTTACTTATCTACTTTACTCTTTTCTTTGAGATTCCAATTTCGCAACGCATTTTTGTTTGTTTGTTTATAGTTATCACTAATCTGCCATTAGGTAAAGTATCAGTATTTTATGGAATGTTTTATTGAGCCTAAATCGTCGTAAAGCATTAACAACGCTAGTTATTTTCCATTGAATTTAAAATAAAATAAAAATTGAAAAAAATCTATGATTAAGCATTTTTGCCTCATGTTATTGAATAGTCCACGATATACTGTGGCTTTATAAACGAACAGCAAAGTAGCGACCGATGACAGTATATAGCAGCGAAAGTAAAATGATCACACCAACACTTTTATCACTTTATATTTCTTCCTGAACAGGGAACAAATTACTCGGGGTGCTTGCTGAGTTGGAGACGAAAGTCAGATTGCAATGTTGGACTAGTCTTATGATTCCTTTGGTATTTGCATATTGAGAACGAAGAAAATGAAGGAGAATGATAGGTAAACTGATAGCGTAAAAACGAATGGATATATCGTTAATTTTTTGATCCAACGTAAAAATGGCATCGTAGGAAAAAAATGCACTTATAAAAAGTCAAATTTACTTTTAAGAACAGCCAGGAAGGAAATGTTAACGTTACGTTCAAAACAACAATTTTACATAACGAACCTGAAGACCCAAATGTATGCATGTATATATATATATATATATATATATATATATATATATATATATATATATATATATATATATATATATATATATATATATATATATATATATATATATATATATATATATATTACTACTAATAGTTTCGCTGTCTGTCTGACATGAACGCTCTAGAGAAAACACAAGCACATTAAAAATATTCATAGTAATTCGAAAAACGAAGTATGACGTCGTCACATTTAGCACAGAGTAGAAAATAATCTCAAGCCGGAGAGTGCACACAGTAATATGACGTCATTGATTCTCGAGTAAACATTGAATAAAAAGGAAATTTTGTCTAATCTAAGTGGTTTGCGTGAAGAGTTTCTTTCATACAATTCTTCGGGTAGGGGCGAAGCCCCACCCCCGCGTAATAACGTCTGAGCCCCCCCCCCCTCCCTAACTCAAAAGAAATTTCTTCATCGATACTCTATAATAAAATTACCGCCTAATTAATGTGTCTAATCTAAAAAGTGGTTTTCTTGCAATTTCTTTAATGCAATTCTTCGGGTAGTGGCTAAGCGCGACACCAGTGTTTCTTTCAGACTTTTTCCTCTCTTCCGGTAGGGGCGAAGCCCCGCCCAGATTCTTCCTTTAGTTTGTATGATCTACAAATGCGACCAGTGTTTCTTTCAGACTTTTTCCTCCCCGGAGAGGGGTGGGGGTACTTGAAATTTTTGGGGGCGGGGGTAGAATTTTCTGGGAGGGGGCGGACACTGGAAAAAGTATATAATTATATTTCGTTGAATGGGACGGTAGACATGTTTTGGAGTGTGTGTGTAGGGGGGGAGGGGCGAAGACCCCTCCTCTCAAGTAGAGTTGCCTGAAAGAAACTCTAAATGCGACTTTTGTCATGAGATTAGGTGCATGGTTTAGGGATACGCCAATGACTATATTTTGTATAAATTAAAGTACCGAGAAAATAGACAGCACTATCAACGTAGCGCCCGTTGTATCCTTCCTCAACGGGCCATTTTTCTCGTATATAATAGTTTCGCTGTCTGTGTATCTATCTATCTATCTATCTATCTATCTATCTATCTATCTATCTATCTATCTATCTATCTATCTATCTATCTATGTATCTGACAAGAACGCTCTAGAGAAAACACAAGCAATTTAAAAACATGCATGGTTAAACGAAAACGAAATATGACGTCGTATAGTAGAAAATAATATCAAGCCGGCGAGTGCACACAGTAATATGACGTCATTGATTCTCGAGGAAACATTGATAAAAAGGCAATTTTGTTTGCGTGAAGAGTTTCTTTCATACAATTCTTCGGGTAGGGGAGAAGCCCCACCCCTGCGTAAGAACGTCTGAGCCCCCCCTCCCCAACTCAAAAGAAATTTCTTCACCGATACTCTATAATAAAAGTACCGCCTAATTCATGTGTCTAATCTAAAAAGTGGTTTTCTTGCAATTTCTTTAATGCAATTCTTCGGGTAGTGGCTAAGCGCGACACCAGTGTTTCTTTCAGACTTTTTCCTCCCCGGAGGCGGGAACTTTTTCTAATCTAAAAAGTGTTGAGCGTGCAGTTTCTTTTTCAAGCATCTCTTCCGGTAGGGGCGAAGTCCCGCCCAGATTCTTCCTTTAGTTTGTATGATCTACAAATGCGACCAGTGTTTCTTTCAGACTTTGGAAAAAGTATATAATTATATTTCGTTGAATGGGACGGTAGACATGTTTTGGAGTGTGTGTGGGGGGGGGGGAGGGGGGCGAAGCCCCCTCCTCCCAAGTAGAGTTGCCTGAAAGAAACTCTACATGCGACTTTTGCCATGAATGAGATTAGGTGCATGGTTTAGGGATATGCCTATGACTATATTTTGTATAAATTAAAGTACCGAGAAAATAGCACTATCAACCTAGCGCCCGTTGTATCCTTCTTCAACGGGCCATTGTTCTCGTATATATATATTTATATATATAGATATATATATATATGTTTGTAAATATATATATATATATATATATATATATATATATATATATATATATATATATATATATATATATATATATATATGTTTATGTATGTGTGTGAGTGATTGCTTTATTCTATTGAATAATACGTAAAATATTTGTTGAAATAAAGTTGCAATTGGATATGTATTTCCTAAATTAACTTTGTTTTTTTTTTACAGTAATTTAAATAGTAGTGTATTAATATATTTAGAGAAAATCTAATCTTTTCCTCATTTTTAGTGCACTATTACATAAAATCTTGTAATTAAAACGTTTTTCTATTCATTTGTTTTCAGTACTTGAAATTTTTTAATACAACTGAGTTACATGACGAAAACCAATTGTGCACCAAATGAACATGATAATGCGCGTAGTATAGTGCGGAATAATAGTAGGCCATCTTACTAATTTTAGTAAATTTTAATTAGCTCATAAAAACTTAAGTAAGCGTTTAATTAAGTCGAATTCGATTTGTCAGATTGCCTTGTCATCTGGTCTCGACCCACGTGCCAAAATTTAAAAGAAACTGTTAGTTTGAAGTGCTTGACGTTTCGCTTGGCAATGTCGACCTTTAAGGGAGCACGACAAACAGACAGAGGAAGCAAGTATAAAAGCTTGTAATAAAGAACTACATTTTGAATTTTAAAAATGCACAGGATATCGACCATTTAAGATTCTATACTGCACCGAGAAAAAAGAAATCACAAATATCACACTTCATTTTATATGTACACATCATTTTTAATGTTTTACATTACACATTTTTATCCATGGTGGTTTATTTAAAATTATTTAAAATTGAGAAAATAGTCTCGTTATTTTAACAAGCAGGTTTGCGCCGGCAATACCACAATCCCCTTGTAGCGTTTCTTTCAAACATTCATCAACCTCATCTCTGAATATAAAAAAAAATATATTGTTATGCATTGCAGAAATGTAAAGGGTTTTATACACATGAAGAGTAAAATTGATAGATACTCTAACAAATATATTTAGTTACAAATTATTGGCTTTTATGAGTTTCACGGTGCAAGCGATTGTAAAGAACTGTAGCAGATGTGTGTAGCTTCGTCAAAAAGATAAGGAAAAATGAAAACTTATCATCTGATGTGTAGGCTATATTTTTAAAATAATCATAACAATATACTTTTCCCATATTTTTCAATATCGAAACATCGAGAATATTTCATCGATGTTTGGAAAAAAAAAATTATACCTGTCTGAACAAAATATGAGTTTTACCTGGTAACGTCCACGCCTTTGCCGCAGTTGTCCCGAGCTCGCTTTACTCGTTTGTATTTGGCCGCGTCATTTACACATCCAGACTCCAGAAGCTTTTCAAAATCTGTCGACGTAAACGTTTTTTTTTTGTGCAATCAGATTCAGATGTTAATAGTCAAGCAAAGACACATCACTGTTTGGGCTTTTGATCATACCTTATAATTCAAAGCAGCCTAAAGAAAAAAATTTCGAAGTCGAACTTTTATAATTCTCATGCATGCACCGATGCATACTCACACACGAATACGCACGCACGCACATCTACTTCTGACAAACACACACAGGCGAGCTTAAATACGACTATTCACACTGTAATAATAACACACATAATTATGTGTTCACATGAACACACATACATAGTCAGAAGAAGATGAGTGTTTTAGTGGGGAAATACATGTCTACTTTAACATAGTTAAAATCGTTTTCACTTATATATACATATATTAATAAATAAAAAAATGAATAAATATATATATATATATATATATATATATATATATATATATATATATATATATATGTGTGTGTGTGTGTGTGTGTGTGTGTGTGCATATATACTTCAAAATATATCCTTACAAAAGCTGCAAATTAGTTTTTATTCCAAATGATAACATTCAAATAAATCGCTATTCACCTATCTTTCCATTGTTGCTACATATGATTTCTGTGAACAACAACCGATTTACACTCATCGTCGAATAATAAGGCTGAGAGTCACCACAAGCCTCAGGGATGTCGTTTTTACAAGTTTTCCAATGATTCATTTCGCTAGAGCAAACGAAACGGTGCAAATACTTAATTCGGACTCTTTCATATTACTTAATCTTCTTAATTTATAATAATTAGCTTGACTTACAGATGTGTTGATTTATTTTATTTCATTTTAATTTAAAATAATGCAATGAAGTACCACCTACCCACAAACAAGTGGAAGTTTATCTTTGTTTAACTCGTTTAAGTATCGTACAAAATAAGCCACTTGAGAACCCGAAAAGAAACATACCGATAATACCTGTGAACATTTGTCTTCTTTTGGACTACCATCTGATATTCAAGAAAACATAGATATTTATGTATAGATATAGAGTATTTAAACACATACACATAAAAATCATTTAATTTTAGCTAACATCGATGCATGAATTAATAAACAACCTTTGTCTTAAACACGAATTAGAACTTAGAGGTAGGCCTACTTCATATGCGTAGCGAGTGTAAAATTAGAAAATTTTACTTTTCTGATTTTGAACACAAATTCATGTAATACAATATAGCCACAGGTTTTTAAAAGACATTCTTCACTGGGTGGGGGGGGGGGCACTGCCTCCTCCCCGAATATCGTCCACTGAACACCCCGGACAAAATAGAAAACAAATATTTTAACCAGTGTCAGCATCCCTCTATCCTCCTGGGAGAAAAATGTCGAGAAGAAAACGTAAGAATAACTTATTTTAACTATAAGTTAATTTATAATCAACTCAGTTGTGAATGTGGGGTGAATCGCTGTAGATTTGTAAAACAAAATGTAAGGTTTATAAAGTGTTCTTTAAGTAAATATAGTAAAAACAACTAGTTCAGATATCTGAGGGAAGTAGATTTTTTTAAGAAAGATAATTAAGTAAGTGCTAAAGGCATATCTAATGTAGTTCCGACAGACACACGAAGTGTACAAGGTCATGGAGACAAATGCTAGCATTAAGTAGTGCAATCGTTGAGAGAGTACATCGCATTTTTAAAGTATCACTAACCTGTCGTAAAGTATCACTTATCTGTCTTAAAGTATCACTAACGTGCCATATGGTAAAGTATCACTAACGTGCCATATGGTAAAATATCACTAACATGCCATATGGTAAAGTATCACTAACCTGTCATATGGTAAAGTATCACTAACCTACCACAGTGTAAAGTATCACTAACCTGCAATGGAAATAAGAACGACTACCAGACAAACTTTCATCATGTTAGACATATTTGGTGAAGACACTTTGTCTACTTGCTTGGTGTACTGTTGACTAGACTGTTGGATCTACAACGTGGCAAGTTGGTCATGAAGTTTGAGATTTTATAATGTTTTACAATGCTATTGTAACAGATGTTTTAAATCAGGGCGGAACTACACTGAACACAATTTAGAGAAAGGTCAGATATTTGCAATTATCCTGAGGCCCTAGTTCAATTAGAAGGAAGTTATGTAAATTATTTAAAGGAATTCGTTTACAGGAAGATCAGCCAATCAAAAGTCACAGTGGAGAGCATCCATGCTAGAAGTAATGCAGTCCTCTCCACCTTTAAAGTTCTGTGACCTATTTGGTAAAATATTGCTATCTCTACCACAACAAAACTTGACAATTTTTAATTCGAATGTTACATGTTTTTTTTATGTATTATGAAGAGTACCGTAAAAACAGAATGCAGAACGTAGATTAAGATGGCAAGAAGAAGTATCCAACACAGACCTATGCAAGGAAAAAAAATATCAGAGCAGATCAGAAGCAGGCAGATTTGAATGCGGCTTGTTTAACGCATAAAGTTATGAGATAATTTTATTGCTACGCCTTCATTTAATTTATTTCATCTATTACATGTACTGGAATGCAGTGAGAATTTACTCAAATCTCACGCTAATGCCTTCTATTTCAAAAACGGCTTAACCAAAAATGTCATTAGTGTTATTGCTTATTTCATTAGAGTGAAGAGAACAATGAATACACGAGTAAAAGACAATCAAATTACTTAACGTTCTTAACTGATGTTTAATTAGTTGTTATTATTATTTGACCTAACACAGGTTGAATATTGAATACAGAATGTGATGAAAATATACGAACACCTCACGATTAAGCGTCAACAACAATGCTACTAGTGTTGATGTGAACGTAGAGTGTATTGTTGTATACGGGACTTGGCTTATCTACTTTACTCTATCCTTGGAGATTCCAATCTAGTGCCTGTCTGGTGATGTTGCTAGTTGGTTAACTCAAGGTGTGTCCATTCCGTCTACATTTACGCTTTTACATTTCATCACTAATACGGCTTTGTCCAACGTTGTTTTACTATTCGGCTTTGGTAACATTTTTCAGGCAACATGATTTTTAACATGCGACGCAAGCATCCGTTAAAGAAAGTCTAAAATGAGTCCGTATTACTCATACTACTAGTTGTTGCTTCACATCACCTTATGGTTTTTCTAAATTGATCTATTATTCTTAACTTAAGTGCTTTTTTACATTCTTTTCTAAGCTTGGAATGTGCATGTTGTTGTTGATGTGAGAGCAGGATGATGACGACCGCAAAATCCTCAAAATGCTTTGACACCACCCAGACCTCAGAGCGCTATATTCAACACAGTCTAACCCTATTAGATGCAGACACTACACTTCTTACCACCTAGGGAGCTATGCTGGTTTGTGCAATACCGATTTAATTAAATTATATCGTAACAGAAAATTATCGAGCGATGCATAACTATACTTGCAGTTATTAACACATTTTTAAAGATTTAAAATATTAATAGCGGCTAGCTAGTAATCTCCACTTCTGTTATGGAATATAGAATATATATTTAGTGATAAGTGTATAAACATATGTTTGTCACATTTTTAAAAATATTTTAGTGGTCTTTAAAGTTTGTACACTTATTTTGTTTTAAAAATTGCACACAAAATCAATAATTTTGAACATATTACAAACAAACAAAATTATGAACACATTTTTGCCAACTCTTACATATATTTTATTAGTGCTAACAAATCTTCTAGACTTGGTAGACTAACTCTCAAGCAAAGGGCATATTGTATTTGTGGCCCATTAGTTTTACAAGAAATTCTGCTCCATCCTGACCACAATCTTTTTTTATTGCCTTTTTCCAACATTCAGCAGACACATAGCTGAATAAAAAAAATCATAGTGTTATAAATTATAGGAATATAAGCATACTATGAGATATATAATTACAGAATGATTCATTAATTCCTTTATTTCCACAATGTATATATATATATATATATATATATATATATATATATATATATATATATATATATATATATATATATATATCTATATATCTATCTATATATATATATATATATATATATATATATATATATATATATATATATATATATATATATATATATATATAGTTACATCCGGTTTCGATTCAACTCAACAACGATTCGTGACACAGATAGTATACTTTTATTTGGACTCAATATTTCACAAAACAGAGTAGCCCTCGTCCTAACCGCTACCAACTAACCCTGACAACCATTCACTCCAGCTTTTATACCGCATTTGACCTTGGGATAACAATACATAAACACACCGGGGTTAACAATACTCTAGGATAGACTCAACTCACGCACGCCCTCTCTCCTAATTCTAGATTATTCTAACCTATAATATATATATATATATATATATATATATATATATATATATATATATATATATATATATATATATATATATATAAAGCAATGTGTTAGTGTGTGTCTGTCTGAAAATTTGGGAAGTTGTGAATATTCCTGGAGAGTTTTCTGCTGGAAAAAAATGTTTAAATTCGCAGTGGTGGAGCCCCGGCAGGGAGCGATTTGTTTTTTCTCTATGTACGGTATGTATTATATATATATATATATATATATATATATATATATATATATATATATATATATATATATATATATATATATATATAAAAGTCGATTGAAGTTTGACACAGTTCAACCCATCGCCATGAAACTTTGAGGAGTTGATTAGAACACACCCGGGGAGGTTTATGCAAAAAAAAATCTCTTTTGATTTTGCAAGCGCGGCGCCCCAGAGGGTTTGATTTTTTTCTATATATGGTATGTGAAAACAAAGTACGATGTGGTTCGACACATTCCATCCGATCGGCATGAACCTTTGGGGATTTGATTAGAACACTCTAGGGAAGGGTTCTGTAAAATAAAATCACTTTTAATTTCGCAAGGGCGGCGCCACGGGAGGGTGCGTTTTTTTTCTATGTACTTTATATAAAATAAAAGTCGATTTTGGTTTGACACCGTTCATCCAATAGTCATGAGACTTTGGGGAGTTAATTAGAACATGTCAGTTGAGGTTTACGTAAATCCTTTATACTGAAATGTTTTCTATACAGTTTTCCATTTGTGTTAACATTCTCTCTGCCCTGAATTAAAAACAATATGTATACTTATCGTGATATCTGAAATACTATTACCGGAATTTAGTAAAGTCAGATTCATGTAATTATTTTTTTTTCTTGTACACGACATTAACTTAAAAAAACCCTCTTCATTGCATGAATTAATTTTTTTAAAAGCTTTTTGAGAGAAAAAAACCTTACAAAGTGGGCGGTGGTCTGTAGAGAGCATAAATAATTAGGAAATTGAATTTTTGTATCAAATAATGTTTATTTAGCAAAATAACAGTATTTAGCAATTTTGCTACAGTATGCAAAGTTACCAGTTATATAATATTTCTTAGTAATCGTGCATATTTTTATTGTGTCAGTCAATAAGGAGCAACACTCTGCTCAGCAGGACCTCTATCTAGTGTTTTGAAATTGTTTTTAATGCAAAGTGGTTTTCAATGACTCAAACTTGTTGACAGGAAAGACATTAGAATACATATACAGTGCTGATATTTGGCCATTATTAAAACTGTTTCCCTTGCAATGAAACCATAGACATGTTCGTCAGAAGCCAATGAATTGACATATATTTGCTATATCAAAGACTGCAAGCCGTATCTGGATTTATCTGTGCAATATAGATTTAGAAAAGCTGTAAGAATGTCAATCAAATATTATTTTGCTATTTTTTGAACAATAATTACCACTACAATTTTTACTATAGCCCTAGTTATTAGACTGTAACTTCACAAGATAAATAAACAAATATTACACCAACTTCACTTTCATTTAAATTCTCCTTGAAGTCTACCATCTATTTCAGTCAGAACTGTTTCGCGACAAAATTTATCGCCTACTCTAGACCAAACGAGATCCTGTAAAAATAAATAAAACAATGTCTGCACCAAACAATCTCTAATCATTCATGAACTTCAGGGATTTATAAAATAAGTTTTAATTACTATTATAAACATAAGTAATCCACCACTGCCTATAGTAATGTTATTTTTTGTGTACCGGTATGTAGTAAATAATAAGTAGACTAAGTAAGCTTATACCTAATATTATTTTTTTTCTTCAATAATAATTACTTTACTACTTTCTAAGCCTATTAGACCCAAACACTCTCTATGTGTATGAATTAGTATGATTAGAGAATCATATGCAAGTTATTCTAAGCAGCAGTTAGCAAATATTAGTCTAATAATATATTTTTATTATTATACGTTATGGCAATTTTTTTTTCTTCAATAGTAGCATTACACTGTACATCATTTATTATAGGCTTATTATAGTAGCACACTGATCATCTGTACATATATATAGTACTGTGTAAGTGCTAAATCTAAGTGGAATTAGTATACAATAGCCTAATGCTTGACTATATTACTATTGTTAAAGATTTTGACGATTTCTTTCTTCTATAATTTACATATTATTATTGTAAAAATATTAATGAAAAACAAACTAAGCTAGTGTAAGAACGAACAGTTGACTAGAGACTACCTACTAACCGCTAGGAATTCTACAATGAACTAATTATACTACAGAAAAGTCATTATACAGTAGTCCTAGCTAATGTCATGGTCATACCGTTGCATGGTGTATTAAAACTGCTACATACTGTAATTTGATATTATCAGCACAAATATAAAGAAATAGTATACAAACAACTTATTCTTAGGAAAAATTACTCACCTGAGATTGGTAAGTAGTTTTTTCAAGAAGAAAAACACGGCCTGTGAATTTTTATTGTTTCCTCGAAAAACACCTCGATCACAGCTGTCCGACCAGTGTAAAAAAAACGGAATCAAACTCGAAATGTGTGAAACAAAAAACACCTATAGTCTGTTTTGGGTATGAATTTGGATCAAAAGTGATCACGCCAGAGAATGGCATATTAAAAACTCAGATGTTTACATTTGTGTAGGTTTGTTGGGGGTTATTTCACTTTGTAGCAAAATTGATACAAAATAAAAGCATGGTTTAATTAAATGCACATTTATAGTTTACTTGAAGGTCTTGCTGTCTGTTTTGTTCCGGCACGAATCCCACGATTCCTCCAATGTCATTTCCTTTTCAAGACATTTCGACTTTTGAAGACTCTCCATAGCTGCATGCAATAAATGTAATTTGTGAAGGCAAATGGAAATAGTCAGTGACATGTATTTTAGTGGCTGGGCACAACATTCAAAGTGTAGGCTTCCTTATTATCAAAAACACATATAAATGCACGCGTACAGGCACTGATGCACACTTGCACCCACCCAAACAATACACACACAAAATACACACAGACACACACAGAGGTGCAATTACAGTTATACATTCTGATAGACACAAAAATATACAAACGCACACACTAGTATAGGATATATAGAGAATATATATAGTTTGTATATTATATTTAATAATATCTACACTATATCTAACAAAGTCTATTCTGAACACAAAATACACAAGCTAGTAAAACTATGACACGCTGGCTAAGTACTAATATAGACCTAACCTGTACTAACTTTGAGATCTGGACGAAACTGAGGCAATTACACACGTTTTCATACACATTATATACTCTTTCATAAACTGGTTCAAACCGGAATATTACAACTCACGGCACGAGAACTGAATACGGTCGAACGGGATAGGGTACACAGTACAAACAGCATTCACCACCATTTATCCCCCTTCACTCGTTCACTACACCCTGACACCTGGGCAGTCACCGAACTGTGATTAACGCGGGAGCCTGACGTTTTCCCGAAAGACACTTGCCCGAATGCCGTTTGCCCGAAGGCCAATTTCCCGAATTTAAATTGATTACAATTGATTGTTTGTTAATATATAATGTTAACATTTTTCGGGCAAACGTCCTTCGGGCAAGTGGCATTCGGGCATTTGTCGCATTTGGGCAAGTGTCCATTGGGGCATTTGTCGCATTCGGGCAAGTGTCCATTCGGGCAATTGTCGCATTCGGGCAAGTGTCCATTCGGGCATTTGTCCCATTCGGGCAAGTGTCCATTCGGGCAATTGTCGCATTCGGGCTAGTGTCCATTCGGGAAATCGGCCTTCGGGCAAACGGCATTCGGGCAAGTGTCTTTCGGGAATTTGTCGTAGACCCGATTAACGCACACTTAAGGCTTTCATGCCGTAGGTAAACCCGTGCCCCGATAAATATGATCCAAGCGCAGGCATTGTTTACATTTAAATTTAAACTAGGTTTTACAAAAAAAGGTCAAACGTCCAAGAATATAGGAATGGTAACGCATTTATGAAACGCTTCTTATATATTTCGTCAGACTTTCTTCTATCCTCGCGGCAACGCCAGGAGACGGGCACGCTAGTTGCATATAAAACCAGTGACCTTTCGTTCCATTCGTACTACAGATGGTGTCTGACAATGCCTTGAGTTCCTGAATGTTCATGATCAAAACCATACTTGTGCTGCTGCAAGATTCCAAGATGTCGTCTGCACACTTTTCCACATTTTTCTTTGTACTGGAACCAACCAAGACGTTAAACTAGTTAGTTTAGATAATTAATGAATTTTAATTAATTTGTTTTTCAACGATCGACGTGTTAAATTAATAATGGCGCGTTTTTTTTTTTTTACGGCGTGGTTGTAGATGTTATTTAGAGAAAGCGGCTAAAGTTATTATTTTAAAGAAGTTATAGAGTTTTGTATTTGAATAAAAACGCAATTTGAACATGAACTGGACAGAGATGTAATAATTATATTCTCTGATGCTTACTGTTATTTGACAATTTAAACGTAAAACTGGTGACCATACAAATGAAAATGACAAATGTGTAAAAGAAAATAATAATCTTTTAAACTACAATCTTTACAGGTAACAAGTTGTTACATCTAAAGAATGAATTAACAAGTAGAAAGTGTAAATGTATGAAATTAGAAAAATAAGGTGTTTTTTTATTTATTAATAACAAATCTGCGGATCTTGCAAGAATTTTAGAAAGCATAATTAAATAACAATATAGTTCGAGATACTTATTTAATGTAGGTTTACTTCGCAATGAATGTAAAACGTAAAAAATAATTCTTCAAAAAATTGAACGGAACATTTTTTAACAAAAAAGAAAACAGAACATATTTTAAAATAATGGATACGAATTGAATGAAATAGATAACTATAGTAAAATCCAGCAGTATAAAGCATTTGTGTATAATTTTGACAGAAAATATAAAACCAGGAGGGACGAAGAACATGATAGACGACAGACGTGACAGACGACAGATTTGACGGACGACAAACATGACGGACGACAGATATGACGGACGACAAACGTGACGGACGACAGATATGATATGACGGACGACAGATATGATATGACGGACGACAAACGTGACGGACGACAAACGTGACGGACGACAGATATGACGGACGACATATATGACGGACGACAGATATGACGGACGACAAACGTGACGGACGACAGATATGACGGACGACATATATGACGGACGACATATATGACGGACGACATATATGACGGACGACAGATATGACGGACGACAAACGTGACGGACGACAGATATGACGGACGACAAACGTGACGGACGACATATATGACGGACGACATATATGACGGACGACATATATGACGGACGACATATATGACGGACGACAGATATGACGGACGACAAACGTGACGGACGACAGATATGATATGACGGACGACAGATATGACGGACGACAAACGTGACGGACGACAGATATGACGGACGACAAACGTGACGGACGACATATATGACGGACGACATATATGACGGACGACATATATGACGGACGACATATATGACGGACGACAGATATGACGGACGACAAACGTGACGGACGACAGATATGATATGACGGACGACAGATATGACGGACGACAAACGTGACGGACGACAGATATGACGGACGACAAACGTGACGGACGACAGATATGATATGACGGACGACAGATATGATATGACGGACGACAGATATGATATGACGGACGACAGATATGACGGACGACAAACGTGACGGACGACAGATATGACGGACGACATATATGACGGACGACAGATATGACGTACGATAGACGTGGCAGACGACAGATATGACGGACGAATGATAAGACGGAAGACAGACGAGACGAACTCAAGTAAAACAAAATCTTGTAAAAAGACAGAAATGTCACTCACGCACATGCTGGCGCAAACTTCTCCTTGCTAACAGAGAAAATGTGGAAATTCTCATAAAACAAGTTTCTGAGCGATATGTAGCAGTTAGCTACCGTCATACAATCGTCCTGTGTGCTTCCTGGTGCGATATATATATATATATGTATATATATATATAACATAGGTGTAGCCCAGATATAACAGAGATATAGCAGTGATATAATTAATACATAACACGCATATGACACATGTATTTAAAGCTTTAACAGACAAATTACATAAATATAACTGAGATGACACAAATATAAAAGAGTTATAACACACCTATAGCAAAGATATAACACTGGAATAAAACAGACATCATAGAGCTATAACACAGATGTAATATGAATATCATTCATATAACAGAGATGCAACATATAGGCCTATATAACATTGATTTCTAAAAGTTTATATATCGTGTTGAAAAAAACAGGCAACTATATTACAATTAATTAAATACAATGTCTTAAATTTGCACGATAAATTAGATTAACCTGTCATATGATAAAGTATCACTAACGCGCCATATGGTAAAGTATTACTAAACTACCATATGGTAAAGTATCATTTACTTGCCATATATTAACCCTCTGAGGCCCACTGGGCCACCGGCTACCCACTTGGCTGAAAGCTTCACACTTTTTTACAAAATGCATTTTTAAAATATTTTTTACCTCTAAAGCCCATTGTTCATACTGTGGTACACAAGGGAGTTAATTCTGTTGTCTTATTTTTAATATTACTAAGTCATTTCCCTTTTGCAAATGGTGGCTCCCATGCAGCTTTAAAAATACAATTCACGACTTGCTTTTGAAGAATAAAAACATCATTTTAGGTAAGTTATAAATACTTTTTACGTTTTATTTTAATTTAAAATATATTAATTAACAACTTTAAATGTCAATATTAATAAAAAGTACGGCTAATTTTTAGTTTTAGACGTTCAAAATTGTTTGGGTTACTGGTGACCCAGTGGGCTTTACTGGTTACTGGTGCACAATGTAACCAAATTGTCATATGGTTTTTGTTGTTTTATTTATACAAACAAAAAAATAGTTTTATTTTTAATTTTTTAGCAATTAAATTTTATATTTATTTAATTCATTTGCAAGATATGGTTTTATTTACACAATTTAGGCATCTAGAATGTAAGTTCTAGATCTACCTAAGATCTAGTGATTATTTTAAATATTTGAATGTATTTTTTTAAATTGTAAATAATTATTGTTTTTTCTTCTTAACAGAATGGCACATTCCTCCAAGACGATCTACACTACAAGTGAAGTATTGAACATTTTAGATACTATTAACCATAATGAAAGCGACTTAGAAGATGAAGTATCATCCACTGATGATGAAGATGAATTATACACCTTAGCAAATGAATATGACAATGAAGAAATAGCTGGTGTTGCAGATACACCAGACTCAGATGAGAATGAGTTGCTAGAAACTCCAGAGTCAGTTAAAACCAAAAAAAAAACATATCATTGGCACAAAACAACATTTGAGCCACCGGATGTCATCTTCAGAGGTGAAAAGCTGCAACTTCCAGACCATTATGAACTGCCATCTCCTCAGCAGTTCTTTGAAGAATTTTTGACTGAGGACATGTTAGATCTTCTAGTTGAAATGACTAATCAATACAGTGTGGAGAAAACTGGCAAGTCTGTGGACACGACCAAAAAAGAAATGAAGCAACTGTTAGGCATTTTTTTTAGAATGGGTTTAGCAAAAATGCCTGGTACCCGATGTTATTGGGAAAATGACACTAGGTATGATCCTGTGGCCAGTACCATGAGCAGGAATCGCTTTCAGCTTCTTATGAGAGTCATTCATATTGTAGATAATAATAGGGTGACTGAGGAAGATAAAAAAGATAAACTATGGAAAATCAGGCCATGGCTTGAAAAATTCCGAAACAATTGTGTGAAAGTTGTCCCAGATGAAAATAACAGCATAGATGAAATGATGATACCTTTCAAAGGTAAATTTAGCAAAATAAAGCAATATGTAAAAGGAAAGCCACATCCTTGGGGCATCAAGGTATGGGTTAGAGCTAGTGCTACTGGTATAGTGTGTGACTTTGATGTCTATCAAGGCAATAAAGAGAGAAAAGAACGAAGTTTGCTTGGTGTTGGTGCGGATGTAATTTTAAAGCTGTGTTCATCTTTGCCACAAAATGTACCTGGACAGAGAAAAGAAACTGCTTCAGGGAGTTTCATTTTAGCTCATGAATGATTGAAATGTTCAAAATTAAAATAAAGTATTATAAAGTTTAAAACAAATGTATCATCTATAATAATAGTTTCGCTGTCTATCTATCTATCTATCTATCTATCTATCTATCTATCTATCTATCTATCTATCTATCTATCTATCTGTCTGACAAGAACGCTCTAGAGAAAACACAAGGAAAATAAAAACATGCATAGTAATTCGAAAAACGAAGTATGACGTCGACACATTTAGCGCACAGAGTAGAAAATAATCTCAAGCCGGATAGTGCACACATTGATATGACGTCATTGATTATCGATATTCAATACAAAGGCAATTTGGTCTAATCTAAGTGGTTTGCGTGAAGAGTTTCTTTCATACAATTCTTCGGGTAGGGGCGAAGCCCCACCCCCGCGTATGAACGTCTGAGCCCCCCCCCTCCCCAACTCAAAAGAAATTTCCTCATCGATACTCTATAATAAAATTACCGCCTAATTAATGTGTCTAATCTTAAAAGTGGTTTTCTTGCAATGGGACGGTAGACATGTTGTTTTTTTTTTGAGGGGGGGGGGGGGGGGGGTGGTGGTGGGGGGGGTGTGTGTGTGGAGGGGCGGGGGGGGGTGGTGTGGGGGGGGGGGGTTGGTTTCAGTGTTTCTTTCAGACTTTTTCCTCCCCGGAGAGGGGTGGGGGTACTTGAAATTTTCGGGGGCGGGGGTAGAATTTTCTGGGAGGGGGCGGACACTGGAAAAAGTATATAATTATATTTCGTTGAATGGGACGGTAGACATGTTTTTTTTTGGGGGGGGGGGTGTGGGGGGTGGGGGTGGGTTGGTTTCAGTGTTTCTTTCAGAGTTTTTCCTCCCCGGAGAGGGGTGGGGGTAATTGAAATTTTCGGGGGCGGGGGTAGAATTTTCTGGGAGGGGGCGGACACTGGAAAAAGTATATAATTATATTTCGTTGAATTGGACGGTAGACATGTTTTTTTTGGGGGGTGGGGGTGGAGAGGGGGGGGGGGGGGGTGGAGGGGTGGGGGGGGCGGTGTGTGGAGGGGGTGGTGTGGGGGGGTGGCGGTGGGGGTGGGTTGGTTTTAGTTTAGAGAAAAGAGACAGCACTATCAACCTAGCGCCCGGTGTATCCTTCCTCAACGGGCCATTTTTCTCGTTTTAAATATTTATGTGTAAGAATAATTGTATTTTCATAACCTCTAAAGCCCAGTGGGTCACCAGTGGAACAAATTGGAAAAGTAGGTCACGGTCAAAATTGTAATTTTTTTATGATTGATATTGATTTCTATCCTAAAAGTATGCATGTACACCAAATGAAATATTTTTCCTACCGGTGCAACATAATTTGGGCCTCTGAGGGTTAAAGTATCACTAATCTGTCATATGGTAAAGTATCATTTACTTGCCATATATTAAAGTATCACTAACCTGCCATATGGTAAAGTATCACTAACATGCCATATGGTAAATTATCACTAACCTGCCATATGGTAAAGTAAAATTAACATCCACTATGGTAATGTATCACTAACCGGGCATATGGTAAAGTAAAACTAACCTCCACTATGGTAAAGTATCACTAACCTGCCACATGGTAAACTATCACTAACCAACCATAAGGTAAAGTATGACTAACCTGCCATATGGTAAAGTATCACTAATCTGCAAATGGTAAAGTATCACTAACCTGCCATATGGTAAAGTATCACTAACCAACCGTAAGGTAAAGTATCACTAACCTGCTATAAAAACAAGAGCGACTACCAGACAAACTTTCATCATGTTAGACATATTTGGTGAAGACACTTTGTCTACTTGCTTGGTGTACTGTTGACTAGACTGTTGGATCTACAACGTGGCAAGTTGGTCCAGATGTTTGAGATTTTATAATGTTTTACAATGCTACTGTAATAGATGTTTTAAATCAGGGGCGGAACTACAGTGTTTAAGATTTAGCATTGTGGAAACAAATTTGTAGATTGTTGGTCAAATTTTATATTTTTAAAACTATATACATATATAATACTTTGAATGGGAGGCAAGTTAGGATCTACGCGAAAATAATTGTTTTTACAGTAACCCCCTCCCCCAGCGCCACTGCATGCACATTTACCTTGACACTACACCTTACTAAGTAACGGTGTGTATTCAGTATTAGAATCTTCACACATCAACAGTCTAAAGGCTAGAAATGTCAGAGAATTTATGAGTTATTTATGGAATGTTTTATAGAGCCTAAATCGTCGTACAGCATCAACAGCACTAGTTATTTTCCATTGAATTTAAAATAAAATAAAAATTTAAGAAATTGTACGATTAAGCATTTTCGATTCGTGTTATTGAAAACTCCACGATATGCTTCGGCTTTATAAATGAACATCGAACTAGCGACAGATGAATGTATATAGCGGTGAAAGTAAAGTGATCAACCTAACCCTTTAATCACTTTATATTTCTTCCCGAATAGGGAACGAATTGCTCGTGGTGCTTGCTGAGTTAGAGACGAACATGCAGTATGTTTGCGATGTTAGACTAGTCTTATGATTTCTCTAATATAAGCATATTGAGATCGAAGAAGATGAAGGATACAGGTAGGTATACAGAGAGTGTAAAAACAGATGTATATATCGTTAATTCATTTATCCGAGATAAAAATAACATCTAATACGGGCTGAATATTCAACCAAGGAATGTGGTAATTTATACAGCTAAATCCATCAGCTCCATAGATAAAATTAACCAAAAATGTCATTAATTTCAATAAAAAAGTAGAGCTTAGCATTTAGCGAGGCAGACTTTGGTTTAATTTATTATTGACAAAAATATACGCAATACATAAGCAAACTAAATAATGTATACGTTTTGTTTAGAGAATATCTACCCGATTTTTATAATTTCACTAGACTACCCGTTATCCTTGGTTAAATGTGAATTTCAGGGGTCATCCATAAATGACGTCAAGTTTGACGATATTTATATTTCCCCTCCCACTGTCACACATCATCACAAAAAGCCAGACCTCATATTTAAAAAGACGTCACACCACAAACATCATGTTTTTGTCTTTTAAAAAATACAATTTTCGGCTGAGCATGGGTGACTACACTATCCTTTAAGGGGGCAGTATCATACAGATGACTAAGGGAGAGAAACACAAATATTCAACAAAAAAACTATTTGACATACACATGTCCAATTTTTACAGTTATAATACAGTTTATAAATTGTAAGGTATATGTTTAGCACTAAATTTTCAAAAAAAATTATTTGATAATATTTTATCACATTTTGCATTTTTTTTTTGTAAACAATTTTCCGATACCATAAATAAAGTACTTAAAATTTGGTAAAAAATGTCCTTACGTTATTGGCTTTCGTTGGAACTAAAATCATAGCATTCTAATAAGGGATGTGTGAATGTACAAATTTTAATTTTTCTTAATATATAGACGTATTGTATTAGATCTATGTATAAATAAACCATCTTAAATGAATGAAAGCAGGCTACAAGTAAGAAAGAAATATTACTATTGTAAATCTATATCAGTCCTCAAAAGCCGATGATGAAAACTGTAATACTAAAGCGAACACACAACTGACGCTATAAATTACGTGTCTGAGGCGAAAAAAAAAATGAGTGTATATGTGTTTGTGTGCGTGCGTCAAATCGACCCCGTCAAAAGGGGCAGCTACATATGGACCCCGTCATATAGGCTGCCGACGAAAGGGCACCAGTCAATAAGGCTCCCGACATATAGGCTCCCGTCTTTTAGTTTTTTGACAAACAGCCCCCGTCATTACGACTCCCGACAAATAGGCTCCCGCCATTTAGTTTCTCCACAAAACGACCCCGTCATTATGACTCCCGACAAATAGGCTCCCGTCATTTTGGCTCACGACAAAAGGACTTCTGTAGACACTAAGTCTCCCGGCAAAACGGTCTCATTGAATATGACACATGCCAGTGGGGCCCCTTCATCAATATTCTTTAGAGTTAGCTTATCCAACACTCTTTAGTAATACAACTTATGCATCTCTGGTTCGGCAGGCCTTATACTTAAAATAATTTATCTATTATAAGAAAAAGTATGTTTTAATTTAAGGGTCATCTATCTATGACTTCCATAAATGGGTCGATTATATGCTGTTCCAACTCAAGTGTGTGGGGAGAGGGGTCCACGCTGTACATCCCTAACTGAAGTATGTTTGTAGGTTATCAAAACAAAATGTCGTTATCATGTAAACATCATTTGATTAATACATTTACACTTCTGTGCTCGCTTTTAAGCAACAGATTTTTTCAGTTATAAATTTAACATTATCACCATTTTAGAATTGGTGGAATTTAGCTGTTAAGGGCTAGATTTGTTTGTGAATTGATGTTTGTTCATGAAAAACAATTTCATGCAGCCATTTAAAAGAGGTTATAGTGGTGGTGGGGGTCAAACAAAATGGTTACTTTTATCTCAAAAGTGGTCATACGATTCGTTTGTCTGGAGTCAATATGTCCTGAGCCTATTTGTCGGGAGCCTAAATGTCGTGAGCCCATTTGTCGGGAGCTTATTTGTCGCGAGTCATTTTGACAGGAGCCCATTTGACGGGAGCCAATAAATAGGGGCCCTTTTGACGGGTTTATTTTGACGGGGCCATTTTGTCGGGGGTCGATTTGAAGGGGTCATATCAACTGGGACGTTTTGACGGGGTCGATTTGTGCCGGGCCGTTTTTGAGATGCACCGTTTGTGTGTGTGTGTGTGTGTGTGTGTGTGTGTGTGTGTGTGTGTGTGTGACTACTCTACTGGTTATTCATTTTCTTTGGTATTTACTATGTTTATTGTACAGAATGAGATGAAATCCATTTAAAACAAGCTTTGTTTTCGACTATTCTTCCATATGTTATACGCTTCCACCACTCTTGTTTGCAAACATGTTACAAACCAGCCTCTTTTCAATTTTTGAACCAACAAGCTTTAAATTCAATGTATCTTTTGTATTCATTTACATATTTCGCTATTTATTTACTATACTCTGTACACCAATGTAAATATCTTGTAAATATCCATTCAAACGGCATGGAATGTTATTGTATTTGTTTAAAATTCGAAAATAAAAGTATTAAAAAAATATTTTTTTAGAAAATTTTCAATTTCTAATAAATTCAAATTTTGTCACAATGGATATCTCCTAGTTCCAACGCTAGCCTACCCTTTTAAGCATCACCTAGAGTATTTTCCGCAGGAAGGGCATAAATGTTGGAAAACCGCAGCCAAAAATTACTTATTAAAAATTGTTGTTAAAATTATTTATGAAAAATGTTTGCATCATAAGTTAACTTTCTTTTATGTGCTGTTTTATGGCTCCACGATAATTACTATTATGGTAAAAATGTATGTGTGTAAGTATAATAGTTTTTTCTTTTTGGCAAATGTTTTCGTCAATTTTCAAATGTCTGGGTGATACTGCCCCCTTAATACTGAAAGGGAATTTCCTCATTTTTTATGCATTATCACACAAAATTTGTTTTTATTGAAACGTTTTTCTCTGCATTTGTTTTCAGTACTTGAAATTTTTTAATACAACAGAGTTACATGACTAAAACCAATTGTTCACCAAATGAACATGATAATGCACGTAGTATAGTGTGGAATATTAGCAGGCCACCTTACTAGTTTTAGTAAATTGTAATTAGCTCATAAAAACATAAGTAAGCATTTTATTAAGTTAAATTCGATGTTAGATTAAATTGTCATCAGATCTTGAAACACGTGCCAAAATTGAAAGAATAGGTCAGTTTGAAGTGCTTGAAATTTTGCTTGGCAATGTCGAATTTTGACGAAGCACAACAAACAGACAGAGGAAGCGAGTTAAATAAAAGCTTGTAATAAAGAACTAAATTTTGAATAAAAAATGCACAGGATATTGATCATTTAAAAATATATAGGCTACTGCACCGAGAAAAATGAAATCACAAAAACATGTACACATCATTCAATATGTATTCATCATTTTTAATATTGTACATTTTATTTTTTTATCCATTCTTATTTAATGATTATTGAGAAAAGGCACGATAGATGTGACCCATTAGTTTAACAAGCAGTTTTGTGCCGGCATCACCACAATCCGCTGGTATCGCTTTTTTCACACATTCATCAGCCTTATCACTAAACAGAAAAAAGGATAATGTTATATATTGTTATTAAAGAAATGTAAAGTGCTTTGTATACATAAAAATTGAAATTGAACGATGCTCTAACAATTTCATTTAGTTACAAAATTATGGTTTTTATGAGTTTTACAGATGCTAGCGATTGTTATGGATTGTAGAAGATGGGGGTAGTTCCGTCAAAAAGAGAAGGAAAAATGAAAACTAATCATCTGATGTTTAGCTATAATTAAAAAAAAAATCATACCAATACTTTTTTCCCATTTTTTTCAATATCTAAAAGGATATTTCATCGCTGTTTGGGAAAAAACCTGTTTAAACAAAATCTGAGTTTTACCTGGTGACGCTTGTGCTATTGTGGCAGGATAACGAAGCTTGCTTCACTTGTTCGTATTTGTCCTGTTCAGCTACACACCCCGATTCCTGAAGCTTTTCAAAATCTGTCGACGTAAACCGTAAACGTATTTTGTGCATATATATATATATATATATATATATATATATATATATATATATATATATATATATATATATATATATATATATACAATTCAAAATATATCCTTACATACGCTGCAAAGTAATTTTTTATTGCTAAATTAACACGCAAATATGAGCTATTGACCTTTCTTTCCATTATTGCTGCAAATGGTTTCTGCATAAGACAACAGTTCTACACTCATCTTCAAATAATAAGGTTGAGAGTCACCGCAGACGTCGCTGATATTAGTTTTACAAGTTTTCCAACGAATCATTTCGCTAAAGCAAACCAAATAGTGCAAATAATTAATTCAGACGCTTTCATTATACTTAATCTTTTTAATTTATTTTATTAGCTTGACTGAAAGATTTGTTGAATTATTGTATTTCATGTTCATTTAAAATAATGAGATGTAAAAGAATGATGGGGTGCCACCTACCCACACAAGGTTGGAAGTTTATCGTTGTTTAACTCACTGAAGTATCGTGCAAAATTAACTACTTGAGAATTCGCAAAGAAACATGGAAATAATACTTGTGCACATTTGTCTTCATTTGAACTGCCATCTATTATTCAAGAAAACATAGATATGGATGTATATATGTACAATATTTAAACAGCATAAACATAACGATAATTTAATTTTAGCTGACATTGATGCAAATATTAATAAACACGCTTTGTATTAAAACCTAATGAGAAATCAGATGTACTGCATTTGCGTAGCGAGTACAAGATAAGAAAATTGTAGTATCTGATTTTGGAAACCATTTACTGTAATACAATATTATCACATATTCTTTTAAGCTATTCTTCACTGGGTGGGAGAGCACTGCCTACTTCCCGGAGATCGGAGAAAAAAAAAGGAAACAAATATTGTGGATCTTATAAGAGAGAAAATTAACGTAAGTGCTAAAAGCAAATCCAATGTAGTACGGACAGACAAAGGAGGTGTACAAGGTAATGGAGAAAGATATAAGCGTTAAGTAAAATACTATATCAATAGTGCAATCGTTTAGAGTTTACATCGAATTTTTTAAGAGGACATATGGTAAAGTATCACTAACCTGCCTTAGTTAATTTATCACTAACCTGTCATATGGTAAAGTATCACTAACCTGCCATATGGTAAACTATCACTAACCTCACATATGGTAAAGTATCACTAACCAACCATAAGATAAAGTATCATTAACCTGTCGCAAAGTATCACTAACCAACCATAAGATACAGTATCACTAACCTGCCATAAGATAAAGTATCACTAACCTGCCATAAGATAAAGTATCACTAACCAACCATAAGGTAAAATATCACAAACCTGTCGTAAAGTATCACTAACGTGTCATATGCTAATGCATCACTAACCAACCATATGGTAAAGTATCACTAACCTACCATAGTGTAAAGTATCACCAACCTGCAATGAAAACAAGAACGACTACCAGACAAACTTTCATCATGTTAGACATATTTGGTGAAGACACTTTGTCCACTTGCTTGGTGTACTGTTGACTAGACTGTTGGATCTACAACGTGGCAAGTTGGTCCTGATGTTTGAGATTTTATAATGTTTACAATGCTACTGTAACAGATGTTTTAA